GTAAAATGCTCGGTCGCGGACTTCGCCGCCGGCGACGTGGACGGGTTGGGCCCTGGACGCAATCAAGACATGCGGGGATGCTGGCAGTGGGTGAGAACGCGTACGGCTCGTGCAGGTTTTGGCATACGTGCGTTCTCACGCGCACGGGCTCCTCGTGGCTGGATGCATTGAGGATGCGGTCAGAAAGGCGACGACGAGCGTGCCAAGCTGCTGTCTCGGAGGCCCCAGGTGAACGGAACGGTTCGTTTCTTTCTGCGAAATTGGCCACATGAAGGCCTTGTGATTCGTCGACACATTTGGCGGGTGGCAGGATTCGGCGCTGCGGTTAATGACCTGCCAGTGTGGTCCTCAAGGCCACAAGGGATTGCCAGGCATCGGATTTGCAGGCTCGGCGCTGGTCGCGGCGAAAACAAGAAAGGAGAGAGAGTCGGAGAGAGCGTCGCATCCAGCGCCCCCGCCACATGTGCCCCCCAGGGCCCAGGCGCGGCACGTTCTTCTTGCTTTATGGCCCAGGCATGGCCAGGCGAGTATTAACGCACACGCCCTGTAGTCAAAGTGGGAGGCACAAAGCGACGACCAAATGTCTTGTATCCTTTGTAATAATTATTTAGGGCGACGTCACTTTTGCGTGTTTGGCTCGCATCGCTACTCTTCCGGATGGGCGCCTGACGTATCCATCGACATGGCGAGTTGGGTAGTGAAGAGGAGGGAGGGGCGCATGTTCCGGTACTTTGACTCTCCGTGGTTGTGTCGTAGATCGCCATTATATGTAGCACGGCCTGTGGCCCAGGAAGATCCCTTCGCAAGACAGAAATTACAGACAGTGGGTCACGGACTGCAAGCGGTACACTACAACGGTAGGAGTACAGCTATAATCCAAAGCGCGCGATGCTTACGTAAGCGCGCCGTCGCTGCTTCCCGTCGTCGAACCCAACGTCGCCGCCAGCAAGCTTTGCATCCTCCCAAAATCCCTCCCCGCCTACGATGACGATCAAGCACCTGGATGGTATGTCGCTGTTCTGCTTGAACCGCCAGTACGGTCGCTCAGTGCGCGTTGATTTTGCCAGCGTACTTGACGGAGCGGAAGCACCTGCAGACGCACCCGCTCTCCGTTTTGTCCGACTCTCGTCTGGGTATTGACGCATCCTTCTACCTTTCCTCCCTCATCGACCACCCCCCTCTCGCGAGCCCCTCCTCGCCGCAACCGGCGGTCTTCCCCTCGCGCTCACCACTCGTATCGAATCTGACCTCCGTGCGCTCGAAAAACTGCACATCAAGCCCGTGTTCGTGTTTCCCGGTCTCCTTCCCAGTCGCCGCCCGAAGCAGCAGCAGCAAGCACAGTACGAACAGAACGAAGCATGCAAGGACAGGCGCGAGGCCTGGTCCAAGTACGAGTCCGGACAGGAAGATGCGGCGACGAAGCTGTTTGAGGGGAGGAGTAACTTGCACCAGTGGGACCTCTGGAAGATCGTGTTGAGGATCTTCAAGCACCGGAACGTGGAGTTTCTGGTTGCACCCTACGTTGCATGGTCTCAGGTACGTCTCGTCCAATCTCGCGCATTTATGCGTCCGCAAGCGCGCACTCCGTTGATCGAATGGCGTGTTTGCAGTTGATATACCTGCAGCGCCATAGCAAGTCGTACATACACGCGATTTACGGCCCGACGGACACTCTGTTGTATCCAGGTGTTGATAAGCTCATCACCTCTATTGACCTCGCATCCGCCAACCCCACTTTCTCGTTCGTCACAAAACGCGCGATTCTCAACGACCTCGGTGTCACCGAAGACCAGTTCTTGGACATTGGTATCTTGCTTGGCTTTGACAACTCTCCCCCCTTCCCCCCTACCGTCCATGATCAGGCCTTGAAGGCGACCGTGGATATGGTCCGGTACTACAAGTCTGGCCAGGCCGCGGTTTCCGCGCTTGCAGACCAGCCGCACATCAAGCAGATGCAGTACCCTGAGCACTACGCGCGCACGCGCGCCATGATCAAGTCTTCTCTCATTCTCACCTCGGAAGGTTCCGTCACCCCGCTCCCCATTGCAATCACGACCCCACCGCCCCACGGACACCCGAACCACCACTCGCACCATCCCACCGCTGCGGACATCCCGACCGACCTGCACGAGATCTTCACGCACCGGTTGCCTGACGAGGTCTACTTCTACGTCTCGCGCGGCCTCCTCGGCCCCCAGGCTTTGGTCTGGCTCACGACGGGCCAGATCATCGAGAACCCGCCGCTGGACAACGGGGAGACGATGGAATACCGGCGGTTCGTCAAGGAGGTCATCACCGACGGCCAGACGGGCCCACGCGTGACCTCCCTCGCGCTCGTCTCGAGCGTACTGCACAACTTCTGGCAGACGAAGAAGGTTCAGGGAATCTTCTGGTTCGAGCAAGGCACGCCACAAAAGCCCATCTCCCACAACTCGCCTCAGACGACGCAGCTTGCGGAGCGCGTCGCGGGTTGGAACGTACCGTACGCCATCGTCGAGGAAGAGCTGAGGAGGCAGAATGTGAGTTTTTTTGTCGCCCGTTTGTGACGGGGCTGCGCCAGCAGCGTGCTCGCGCGTGCGCCTGCGGGCGCGGCCCAGTGTTCGCAGGCACTGCGGGACCGAGCTGACACATGGGTCCCGGGCTGCGGCTGCGTTTGTGTATGCTACGCCCGCCCGTTCTTTGCGCAGTCATCAACAATCGACTTCTCCTTGTGTCTTGGGGCGACTGCGTCGGAGAAGCTCGCTGCGCGCACCAAGATCAAGTCACAGAGCCCGAATGGCCTCGACAAGAAGGACGAGATTGTTGCGAATGTCATCTGGCGTTTCCTCGAGCTGCGCGGGTGAGTGCTCCATACCGTCTTCGTCTCCGCACGTGCTTGTGCGTTCCGTGGGCGGCGGGGGCTGCGAGACAAGCATGCAAGCGCAGCTGACGATTTTACCCACCGGGATAGGTTCCTCCTGAACACACACACGCACTCGCCGCTCGCACGGGCGATGTACACGGCGCTGCGGCCTGCGCGAGTGAACGACAAATTCCAGGACGCGCTCTACTTGTTCCTGGAGCTTGTCCGTGCCGGCGTCGTGCACGGCCATCTCTGGTCCGGGCGCGCCTTCAGCGGAGGGCCAAGCTTCGGTACCGGTGCGTGCTTTCCCACGGGAGGCGGTGACCATCGCCCACCGCCTCGCTCGTGAAAAGGGTCTGACAGTTTGATGATTTTGTCTGTTGCACCGGTCCCGGCCTCCCCGCGTTGCCCTGTCGCGTTGTCGGCCCACAGATGACGAGAAGTCGTGCATGCTGCTCGTGATGCGCGTTCTCAGCATCCTCCCTCTCAACTGCACGGTGCGTCGCATTCCTCGTTCGCGATGGCGTTCTGCCTCGCCTCGATCATCATTTGTGTTACGGCGCTGACGATCACCCGCGTACTTGTGGCTTCATTGCCGTACGATTTGCGTTCGCATCTCGCACTGCCTCCGCCTCCGCTGCCATTACCGCCCCCTCGCTCCCGAACCCCTCGCCGGCGGCTGGCTCGATGTGGCAATTCTATATGTCCCGCCTTGCGCTCCCCGCAAAACGCACAGGCACAACCGTGGTCGGCGCCACTCTCCCGGGAGCTGTTGGTATTCAACTCGTTTGTGCGCTCGTTGACGCGCGCTCTCCGGACGCTGCTCGAAGTGACGTCGCTGAACATGCTCCTCCGGCACGACGCGCGGCGGGCGCGGGACGACCTGCTGGACATCAACCTTTCGCTCCCATTCCAGAACGAGGTCAACACCGGGTTCGGAGTGCTCGCCAAGGTCTACCTCGACGCGCTCACGCACATCAACGGCCGGCAGCGCGTGCGGGACCCGAACGCGGAGGGCGTGCGGGAGGCCAAGCAGATGGCGCTCGACATCTGCGAGGAGACGTTCCAGGGCGTCAAGTACCCGAAGCTGGAGGTCGAACGCGGCTTCCGCTTCTGGGACGTGGTGCGTGGGCTCGATTCGCTTTGTGCGTCGGCGGAGCTGACTTTTGACGCCCTCCCTGTCTTTCTCCGTTTGCCGAATCCCTTGCCCTTCGCCGCCTCCTTTCTCGCGGGCTGCTTTCGCGAATGCACGCGCGTCACCGCGTCACTCGTGCTCGGGTGTGTTCGATGCCGCTCGGGCGCACTCTCCGCCGTCCCGCGACCGCCCCGCGCGCACCCGCGTTCGCGAAAATTTCGCCGACGTGCCCCACGCGCCTGGTGGCCCCGGGTCTCTGAACGTAACGCGACGACGCGACGGCGGGGCACACGGACGCAGACGCTGGCGGCCATGCGGCAGCTGCACTCCGAGGGCGCCGTCCTCCGCGAGCTGATTGACCAGTTCGAGGCCGCGGAGGCGTGGCTGGCGCCGATGCGGCCGTGAGCGCTTGAGCGCTGGGAAGCACGGACGAGTGGACGGCTGGCTCGCGTTCAGCCCTGGGTCGTGCGCCGGGCGGTGCGCGTGCGAAGAGGTGCGAAAGCGGGCGGACAGGCGGACGGTCGGAGACGGGCACGCACGGTGGAGGCTGGGCGGGGAGAAGGGGGCGCGGCGGGCGTGGGGGCGAGAGTGGATGGATAATTGGCAGTACTACTGGGAAGCGGGTGTGGGGGGGTAGCATCGGGGAGTGTGTGGTAGGGACGGGAACAGGGAACATGTGATGAGGGCGTCTGTGAGAGGGGGGACGGGCGTGTGCTCGCGCCGCTGGGGGTCGGAGATGGGGGAGGGAGGGAAGATGGAAGGGGAGGATGGGAACGTTGGGAGGAGGACGGCCGTGCGCGCGAGGCCCGCCAAAACGCCGAGAGAAACGCGCGGTGGAGACGCCCGGGCGCGCGTGGGAAGTGGTATCTGAGATGGATCGGATGACATCTTGATTGGCCGATCTGGCCCGCTGCCGCTTCGAGAACGCGCCGAATCCGGCGAGGACGCTCCTCTCCCGTCCCGTTCTTAAAGCCCTCCGCTGCCCCCCGGCCCCACCGCCGCCGCCCGCCGTCGCTGCCCGCCATGCTCGCGCCCCCAGCGCCCCTCGCCGCCTACCCCGCCCCCATCCTCGCACACAAGCACGTCCCCGCCGCCGCCCTCTACCTCCACTGCGCCCCCACCGTCGAGGTCATCCAGCTCGTCGAGGTCCCCGCCCCGCCCCCGCGCTCCCACCCCTACTCCTCCTCCTACGCCTCCTCCTCCTTCGCCTCCTCCTCCGGCTCCGACTCCGACTCCGAGCAGGACGAGTCCATCTGCTCCTCCTACTGCTCCTCCGACGACGCCGCGAGCGCGGACGCACCCGCCCCCGCCGACGACACATACAAAACGCGCATCACTCGCGTCCTCGCCTGGAGAGACGGGTTCACGAAAGCCCTCGACGCGGACGTCGACATGCCCCCAGGTACGCTCCCCCGCACCCCTCTGCCCGTCGATGCGGCCACTCACCAGTGGCTCCAGCACCACCCTCCTCCCCCGTGTCCTCCGCGCCCTCGAACTCATCCTCGCGTAAGCGCAAAGCGGACGACGATCACGCCTTCGACTCGGACGACGACATGGTGAGCGCGCTCCCTCTCCCACCTCCGTCTGTCGTCCGCTCACTTCGCGCCCCCTACCCCGCAGTCGTCACGGTCCTCGAAGCGTTCGCGCTCGCTGCCCCCACAGGAGCGCGCGCCCCCGAGCTGGCAGCAGCGCCGATTCTCCGCGCACTCGTGCTCCGCGTGCGACGCCCACTTCGCGACCGTCCAGAGCCTGCGCCAGCACGGCCAGGAGGCGAGCATCAACGACGCATGTCGAGAAGCGGTCGAGTACGGGTTCGAGCCATGACGCCCGCCCCGCGTTCTCCCCTCTCTTGTGCCGCCCCCTCCACGCTCGCTTCGCTCTGCCGCCCCCTGCATCACCGTTCTCTGTGCATACCCACCCGCATTGCCCCTACGTCTCCGTGCATGTTTATCACCCATCCGCATCCTGCCCCCTTCCCCTTCGCGGGCCGTTCCCACACTCGCCCTCCCTTCCCCTACCCTTCCGCCGCACCCCGCTTTCGGGTGCGCGCGCTCGCCCGTCCCGTCCGCACATTCCGAGTATGCATAGAGCCGCATAATATGCTACACTACACTCCGCGTCGCACGCCGTATATACACTACAGACCCCGCCGCGGGCCGCGCTCTGTCGCGCCCGCCCTACGTTATCCGCCCCCCGCCGCCGCGCGGTTGATATCCCCCCCCCGCCTCGCGCGCACTGTATCCACCACCACCACCACCACTGCACCAGCATAGTAATTACCCGCACCCGCGGGCGTGTTGTACCTTACTCCCACCGTTATCCGTAGCGGAATACGCGACGAGCCCGGGGCTCGTCCCCGTCGCATGCCTCTTCGAAGCTGCATCTATCCCTTTGTGTGCGTGCGAGCGTGAAGTGCCAGAGACGGGCGTGTGCCCTCTTTGCCTCCTCGGTTCATTCCCGGCTCTCGGGGCCAGGCCTCGGTGGTGCCAAGGTGAGTGCCTACGCGTGCGACCCTGGCCAGCAGTGTCTGGCCAAGTAACTAGTCCTGTAGCAGCTGGCGGCGCTGCATACGGCTCGCGCGACCGCCGCCTCCGCCACACGACCCCTGGCCGGTGCTGCCACCCGCACGCCGCGGTGCACCTCGTCTCGCCCGCGACCCCGCGTTCCTTTGTCGGTTCGAAATCGCGGAGCGGGGCGTCTGATCGGCGTGCGCGCACTCGCCAGCCATTGCATTATATTTAGCGTCGTCGCGCGTCGGGCGACGCCTCAAACGACGCGACGCGAGGACGCAAAAAAGTGACGACAACAGCAACAACAACCCCACGCGTGCGGCCGTGCGAATGCGACCACGCGGTGGGAGGCTCCGTAGGAACACCCCGCACGCGCGCGGCGTAACCTGGCGGAGGGGAGGTCGTGCGAGGAGCGAGGGGGCGATACTTACGACGTCGGCGCCCCCTCGCACCTCCAGGGATCTCCAGGGATCCCAAAGAGAGGCGCCCGCGCATATCCAACGGTCATGAGAAAGATCAGCGTCCCTCGCGCGCGCGCACGCCCGCTCTGGCCGCGCGCGCGATCCGCCACCGCTCGCTCGGGGAGGACGGAGGCGCGAGGCGCGAGCTGCGGGCTGCAGCGTGCGGGGCTGGAGCGCGCCAGCCGAGCGAGCGAGGCGTTCTGGCCAGGCGGTTTCTATGCGCTCCGTGGGAGGCGGGGCGGCGGGGCGTGCGAACGCAGATGGGAGGAGGAGGAGGATCAGGGTGATCCATCGCGCTCGCTCGCTCGCGCACCGGGTGCGACGGTGTGTGCAATTGATATTGCTTCCAGCGTCGACGCACGGATGATGCCCGGGGCAGCCTGCGCTGTGGGCTGGTGGCACAAAGGGCGGCTGATGGGGCGCCGACTTCTCCTTTATTCCCTTTTGCTTCCGCCGAACTGAGATGATGACCGCGGGCGCGGTGCAGGGGGCGCACACACAAGCCCTCTCAAGTGCTGCTCGATTCTCAGCTGGCCACCTCCCCATCAGGGCCTGGCTGCGAGGGCGTGCGCAGAGGACGTGCTCTGCGACGCTCGGCTAGAGGCACCATCACGCTTCGCAGCGCGGGCTCCGTCGCGTTTTGCCAATCTCCCGCACCAAGGGCCTCTGCTAGCCGATACTGTGGGTGGACAGATGAGCTCGCGACGGCGCGCGGATCTCGACGCTTCGACGACGGACGCACACACCGGACGATGAAGGCGGCCTGGCTCCAGACCAGCGGGACGCACGCGCGTTGTGTGGCGACGGAGAGACAGGAGTCTTTAGACAAGGGATTTGGATCAACCGCATGCTCGAATTTGAGGGGCCTTGGACAGGGCGCGTTCGCCAGCCGAGTCCATGCTTAAATAAAGTCCGAGGCCAGTTTGCCATCCGGGGAGAGTCTGAGTCTCTATCGCAGCGAGGAGGAAGAGGCGTTTAGCCGCTCGTATCGTCTGCGATTCGCAGTGACGCTATCGAGCGGGCTTGCCCGGGCCGGCCGGTCTGCACCGCAAGAGCTTGAAGTTGTGGTGAACTCGAACATAGCCCGACGGCCATCGGCGTGTGATCGACGGTAGGTCTCTCGCTCCTGATGGCACTCGGTCTCGTTGATGAGCTCGGGGGCCCTAGGCGCAGTGCCCACGCTAGCAAGTGCTCAGACCATCGACCGCATCACACTTGGAGATTTTCTCACCAGAGCGCGTGGCTCGAGCGACGGGGGCTGCTGCGAGTGCGACGGTCGGGCATCCGGAGACGGGGAGCGCGCGCGGTGGGAGCGTGGAGACCTCGACTGGAATCCAGGGAGCCTGGAGGTGCTGCTCGAGGGATCGCTGTCGCGATGCTGCATGTTGGCGAGCGGCACTGCCAGGATGGTGGCAGCAAGTAACTGCCGAGGCGTGCTTCTCGCCACCACACGCGGCGCACGGAGTGGAGCACCCTCGGGCTTCTTCTGGGCTTCCATCCTTGGACGGGTGTGTGCGCGGTGCGTGCGGGGATCTCTCCTCCGGTGCGCTCCAACGACGGGTGCGCGGCTTGGGTGCAAACCGCAGCTATTCCTAATACTTCGGGTCTTCCTTTCGTCCGACTTGGATGAGCGAGATCACCCCTCGATGCGAAGGGAGGAAGAAGTACACACACGCCCGCGCCACGTCACCGATTCGTATGCGTTTCAATGACGAGCCTTGGGTTTGGCAAAGGCACGTGTGTCGGAGGCCGGCGTTGCAGGCGACCGATGGTTTCCCACCAACGTCCACCTTCCGAGGCATTTTGCTTTGAACCGAGCTCGCTTGTACTGGGCACGGTAACCGTTGTCAAACGCGTCTGCTCCGCTCTTTTTCAGTCAAACCCATACTTAGGTACGCGAGCCCGGCGAGCCAGGAATTCAACAGCTTTTGGTCAATCGGATGTCCCTGAGTCTATGTACGCTTGAACATCTATTCTGACCCGTTTGTCATACATACTCCACAGGTCGCATGCAAGAATGTACAGTCGCAACCCCGCGGCCCGCTCGGTCCGGTAGAGACGTCCACCGAGGCAGACGCCGGATGATGCTCCGAGCTGGACTCTCACCCTCGCCGACAACCGCGTCCGCGCGCAAGGCACGTCGCCTCCGCCACTCCGTCATCCCACCCCGGTCACGGGTGCGCGTCCCACCGCGGCCTACATTGAACCTTGCACGGGTACCGTGACCGGTCAGCTCGTTGCTGGCCACCGGCACATGCAAGCATGTACATGGAGACCGCACGAACCGCCTGTGCAGCTGCCCTCCACGCGCACCGCCAGCCTCATCACCACTCGACTTCCGGGGCTCTCAGGTTTCAAGGCACGACGCTTAAGCTGAACACAACCACGCCGAACGACGCTGTCCGCCTGGAGAAAATTGAACGTGCACAGCCGGACGGTCCCGCCGCGCTCCGAGCGCGCGAATCGTCTTGATTTCACCCGGACAGCACAGCTCCTGCCAAGGCCTCAAGCTCAAGCTTCAATCCTCAAAGCGCCCACCGCTGCGCTGTCTACTCCGCGGTGCCCACACCAAGGCTCGGGACAGGACTGCGCTGCGTGATTGTGTCGCGCGATCGCTCCGACCGCGGCCCCGCGCCCAGGCGTGATGCGAGCACCACATACGGCTCTGCTACACTCACGCTCGACGAGATCAACGTCGCCACTCGAACTCTCCGGATCTCCAGCACGAAGGACGCGAAGTTCAAACGCGGCGGTCCCGGGCTGCCCGTCACATGCCCGCCGGGGTGTCCAGCAGCGTTCAACGTTCACCGTTCAGATCCAGAGACTCGTGTGCGCGCCGTTCGGCGCGTCCGCCTTCGCCCGTCCCCGCTGCCACCCGCTGGCATTGACAGCGTGGGGGCCGCAGGCTCCTCGCAGGGCGACATCCGTCCCACACCCCACCCTGGTCCGCTCGGCACCGCGCTGGGCCCCCCGGTGGGCGCGGACTCGTGCGGTCGCGCGCGTCCGTGCGGTCGCTCGTCGTCCTCCCCCGTGGCCCGCGCCGTTCGACGGCGTGGAAGCGGCATCACCAACGCTGCGTTCCGCACCGTTCGCGAAACCCGCCAAGAACGGCCCGTCACCGCCCCTGCTGAGTGCTGGCAATGTATGTGCGTGCCCCGTTCGGCCACCCGGGCTCTCATGCAGGTGCGCCCAGCCACTCAGCCCAGAGCCCCGCTGACCGCGAGACGTGCCTTCAGCTTCCACAGTGTACAGCTGCACTGACGCCCCTGCCCACCCGAAGCACGCTCAGGCATCCGGGAGCCCTGACAAGCACGCAGTCCCGACGAGCGAGCGAGCGAACGCCGACCGGTGCCCCCCCCGGGTTGTCGGTGTCAGGCTGTCCAGCTCCTTCCGCCATCTCGCGCACGGGTTCCCTCATTCCAGGCCCGCGCTCTCACGCGCACCTCGCGCGCCCAAGCCCGAAACCTGCTAAGTACATATGTCCTACGACCGCCGCCGCCGCGGTGCCAAGGTCGCACCTGGCTGGCTGGAGGGGCGCGATCGCAGATACAGTACTTGCTCCCCCGCTCGTGTGGTTGGCCGCCTGGGCGCCTCGCCGTGCTGGTGGTGCGTCCGCCTTCGCGCCTTCTCTCGAGCTCTGAGCTCTGCGGCTTACCTCCTTTTGGCATCATCGCGCGCCCGAAATACGCATGGGCGGAAAATAGCCGCGGTCTATATTTCTCTCCTGCACCGGCCAGCCTACCGACCCACCATGAAGCCCGTGGCATCCTCGAGTTCAAATTCGCTCGACGTACCGCGCACAAATCCGACCCGGTCCCGGGCCCGCAATACCCGGCTGGACATCAGCGTCGACAGGAGCGCGCGCGTTTCGTTCCGCCCTTCGGACCGTTTTTAGCACGGATTACTTATGGGCGCAGTGCCCGGCATCACGTGAGCGTTGGACCGCGCGCTTGGGGCTGGGATGTGCCTGTGCGAGTCCTTCGCCTGCGGCATCCGTGCGGTAAGTACAACACACGTTGGATGTGGTTCGCCTTCCTCTCAACTCCACATCCGTCGATTCGGAGTCCAACCCCAGCCGAGCTGGACGGTTGAATCCGCTCGCTAATTGGCAGGCACCCGACCCGCGCTCGCTGATACACACTCTCAGGTGCGTGCTAGTTCGTCTAGACTGTAATAACAATAATGAAAACGCTTTTTGCGACAGTCTGCTAAATGCACACGCGCAGAAATACAGATCATCCTCCGCTGAGCATCCGCTCCATGGTCTCGGGGGTGCGTGTGCGTGGCCTCGACGAACAGCCAGACGGCCGCCGTTCCCCCACCAAACGCGTCTGGGGACCCACAGACGCACACCCCACCGCGACGGGCACCGGCGCACTCACACTGGCGGCCCTCGTCGCCGCGCTCCCCCTCCCTGGTCCCGGCTGCCCAGCGTCGTTCACAGCGGGGCGGGCGCGTGTACAAGTGCAACATCACTCCGTTCCCCCTCCGCGTCGCGATGTCGGCCATTCATGCGTCACGGGGCCCCCCAGCCCCGACGCAGCCCCGTCCGCGTTCCCCCGCTCGTCGCTCGGTGCCGCACTCCTGGTGTCGGTCCGAGCGAGGGCGGAGCTCGAAGTTATCAGATAAGATAAATGCGCGCGCTTCGTGCCGCCCACGAAGCGCGCGAGCGAGACGGCGCGGCGGTACGGCTCGCACGCCGCTCCCCGAGCTTGTGGGCGGCGACATCGTGCGCGCAGCCTCAACTGTTGCGCTGTGACGGGCAGATTGGGGGCGCGCGATTGTCCCGCCGGCTCGGGGCGGGGCGTGGAACGCGACCCAGGCGAGGCGGTGGTCAGCAGCGGGCGGACCTGACGCGCTCCGGTTCGCGTGCAGGCGCATCGACGGGCGGCGGCGGCGGCGGCGGCGGTTCAGCGGGCGCGCGGACGTCGTGTGTGTGTGCGTGTCGACCGCGCGGTACCGACGAGCTGGACTCGGGACGTCGTCGAGCTGCAGAGTCCAGACGTTCGCGTTGGGGGTCGCGGGCGGGCGGGCGTTTCCTCCGCGCGTCCTCTTCCTCTTCCTTTCCTCGTCCCCGCCCCCTTCTAGCCGAACGCGCCGGCGGCACGGTGGCCTCTCCTGGACGCGCTGGACCGCCGGTGGTGCGAGCGGCGACGGGCCTGCTATGGGGATCGTCTATGTATATCGAGCGCAGAGCTATCTATACATGACCGTACCCACACCCGCCTCGCGTCGGCCGGGCACTGCGTCGCTGCCTTCGCGCCTTCGTCCCGACCGGGGACCGTGCCAGCGCATCGCGTCCGTATCCGATTACGACGACAAAAAGGCAGATGCGCACGCCGAAACGAGTCGCGCAGCTCGCGGATGGCTAACACCACACCGCAGGCGAGTCCACCTCGCTCTCACGCGCGCGCAGAGCTGCGTTCTGCCTTTTGGCAGCGGGTCCTTCTCCGCGGATGCGCGTCCGTCCTCTGACGGCAGCCTGTGCTCCTCGTTGCCCGTCGGCTGTGGCCAAGAGGGGGCATGCTGGGTGCCGGCGCGGCAGGTGGCACGCAGCACGCAACGTGTGCGCGGGTGCGTGTCGCGATGCATTGTCTGGTGTGTACTGATCATACGTGATTCACGCACAGTGCACGGTTCTGGAGGGCCCACCACCTGCCTGCCTGCCCGCGCACCATCGATCCCGGGTACGGTCTGTCCTCCGAATTCTGCGAGTCGGAGGCGACCCGAACCCGCGTCCTCGTCCCCGTTCTCGTTCTCGCGGTGCACCGCGTCCACCCGCCTTCTCAGGTCTGCCAGCTTCCGCCTGCCGCCTGCCGCCTCCCGTCTTCCGAACGCACGCACGCACGGCCTCGCAGGTGATTGAAGTGCAGGTCGCCACGCCCGACGTCCCGCACATCCCCCTGCCGGAGCGGAAAAGGCGAAGGCAGCCACGATGCCAGCAGCTGCATCGATCGCCCGCCTGCCCAATTGGCCAGGGAGAGGCCGGGGAGGGGGAGCCTTCCCGGCGGAGCGCGCGCCCGCGCCTCCGTACGTGCGCCGAAGCGCCAGCCCCGCAAATTCACCGCCGCGCGCGGGTGGCCACCGTGCTCCAGCTGGCGCAAGGCCGCCTCAAAGTCGCCGACTTCGCGTATCCGGTGAGCACGTCGTGCTGCCCCGCCCGCTGCTCGTGACGCGCCTGGTGACGTCGGCCGCGAGGACAATCGCGCTCGCGCGGGCGTCCCCCGCGGCCACGGGCGCGCGCGCGTTCTCACCCCCGTCTTCTTCCGCCGCCTTCGTTTCTCCAGCCTGCACGGTCGCAAGCGCAAGTGACGATTCGCTTGCGCTTTCGGGCCACCAGAACGTGCGAGGGTGCACTTCGCCCCACCTTCGCTGTCGCGGGATTGAATATTATTATTGAATATTGAATATTGAACCCACGCTAGACTCACGCTCTGCGCTGCATGTGTTCTACCCCCTCGACGGGCGACCTGTGCGCTGGGCCTTCACGCGCCGTGCAGCTCGAGCGCACCCGCCGCGCTTCGTGTCTTGTTCCCTCCGATCTGCTCCACGTCGCGTCTTCCCGGGCACAAACTTTCTGCTTCATGTACGCACCGCCTGTTCGTTCCCCCCGGCCAATGAGCGCGGTTTGCTCCCACGTTATGTTTAGCAGCCCTAGGACGACTGCACCGCGAAGCGTTTCATGCTGTACTCCGTCGAGAAAGCTTTTGCGGCTGCCCCCACGGTCATTCCCGCGTGCCATCCCAGTTCTCCCAACGTCGCGCTCGGTGCGTCATCCTCTCCGCCCTGTAGTACACTCAGGAAGCCAACCGCCCGCGTTCGCGAGCCTCCGAGCCTCCCCACCTCCTACACAGCACCGGCTTGGCTTGGCTCGCGGCGTCGTCGCACGGAGCCTGGACGCGCCTCCCATGCCGGCTCGCTCGGCGCTCTCGCACGTCCACGCACACCAGCTGCGGCGCCACACTAACACCCAACGACGGTCCACGCACGCAGCCTGGCATCCCACTCCTACGCGTCCCGGACAACGACATCTGGGAAACGAGGACGAGCGGCCGCTGCGGCGCGCGCCCACCCCTCCGCCGGCGCGTGCGACTCGCTCGCTCGCTCGCGCTGCAGGGTGCGCTGGCGCGGTCACCTTCCTCGGCCGCGGGCGCGGACGTCACGGCGTCGACGTCCTCCACGCCGACACACGCTCGACACGCCCCCTGGCTAAGCCTCTGAGCGCGTCCCTTAGGCCTTAGGCCTCACCAGCACTCGCCTCCTCCCTCGCGCGCGGTGCGGTGGGAGGCTTGGCACCCAAAATACCGTCCTTTTCCCTTTCCTCTCTGGCTTCCTTCCCTGGCCTTTCCTTCACGCCCAGAATAACGCTGCGCGAAACAAGGGGCGCCTCCACGCAGGACATACCCGAGTACAAAGTCTCGCCGAGGCATCTGCGAAGAACCCACGCGCGCGACGACGCGGTGGGAGCTGCCGGCGGCGGGCGGGCGCGAACGCGCATCGGGCGCATCGGGCGAGCGCGACGACGGGCGACGATCGCGTCCTCCGTAGTCGTAGTCGTCCGTGCTGTGTCTTCCCATCCCACCCGCCCTCGACGTCCGACGTCGCTTGGGCGGGCCGCAGCGCGCACGGAGTCCGGACGTCCGCCGTGCGTTTCCGAGCCGCAGCCTAGTCGATCCGCGTCGTGGTCGCCAGTCGACGGCTCTCGTGCGCATGCACGGACGCGCGCGACGCGAGCTCGCACCGTCGCCCACGCTCACGCTCTTCGCTCTTCGCGCTTCGCTGCCAGTGCCATGATATCGAGCCCTGGACCGCGCCGCCGCCAGGGCTAACACCGCACGCGCGCACGTACGCTCCTTCCACGCCTGGGACCAATTATACCGTCGACTGGCGGACGTCCTCGCCCGCCCGTGTGGGACGACGTCCCTCAGCCCGGCCCTCCACCCACGGTCTGCCACAACGCCTGGCCAGAGCGCGCCACGCCCTGCTGCCGGCTGGTCGCGCACTCGCTCCCAAGGCGGCGTGCGGGGACCAGTGCGGCGCGCGCCGCAGGTTCGTTCGACGCGCGCCGCCGGCTTCGTCGAGATCGCCTGCTCGGTCGTCCGCGGTTGGCTGGCTGGCTGGCTGGCTGGCTGGCTGGCTGGCTGGCTGGCTGGATCCACCTGGAGAACACGCGTGCGGGGAGTCGCCTTCTTCTGCTCTGCTCAGCCTCTCAGCAAACGCATACGCTCGTCCACGGCCAAGCTCGCCACCCCCAGCTCAAGCTTCTCCTCGCGCTCCGCCCACCGCCAACCCTCCCCCGTCGCGCCCTACGCCCTGCGCTGCCGATGCGGTGCACGCAGCTGTGGGAGCCCGACCCCCACCGGGCTCCCAGCGCCTCAGGGAGAGAACGCGAGAAGGGACGACGGAGGGAGGAGAAGTCGAAGCACCCCCCTCGCACCGCCGGCCTCTCCACTCTCGAGTCTTAATGAGCGCTCCTCTGCGGCCCGCTCTGCCCCGTCCGCCGGCCCGTGGAAGCATTATACGCTTAATTGAATGATTGTATCGACACACACGTACGGCCCCGCCCGCAGCGTCCGTGGGGGCGGGCTCAGCGAGGTCTGAGATCTGAGTCGCGCAGCGCGGGTTCGGCGCACGCTGGCGCGGGCGTGCGCCCGCCAAGGCGCGCGCGCGCGCGAACGCCAAGGCCTGGGGGTGGGACCGCGCTGCGAGGGGCGGAGGACGAACGCACCTCGAGCTCCGACGTGACCAAAGGCGCGGCTTGCGGGGCCACACGTGGCCGCCCGCCTCCGCCGCGCGAGAACGGCGGAGGAGGTGCGGCGCGAGGAGACATCGCGTTGGACCCGTCGAGGTGCGCGCGCGTCCGGACGCTCGCTTGTGCGCGTGTCTGTCCAACGTCTGTCGCGAGCGCTTCTGACGCGCGCGCGGGCCCTGCGGCGCGCCTGGCGAAGCATGAGCGCCGCGTTTGCTCGACAGCACCGGTCGCGGCGCGCACGAACCGACCGAGGTGCGCACGCAGCTCGCGCACGTTGTTCTCGCCGGCGAAGACCCCCGCGCGCCGCTGTCGTAACTCGAGTCCTCGGGCTTGCGTAACGGGCTGCCCGTTTACTGCGACCGATGCCGTACGAGTGCGTGCTCCCCCGCCTCCGTCAGGCCCTCGAACAGGCCGCCATCCCGCCATCCCGCCCATCTTGCCACGCTCGGGGGCCAATAAAGCGCACGTAACGTACGGCATCGCGCCCGGAAAATCCGCTTGGCAGCGTCGGGCGTTGGCGCCGCCGTGAGTCCCGGGATCGACCCGGGCGCTCGGGCGAACGCCGAGGTCGGTGGGGGGGCCCGGGACAAGCTGCTGCAAGATGCGAGTGCAGGGTAGGGGAGCGCCGGGGAAGGCGAAGACGAGGGCAGGCGGGCGGGCGCGTGCGGGCGCGAGTCGGGTGCGGTGGTTCGTAGCAGCAGCAGCGGCCGGGGGTTCAAGCGAAAGTTTGCTGGACGTGGGTGCCCCGAGCCGGACGTGAGTGCAGGCGGGCGTCTGGGTGGGGTCATTGAAGAGCTTGCGGAGGCGCGCTTGAGGCGCTGCACGAGCCGCGTAGGGCCCGAGTAGAGCAGAGCAGAGTTCGCGGAGGGCTGCTGTGCCGCGAGTTCAGTGGGAGTGCACCCTGTCCAGTGGGCGGGTGGCGTTGCGCCCATCGAGGAGCTATCAAATACTGAGGTCAGTTCAACATTTCGCATGATGGCTCCCCGCATCTCCGCACCTTTTTTGCCTGATTCCTTGGAGCGTGGAGCCCACGAGCGGGTTCGCAGCATCGTTAGTTCTCTGCGCGAGCCCACTGGTCCACAACACGGCGCTAGCGACCGCAAACGGACATACGCGCCGCTCCCACGCGAAGCCTGCTGCAAACGCACGAAGTGGTTGAGGTCGGGTGGGGTGGGAGCGGGTCGACTTGGCCCCGCACCGCCCTGCATCTGCGCTCTCAGCGGACTAGCGCAGGAGAGATGGACGAGGCTGACGTCGTGGCCAGGGTCGGTCGTACGCCTCGGAGCGCCACCTGCCCTCGGCCTTGGCTTCCAACGGCCTTGAACATCGAAGTTGCGGCGACTCGTACAGCACTACATACTGGTGCCGAGGACGCATCGGGGCAGTCGTCACCGGTCGCTGCGCGAAGGCGAGCCGGGATGGACCGCGGCCGCTCCAACCTCGAGGAACGGGACGGAGCCTGGCGCACCTCGTCGCCCGTCGCGCCCTGTGGGGGTGCGAGTCGCGACGGGCGACAGACAGATCATGGCACGGCACGTCCGGAGATCGTGGCAGACAGATCCCGCACACGGCCCTCTGCGCCGTCCACGACGCTGTCCCCGTGCAGGGACGCGCGACGGACAGGCGCGCGTCCCTCCCACGCCCGCCGCCAGCGCTGCCAGCTCGGACGCAACGCGCCCTGCCTGGGCCCTGCGGAGGCGCCCCGGGCGTGGTCTCGGTGCCGCGCTCTGGGAACGGCGCACGCAGCGGACGACGAACGCCGCGGAATTGCGGAAGCGTGCATTGGGCGCGCGTGAGCCCCCCGCTGGGCGGGATTGCGCCATCGCGCGACGGGCGTCCTTGGCCACCAATACGCCGCGCTGCGTTGGCGGCGGAGGGGTGGCCATGGCGAAGTCGGATGTGGTATCTGGGTTATACGAGTGTATGGGTTCAGCTTCTGCAGCCCACACCTGGCTGGAGGTGATACGTACGGCACCCAAGCCCACACCTCCCTCATATATCCGGATATGGCTCCGCGGCGTCACTGGCGTCGTTCTTGCACTCCGCCAGGAGGGCACGGTTTGGGGCACCCGTAGCACGGGAGGCGTTCATGAGAAAATCAGCGTATGTCCGCGCCGCCAACCGAGCGGCTGAAACGCGAGGGCAGCTCGTGGCTTAAGCAACGGTTGATGTCCTTGATGTATCCAGATACGAGGACCTGGGAGGAGCGACTCCCGCGCGAACACGGTCGGGCCAGAACCTGCGCTTGGTGGTCAGCGGATACGAACAACACAACCGGGTACAGGCAGCTGGAGGGCCCGGAGGCGTCCAAGACCACGCACGAGGATACGCTGATGAAAGTGCGCGGGGGTGCCCCCAGCGCGGCAAGTACTCGGCGCACAGGGCACCTTCTGAGGGCGGCACATCGCCCGTACATCGCCCACGCGGGCGAGCAGAACCGCCCATCGATGGCGGGGGTGGGAGGCGCGCGCACCGCGCGCGACGAGGGGGGGGAGAGCGCGGGGCGACCAGCTGATGCGGCGGAGCGCGCGCGCGGGCCGTCCGGGCTGCGTTCGCAAGCCAGCTGCTCGCGGTGCTGTCTAGCGATGTGCCCCATAGCGTCGTCCTCAGGAGGCACGCGCGACGCGGCCAAGAATAACCCGAATCGCGCGCGCGACGGCGAGGACGTACGTGCGCACCTTGTGCACTCGTTACGTCTTGCGAGCGCGCGAAGCCGCGCCCTCCTGGCCGAGCACCGTCTAGGCGCCGCGTGTGCCGGGCGCGAACACACGAAGCACGGCGGCGGCAGCGGCGAGCACACACAGGCTGCATTCGCCGCTGCGCCGGCACGAGTCTGCGATTCCAGGCGAGGGGGGAGATCGCGGTGCGATATCCTGTGCCCGTGGAATCGTCGGCGCAACCTAGCTCTTCGCGCGAAGCCCCGTGGGGGTACTCGATGCGGCGCATCCGGGACGGAAACACGCACCTGGCGGATTCAAAAGCCGATCCCACCTCGGCGGTATCGGGCTGAATAGGATTGTCGCGCGCTGTGGCCTTGGGCAGTTTGTCGGCGAAAATGCCAACCTGGCTGAGAAAAACGGCAGAGGGCTTTACGTCCGCGCACCGCGGAGGAGAACGAGGTTCTGCCGCACCGAGGGAGAAAGTGAAGAGCTGGAAACGTCGGGATCGCGACGCGAATTCCGATCATCTTCCTCGCAGTGCGTCTTTCCCTCGGCTGTAGTTATGCCAGTCGCTGACCAGATGGGTGGCTGTCAGGAAAGTGCATACACGGGTCGGCGGAGGTCACCCACCATAGTGCAGTGCATGGCCACGGTTGCACCGCGTGAAAGATCGGTCCCCTCGCCGAAGCCTCGCCGAACCTGGAAACTGCTTATGATTCTTCTTGCTGATTGTGCGATACAGCCGTGCCGGCGGACCACTGATGAACTTGCGGTCCGCACACACGCTGTCTGGATGTGCGTCACCACCTACGAAGGCGCCGCACGGACAGCGGTCAGATGCTGTGGTGTTGTTCCTTCTCCGCCCGTAATAGCACACAAACCAGAAGGCACTTGCCAGCCAGGTGAGATAAAACCTGCGTCAGTGGTGTTCATTTGTTGTTCATAAACGGGTGAATGAAGCGTCATGTGTGCGTACGAGAAGTCATGCATGCAGTCGCCGTGTGGTTCTGATAATGTTCGCGGATCACGCGGAATTGCTCGTTTTCGCACCCTCTTCGTTGAGTCCCACTGGCCTGGGATGCATACGCTGTCAGATAGCCTCAATGACGCATTTAACATGAATGCTCCTACAACTTGTCTGAAGAATTGGAATCACCCGTCTGTCAAATGTGTGTTAGAGTGCATTCGCAACCAGTCTGAAATAGAACACCAGTCAAAAGTTTTGCAAGTCTTAGGCGATATGCGCTGCTACCGGTTGCTGAACGATAAGGCTGCAGCTGCGTCCCCCGCTTCGAAAAGAGTTGAAGATTTTTGACATCGGTCCCAGTGCGGTAGGCTTGGATGGGTGGAGGAACCGGGCGTTCATTGAACCCCTTCTGACGAGCCAATCGCCATAGCGAATGACAGTCCGAATGCATATTGTTGTCGAGAGTTGGTTGAGTGAGTGATCCTAGGGTAGAGTGATCAATGAACGTCGCAGAGGGATATAAGAAGATACCATTACCCTGCTCGTGGATACTCGGATGGACGAGTTGTAACTTGTGAGATGGTTCGCCTTGCTAGTGATTCATCGAGAGCAAGTGGGATCTGGATGACTGATGTTGTTTTTCGATAAAATCTCTATCGTATCAATACACGGCATATTGATAGTTGCGAGATGCAGCGTGTGCCAGTATTGTGACCCAACCCAAGGAAGAACAAGCAGATGTTAGACCATTGGAGCTCACAAAGTTCTATCAAGCGCAGGCGGAGCATGCACTCTTGAAACACAAAGCGTGATCGAGGTGCCATTATGATGCATTTCTCAGAAGGGCTGCCTAGGGGACACTATCAAAGACCAAGCAAGGATGTGTCACGTTGACGGTGGAATGTGACCACAGTAAAGCAGTCCCACATCTTCAGATGATGTCGATGACAGTTGGCCAGAGCCTGAAGAGAGATGGCTTTCTGTAAGCACTCGAGACCGGAACCCAGGGACAGGGAACTCACGCCAGGAATCCCACAAACGTCTGCAACAACGCTCCTAGCAGCGGTATCCATCTGTTCACCGACCGCGGCTCGTCAGCCTCTCAACCTTCTTCGCCTCTCCCACCCCCACCAAGTACCGCGCACAAGATAAGAAACTGGAAACACTCACGTCGACATGTCGAACTTTGCCGCCTTGAACAGCCCTGCGAGGACGTAGCCAATGATCGCGCTGCCCACGACCGCGCCCCCGAGCGCGAATGCGGCGAAGACGAGGAAGACGATGATCGCGAACGTCAACCGGGACCGCCGCTCGTTCTGTTTCGCCGGGGAGCGCGAGGGTAGGCGTAGCTGGCTCTGCGCGCGCGTGTCCCCTGCCCCGAGTCCCTGCCGCTCGTACCGCCGGAGCGGAATGCTCTCACTGTCTGTGCCGCTGCGGTGTGACGAGCCGCGATGGGAAATGCCGGGTCGGGTCTTGTAGCCCTTGTATACAGGTCGGCGCGGGGGGAAGGAGAGATTCAAGAAGGCGTAGGTGCCGCAGAGGATGAACGCTGGGATGTAAAGAACAAAAGTCCAGTACAGGGTGAAGCGGAAGACATCTGCACGCTTGTAAGACGCTTGCAGTCGCCATGACGCGAACGCAGCGCACCTTGGGGATCCGAGAGATACCTGCCATTCGGCTCAATCGGTGGTCTGTGCTCGATTGGCAGGAGCTCGATTGCGGGGTTGTAGAGGGACGGCCACTCCGGCGATGAGCTCATGGCTAGGCAGAGGCCCGAGCGAACGACAGGCGCATCACCGCCGGGGGTGGAACACAGATAGCTACGATGAGAGGAGTGCAGTGAAGGGAGACGACAACCCGCAGGACGCGCGGACCGTGCAAAGGCCGAGGATCGGAGGCACTTAGCCGCTGCGTCGTAGCGTGGCTTGCTGAATAAGGCGATTTCCGACAAACGTCATCATATTCCTTAGAATACAAAGAAGAGTACAGCGGATTGGCACAATGATACCATATAGAATAAAATAAGAGGTCCCTGGCCCGCTTCACACAAATCTACAAATCGCCTGTGCTTCAAGTTCGTCCGCGGTCACACTGGCATCGAGGGTATCATAGGCTAGCATACGCATGCTTAGTACGATAACCGGCCTGCACCCCTTCGTCTTCTTTTTCTGAAGGAGAGTGTTCCGGAGAGTGGTGAGTTCCTTGAGTGTGCGTTCTTTGAATGCGCTTTCGCCCTCTGGCTCGTCAAAGATGACGCCGCGCCGAGCCCACGGACATGCTGGAGAGTCTCCCCATCCGCACGCAATGAGGAAAGCATCCAGCGTGTGCATCTTGTTCGCCGAGGGTACAACGGAGTGAGAAGGAGCGCGCCAGGGTGGCCGAGGGGACGACGAAGTGCGTGCCAGCCACACCACCGAGTCTTGCAGGTATTGGTGAAGGGTAGGAGTCGGAACGAGAGAGGACGATACGCGTCCTGTGTCGAGTTTGCCTTCCTCTAGCATAAGATGTGTCGCGTGCAGTCTGAGGGCTGAGTGCTCCTTGAGGACCTTTCTGACAGATTCGTGTGGAGGACGGGGAATAGCGGGTCGAGGGGGAGTGCAAGGTTCAGGAGAGGGCCGTGTTTTGGTCGTACGATTTCCTGGTAAAGTTCTCGTGTGCGTCCGCGACGAAGTCTGGACTGGCCGAATAGGGCTCGTAGGCGGAGACATCATTGTCACCTCCACGGTGCTCTGCGGCAGTGCTGGGGGAGACACGGCCATATTCGTCACAGACCCGAGCGGCGACAGCCCTGTCCTTGACCTCGGCACGGATTCCTCTGATTCTACGTCCTTGCTAGCGTCTGGCTGTACTTGCCTAGCGACTTCCGCCCGCGCACCTTCTTGCAGGTTCTCCGCGTTCGCCGAATCTGCCACTCTCCGTTTGGGCTCTGCTATACGCGCCCTCTTGGCCGGGACCTTCCTTCCGTCCGCCTCGGAGAGCCTCTCTATCCACATCTCCTCGGCTTGCTTTCTCTTCTGGGAAGATCGCACGCTCGGAGATGGTGGCTGGTTGGGGTGGAAAACGGATCGCGCCCAGTCGTCTTCTTCCTTGTCCGGACGGTCGCGCCCTACGGCTGCACGTGCAATCTCTTGATACTCTCTCAGAAGCAGAGCGTCTCGCCACGATCGCTCGGATGGACGATAGACTTTCGTGATGCGAGAGAAACGCAGTTCGTAGTTCTGTGGTACTCCATGTGAGACGCTGCGTCGATGAGAGTGACGGCGAGAAACGAACTGTGCTTTTGCGGGGTTTGGTGAAGCCAGCGCCGAAGAGCTCTCCGAGCAGGGGCTCTGTGAGGAAGACAGTGGGCTCGGGAAGGTCTTGGTAACCATCGAAGTCATACGGCAGTTTGCGAGCAATCTATCAAGACCCGTCAGCAAAGGGCGTCGTGCCAGGGAGCTGGTTTTTACCTGTGGTTGATTTGGTAAGGGGTCGGAGCTCTTGATCATGAAGTTGAGGTGTTCAAGTTGCTGGCGATCTAATCCATAAGATGAAGTAAAGAGGATCTCGAAGCGTGGGCGATTCGAGGTCTGTCACAAGGTCGTGAGCAGATGTCATATCGAATAAAAAGGCACATACTTCTGGCTTCTGGTGTCTAGAGAGAGCAGCGAAATAGAAAGTCGTGAACGCCGTGGGAGGAACTGTAAGACCATAAGCATAAGGAGGCGACGACCATTCATATAAGCACACCTCTGAGTTCACGGGCTCGTTCCTTCTCCCATGAAGCTCCGATCAAGGCAAGGTCAACGTTATCTCCGTATCCGGGAATATAATCCTTCTTGAGCTGCGATGTAACACGCTGAGCTTGCTGACGACGTTGGTCCAATCCAAATCTACTCACCTTGACCCATGGCAGGTTACTGTCTCCATATTGCGATTGTTCTGCTTTCAGTACGCATCCCTCCTCGAAGTTGGCAAGGAGCTTGGCAAAGGCTGTTGTGACAATTTGCTCTGCATCCCTTCGTCTGGGGTCAATGCGGACCCTTTCCGCGAGCATCGAGTATCGTGGCGCAGTTCGAACGATGCCCTCGAGCTTGGCTCTTCGATCCAAATAGGGGAAAGACAATAGGGAGACATCATCAACAAGCAACACATCAAAAAATACGAGTGCAAGGTGACGAGCGCCATCTCCGGATGCGTCGTCGGACATCATCGATGTCTGAGTATCCCTGTAATGAGAAACATCAGCGGGCGTGAGCGATACTATGGCCGGCTCACTCACGATTGGAATTGGTCCGACGGGCATTGCGGGGTCTTATGCCGGACACCGATCGCGGTGGATTCCACCAGTTCTCGAATTCGCCAAAACTCTGCATTGGGGTTAGCGATTCGAAGAACAAGACTTCGGGGAAACGAATATACCATCTACACGGTCATGAGCGTCTGAGAACGCTACCATTTCGGCCTCGACGATGAGGCTTCTCTTGAACGAACACTTGGTCACATCTGTGGGGCTTTCTGGTGGCGACAAACCAAACGCGTCGCGAATGAGTCTGTCAGGCGTCGCGATGTTTAGTGAGTCTGGCAAGCTCCCGATCGTGAATTAAGACGCACGGATGGATAGCTGCGCGATCGAACGTCGAGTCTCTACCGCTCTTGCTGATGATTTTGATATGTGAGTGTCCGTCGTTCGTGATCCAGACATGGATTTGCGCTCGCTCGCCGTCGTACTTCGTCTCCATCCAAACCGCGTCAGTTCCATGGAGCACCCGAAGAGCGTGTGCAACACCCTGGCCTTTCGTACACTTCGGGATCTGCGTAATCGGTGAGTATATGCGATGCTAAAAAGCCAACCCAAGCACGGCACCTCCACAGGAATCCCAGCTTCAGGCCGCGGAAGTTTGTCACCCGGACGTAGCGAGTCGAATATGCGCGTCGCTTCGTCCATATCGGACCGCACCTTATAGATCTGCCTGAGCCTTCTCGAAGGATCCCAGGCGCGCATGGCTTGCTCTCTTGTGAGCATCGAAACCGCGTTGCTGTTGTATTGGAGCAGTGCCGGAGTGTAGTGCGTGGCGGTGGAAGGAATTGGATACAGCAGCGGGCGGAGGTCCTTGAGAATGATTTGCGTGACGACGGCAGCTTCCTGTGGATCCAGCGACGCGTAGAGCGTCTTCAATATCGCTTCCCTTTTGCGTCGTGGCGTACCTGCCGAGGCGAACGTGACGTGCACTGAAGATGCTGAAAATGCGTTTTTGGCGGCAAGCTCCGTGAGGAGTGTGTCGACGTGTTCGATTGTCACTGCAGCCGAAGAGGAAGCTTGAGAGTGCGCGGTGTCCGACGAGATCTTGCTGACTTCGTCTCCTAAGCATCCTATTGCGTCTTCTGCTTTCCAGTTCTTCAATCGCTGCCCACGACCGTGTCCTTGGCATGATACTCCGAGAATTTTGGCGAGATATTGTGCCAGGCCTGCCTCTTGCAACCCATACTTACGTTGCACGTTGTCTTCAGGGAAGAGAAACCGAAATATGATAGCAGTTGTGTGCGGAGGAAGTGGGGAGTGATTTTTACGCAGGTTCCTCACCCATCCATTGAAGATCTTGTATGCAGGAGTGTCCAGCCAATGGTCACTGTTCTTCTGCGTCTTGGAAGCCGGTCTCGGCTTGACTTTGGCAAGAGCATCTACAAGCTCGACAAAACTGATCGCGATAAAGGAGGGACGACATTTGCTCAATGAAAGTAGGGAGGATTCAATAATGAACTCACAAGGCAAACGGTACACCTCCCCCCTCCGTCTTGCATTCCATTCGCATATCCTTGTACCGGCGAGGCGCGCGGATCGCTTCGAAATGCCAAGGCAGAATATTGAGGTCGCAATAGTGACTTGATCTTCTGTGCTAGCACTCCTATCGAGATCACGCTGCCGCGGTATCACTCAACGGAAATTGATAGACCTGATTGGATGGCTTGTGGTGGAGCGAAAGGAAAGAAGGACAGGAGCTGACAGGAGGGCGGCAGGAGAGCGGTCGAGGGTCGACGGATCCAGCATGTGTGGAATCCAGGATCAACACGAGCGCGTCGAGGTGAGCTTAGTCAGACACGCCATCACGTGCCACGCGCCGATCATGCAAGTCCTCGAGGCTCGTGTTGTGGACGAGTGTGCTCTCGTCTTGACCTCACAAGCCTCCGAAGGAGGAATGCGACCCTACGGCCACTGCACTCTATGCTCCTTTCCATCCGGGACAACGGACTGAAGTCTGAGGGACGACTGTGTGCATGAGCCTATCGTGGCGTCATCGCAGATCGCGATCTGTGGCGAATTTTGACTCCTCCAAGCACAGAACACTCGCCTTACTCTTTTCCCCATTTTGTGCGCCATGTCCCCTCCCATCGGTGTGCCTGCCAGTGTTTGACGCCGTTCTTGTGCTAACTTTGACCGAAGCTCTTCTGTCCGTCTACGACAAGGCCAGCTTGCTTGATCTGGCGAGTGGCCTGCACAACGCTGGTGTTCGTCTCCTGGGCTCTGGAGGCACCGCGAAGAAGATCAGGGAAGCCGGAATTCCCATAGAGTGAGTGCCAGCCTCATGAAACGGAGCGGGCTTGCAGAGGTTGGCGTACAGAGATGTCGCGGATATCACGAAGGCACCAGAAATGCTGGGCGGACGGGTGAAGACACTCCACCCTGCTGTTCACGGTGGTGAGTATTTTTTATCTCCTCGCGCGTATGGTCCGTCCGTAGATCCCATCCTCACACATGGCTGTGCAGGTATTCTTGCACGATCTATTCCCTCGGACAAAGCCGACCTTGAAGCTCAAAGCATCTCCCCCATCTCCATCGTCGTCTGCAACCTCTACCCGTTCACTTCCACCATCGCGAAGCCGGACTGCTCACTTGCGGATGCAGTCGAAGAAATCGACATCGGAGGTGTCACGCTGCTTCGTGCTGCCGCGAAGAACCACGAGCGTGTCTCCATCCTCTCGGACCCCGCAGACTACACCCAGTTCCTCGAGGCGTGGAAGGCTAGCAATGGCGATGTTGGCCAGGCAGTCAGGAGCAAGCTCGCGCTGAAGGCATTCGAGATGACAGCAACGTATGACGACGCCATCAGCGGGTACTTCAGGGAACAGTATGCGTCTTCTGAGCTCCCCGAGGACAAGCTTGCCGGGCCAGTCCAGCGTATGGCTTTGCGCTACGGTGCCAACCCCCACCAGAAGCCGGCGCAAGCGTTCGTCAAAGAAGGCGAGCTGCCATTCAAAGGTACACCTCATTTCCACATCTACCTCCCCTCATTCTGACATAGGGGACCAGCTTTGTGTGGGTCACCTGGATACATCAATCTTCTTGATGCTCTCAACTCGTATGCGCTCGTGAAGGAGATGTCGGAGGCGCTCGATCTCCCCGCAGCCGCATCCTTCAAGCATGTTTCCCCTGCCGGCGCTGCCGTCGGCATCGAGCTTAACGAGGTGGAGAAGAAGGTGTACGGGGTCGACGATCTCAAAGAACCGCTCACCCCATTGGCGTATGCGTACGCTCGCGCTCGAGGTACGAGGTCTTCCTCCCATAAAGCATCTAATGCATCTCAACCTGAGTTCCCAGGTGCGGACCGTATGTCTTCCTTTGGTGACTTTATCGCCGTATCGGAGGTTTGCGACCTTGCTACTGCCAAGATCATCTCGAGGGAGGTTTCCGACGGTATTATCGCACCAGGATACTCTCCAGAAGCCCTTGAAGTCCTGTCCAAGAAGAAGGGCGGCAAGTACTGTGTGCTTCAGGTACGTACCGAGTTTGTGGTAGATAGCTGAGGCTTACCCTTGGTATCCATAGATTGACCCGTCGTACAAGCCGGCCGAGGTCGAGACACGTCAGGTGTATGGCATCTCTCTGCAACAGCGGAGAAACGATGCCAAGATCGACCCCAGCCTCTTCCAAAACATCGTCACCAAGAACAAGGAGGTGCGCCGGTCGTCCGCTGCTGATCATCAGTGCACCTGGCTGACGCCCTCGCCGCAGCTGACGAACCAAGGCCTGACGGACCTCATCGTCACCACCCTCGCGCTCAAATACACGCAGTCGAACTCGGTCGCGTACGCGTACCGCGGCGCGCTAGTCGGCATCGGCGCCGGCCAGCAGTCGCGCATCCACTGCACGCGGCTCGCGGGGACCAAGGCGGACTTGTGGTGGCTGCGGCACCACCCCCGCGTGCTTGCGCTGCCGTTCAAGAAGGGCGTCAAGCGGGCGGAGAAGGCGAACGCGATTGACCTCTTTGTGGCAGGCGAGCCGCTGAGCGGCGGGGAGCTCGCGCAGTGGGAGGCCAACTTTACGGAGGTGCCCGCGGCGCTGACGGCGGAGGAGAAGGCGGCGCACGCGGCACAGCTGGACGGGGTCGCGTGCTCGAGCGACGCGTTCTTCCCGTTCCCAGACAATGTGCACCGCGCGTGCCGGAGCGGGGTTACGTTCTTGGCGGCTCCGAGTGGGAGCGTTATGGACGAGGAGTGCGTGAAGGCGGCGGACGAGCACGGGATGGTGTTTGTGCATACGAACCTCCGTCTCTTCCACCACTGAGCGTTGCAAAGGAGCTGAGAAGTACCAACATGTTGTATTACTGTGCTTGAATGAATCGCGTCTTAAACCTGCCATTGGAGCTGCGCGTTCGAGTGACTATCTAAGTTTGTCCGTAAGCCTCTATACCTACAGTATACTATCCAGAGCAGTTGCACGAGAGGGGGAGTATGTACTAAAGTACATCATGTATGCAGCAGAACAACCGATGCGAAGATGAGCTTCGGGTATACCAATCCAACCCTCGTGTATCCAAAAACAAGCTGTACGCATCCTTCCTTTACTTCACCAAACGCGCCATGTCGAACTGGCCCGTCCCAGAGCCCATGATCGGCGCGCGGAAGTCACGCTCGCGCTCCACCTCGCTGAACCGGCCCCAGTTGACCCACCACTCCTCAGCGGCGTCGTACGCGTCGTAGACGAAGATCTCCGCGATCTCGTTGAACTGGTCCCGCGTCGCGCCCTCGTCCCACTCGTCCCCCTCGTCCTGATGGCGCGCCATGCTCTCGTCGCGCGCCTGCTGCACCGGCCCCGGCGCGAGCGCCATGAGCCGCGCGTTCGCGAGGTCGGCGGCGTGCGTGAATTCGGCGCGGGCCTGGCGGAGCTCCTGATACGCGGAGAGGAAGGTGGGCAGCTGCCCGGGGCGGCGGAGGCGCGCGAGGAGCGCGCCGAGTACGACCGCGTCCTCGACGCCCATGCTGCCCGTGTGCGACCCTCCGGGCTGTGGCACGGTGGATGCGGGCGTGAGCGCGAAGCGGGGCGCTCGGAGTTCGAGTCTAGGTGGGACGGGACGTACACAGGAGGGGTGGGCGGCGTCACCGATGAGGACAATGCGTCCGGTCGAGTCGACCCAGTCGGCCTCGGCCCGGTCGGCGTGCAGGAGGTGCTGGGTGCGAATGAGTGTCGGACCAGCCATCCGAACCATACGCTGCAGCCTGCGAGGAGGCCGTATGAGTGCCAATGATGCCAGGGAACGGAAGCATCGATTCACAGGCAGATACTCACTCTGGAGACAAATTGCTGATCCCTGTAGATTCCGTAGGTACTAGGTCATTCCATGTCTCATCGCCTCCTTGAGGGAGACCGTCTTGGGTATGTGACCAGATATGGAAGAAGTACCCTTTCTTTGCGCGCTGATGAAAACGCCCAGGCGTCATCAAAGCGCGTGTAGGTGCGCTAGAAGAGCACTTACGATAGGGTGCGCTTTCGTACGGATTACCATCAGCATCGGGTACGGTACAACATCCCTGAAGTAAGACTTACCGCATAAACTCCGGTGGGATCCCATCCAGATAGGCCACTATGACATACAAAGTAGGTGTCAGCCTGGGTTGTGTTCGGGATGGGTTTCGGCGATCAAGCTCACGTTGTCGCCTGAAGCCCACTGTCGCAAGTCCGAGTCCTGGAGCATATCTTCGGTGGAGTCGATTACACCAGTATAAACCGTCAGACCGCCAGGCTTGGTCTCTTCCTCATAGCCCAGCACCACGGGTCGAACTTGGCTACTGTTTCCGTCGGCACCGACGAGGACGTTTGCCGATAGAACCCGTCCGTCCACTAGGGTGACACTGGGGTTCGGAGAGCTTTCTGTGCCTGGGTGAATTGAAGAAACTGGTGTGTTGAACTCGACGATGGCTCCCGCATCCGTGGCGAGTCTGTGTAATAGGCGTAAGAGGTCCTGTCGCTGCAAAGAGATAAGTCCTGCGTCTCTGCACAGAACACGGATGAGAACGACTCACGTGGATAACGAGGAAATCACCGCCCGTTTCTGCCATGACGGCCGCTCTCCACGGCAGGTAACCAATGGAAGAACCGGTGTTCACTGTGTGAACAGGAGTATGAGCGATGCTCCGGGGGCAGCGGATAATGAAGTCGCACGGTGCATAAACGGGGTGCCAACGCATCTTGTCGCCACCTTCATGAGCTCCTCTTCGCCGATCCATCGTTTGAGGATCTTGCTAAAGTTGGGAGGAAGACGGATACCTCCACTGGGAGCAGAGAGATTGCTCTTCTCGAGAACACGGACTCGGTGTCCAGCGGTACTTAATGTGTATGCAAGAGCAAGACCGCTGATACCTGCCACCGAGACCGGATGATGATCCCTTGCGCTTATGAGGAAGAAAAGGAACTACTTACCGCCGCCAACGACAAGGATGTCAAGGGCAAGATCAGCTCTTGCAGAGGATTCGGCGTTCATCAGAGGTAGAGGATAGGAGGTAGGACGTGTCAGAGGTGAGCAGCGGGTGAACGAGAGGAGAGATAAAGAACGGGCGACGGAATGATGCCTGAAGCCGTACTTGTGCTGCCCATGATATGGGCATCTGCTGTGAAAAGAAGACTCGCTTAAGTGTGGATGAGATCTAGCGCCGAGCGAGAGATGCACAGGACGAGCATCCGGGAATGACCCGAAGCCACGGCCATTTACGCACATGAAGTTTCATGAAGGCTTCTTGCCTCCGTTGATGAGCTCGATGCGTAATGGCTACTTCTGAGCGGGGAAGGGGAAGTGCCTGGGAGAGCGTCCAACTGAAAGTGAATTATTACGGTGCCGTTTGACACTCCAAATGGCAAACCAGGCCGAACATCGGCGGCATTTGTGTGCCGCGTGTGAGTGTGGTACCAGTGGAGACCGGCAGACTTGGAGGCGAACCTGTGACGCAAAAGCCCTGATGTGCTCGCTACATAAGTAGTGGACGAACCCAGATCTTTGGCGGCTCCCCAAAAATATCAATATCTTGTGGTTGGATCATGAAGCGAGTTGCGGAACTTGGAGTTCAAATGTAGGGCTGTTCGTCTCTAGACTCGAGAAGCCGTTGTCCCCGCGTCCTCGCCCGCGCTGCCTAGGATAACCCTCCCTGCTCTGAGGGGTATCAGATGACCTCCATGGCAGCTGGAACATATCATACCTCGATTCAATAGTTGTGGAGCTACCCAAGGGGCAAGGAAAGATGGTATTCGACAACGATGGCGCATGCTTCACATATGAGCTCAAGATACACACACCCGGCAGCCTCGTATGCGAACACCGAAGTGATTGATACACGGACCTGATGGTCTCCAGCCGTTATCCTGACGGCGTAGAGGACGATTTGCGAGCGCAAATCTGGCCACGTTCCTGCTTGCACAGAGAGGATCGGTGGTGTGCGTTTGTTGCCAATCTACTGCCTTCTGTTGCTGAGGTGCGACCAAATCACACGAAGGATGGCGGCGACCCTGCGGATGACGCTGTCAAGCAAGTATGCATTCTGGGATCGGAAGGTGTATAAACAAGAGAATTCAGGAAAGAGAGACTGCGCCAGTGGCGGCGGGCCGGTGTGCATAGTGGACCGGCCTCGGTCGGCGGAGGCGGACTGGTGCCGGACCGCCGGCGGCGAGGCAGCCTCACGGCACAGTTCGTTTGGGGCCAGTCGCCGAGTCCTTGTGGCGAGCTCGACCTGCCTTTCGTTCGCGACGCGAGTCCCTCGTGCCCCCTTGCTTTCGCTCGTCCATCTGCTGTCGTTTGCTCTGCGCTGCTATGGTATTCAACTTCAGCTTCAGCCTTGCAGTCCCCGGCATCACCAACCCATTCACGGCCGCGGCGGCGGAACTGGTAGCGGCCGAGCCCGGAGCGCCGCAGCCTCCTAAGTTCGACAAGCACTTCAGCACAGATAACCCCCGCCTGGCCCAGTCCCCGCGCCGCCGACGTCCTTCTCCATCTCCCCTCCTACCCGTGTCAAGGAAGAGAGGATGGGTGCCCTCTAATCCAGAGCCCAGCCGCGCCGCTCCTATCCATACCTCCACCAGTGGCTACCTCGATACCCCATCCAAGTACCGGGAGATGGCTGAAGAGAACGATGAACATGGCGAGCTGGAAGAGTTGGTCGTAGGTGGGTCCCTCTCTTTTCCCACCTTTCTTCCAGAATTGTCTCGCCCCCACACTCTTTTTTGCTCGACTTCTGGCGCGGCACTTGTCCCGTATGTTCCCGCGTTATCTTCCCTGCCGATGCACATCTGCCGTCTCTTTACGTCGCCGCTAGCCGGAAGACGCTTGGGTTTTCACGCTCTGGAGCCTCGGCTGCCTAACCGGTGACGCGTGGCCGACCTGCAGCGTGCATACAACGTGTTTTCAGACGGTAGTCTTTGCCTCGTGCAAGTCTTATCTTGACAAACACACCTTTCCCCGCCCCCATCCGCGCCGTACGCCTGTGTGCACCCATGTTCGAACTGCTGGACCTCCATGTCCTTGACACTTTTAGCCTTGACTATGATTCTACTGCGACTGCCTCATGCTTGCTTGTTGTATTCAGTTGCCCCCAACTTACCTTTTCCCTCCGCGTAGACCTTCCTCCTCCCAAGCGTCGCAGGACTCTTGCGGGCTCCATCATCTCCACTGCATTGAGTGCAGCCCTCATTGGGACTGCCGTAGGTTTGACCGTTTACCGTTTGTGAGTGAAACCTCCCGCTTCCACCACAGGGTTCAGCTGAACTCTCCTAGATGGAGAGATCGCGGAAAGGGTCCTGAAGCGCTTCCTCCTCCCCCGTACGAGCAAGGAGAATGGGTTCCTCCTGATGTATGTTTCTCGTTTTCACGAACGGTTCACATATACTCAACATTGCCTATCTGCCAGTCGCAAATGTCTGACCCTGAGCCTTCGTCAAAGGTTGGCGCATCCAACACCCCCCGTAATCGTAAGGCTCGCACAGTCGCGTATCGGCGCACCCCTCGTCATCGGAAGACGCCTTCTCGCCCGAACGCCGCAAGTGCACCGCACACGTACGGTTACGCGTCCTCCTCCCGCGCCCCCATCCCCCCCGAGTTCGACTTCGCAAGTGGATCACGGGCTAGTCCAAAGCCGACAGAGGACGCCGACCCCGAAGAGCAAATGTCTTGGATTGGCGATCGCCTCACACAGCTGATTAGCGAGGGCCAGAAAGCTCTCGGTAAAGAGGTGGTCATCATGAGCGAGGACCAGCAGGACGAAGAAGACGACGGCTCTGGGGCGTGGGTAGAGGAGGATGAAGAAGACCGGCCTAGATCACGTCGGCGCAATGGGTTCGGGCTTCCTCCCTACTCCCCGCAAACCCCTCTATCCCCACACACTCCCACCTCCAGTCCCTTCGACCGTGGATTGTCAGTCGAGTCCGACAGACGGTCTATCGCGGGCAGCCTTCACGAAGATGAATCGTCTTGGCAAACACCGGAGATGAAGGCCAGTATGGAACGCGCCCGTGCTCTCTACAACCAGAAACGCGGCCACTAAGGGCCCCTTCATCTTGTGTTGTACCTGGCGTTTCTCTTGGGTTCTCCGCTCGAAGGTCCATTTCCTTGTGGCTTCGAGTTCCGCGGATCTGTTTTTGACATGGCGCCATTCCCTCATTTCCTTCGCCGTGTCACCCCGTTTTCTTGCGAATCTGTTTCGCCCTCTGCGACCCTTTTGCCGTTTCCATCTCCGTCACGAATTAGATACGACACCCACGACGCCATGTTCTTTCTCCACCAACATCCCCACCCCATACTGTCATATTGCTTATCATATTAGCACCCACATTACGCATCCCGTACGCCGCATCCTCCGCATCGTTTTGGTCAAGTGACACTGCCCCTTCCGAACGCTCTAGTAGAGTATTCGTGTTTTCTATGTAGCAACATCTCCACTGTGTTATGTTTTCAATCCTTATGCCACCGGGTCTCTGGTCGACGCCGTTGGGCTTCGACCCCTATTTTCGCATCCATGCGGGCGAGTTGTGTTCTGCGTGTTGAAGGTATAGGGCGACCTCGGGCACGGTTCAGAAGACTGGCTCCCCTTGATAATGGGGTATCAAGTGCTCGGCGCTCACGCTGCGCGCACCTGCAGATGATCGGGGGCCCGCGGCAGGCGCAAAGGCCATCCACAGCCTCGCGACGTCAGCCAAACGTTTGCTTCCAACCATCCGAACATCCTCGTTATCTTCCACTTCCGCACAGTAGCCAGGAGGGCGCGATTGAAAGTCGATTCGATCGGTGCGTGCGCCCACGGATCTGACGCGCTCCTGCATACCGTAACATATCCGCCCCCTCGCGTCTGCTCCCCTCGGCTGTGCAGGTCCCGTCCTTGCGGTCCAGCACCACCCTCGTCCGCACGTCCCAACCTAGGTGCGTGCGCGGATACGAACACAAGTCCCACCCGAAGCCTCACTCTGACATCAGGAAGCACGCACTTCGCACGCGCCGTGCACGCCCCTGCGCGGAGAGGACATAGGTATTAGGCACATAGCAGGCCGGCTCCTTGGCCGCAGACTCGCCACCATCACCCGCACAGGACCTGCCTCACCGCTTCTCTGCAAACCTTCCGGACCCTCCCTTGCCTCCCACCCCACGGCCTCAGCTCACGGGCACGGCGGACCAGCAGCAGGATGTCGACGATCTCGCCGCACCTCCGTAACTTCAAGGAGCCGACGAAGGACCAGCTCACGCAGCTCTTCTTCGCGCTCCCCTCCAGCTCGGGGGTCGACAACCCGAACGCGTCGGGCTCCGGCATGCCGTACGCGAATGGGAGCGGCGCGAGCGAGAAGCAGTCCGCAGAGAAGGGGACGGGCGAGGAGGAACTGGAGAAGATGGAGATCAACGCGGTGTTGAGCTTGGGGGTTCAGGGCGAGGAGGACTCGTATGTGAGTACCCCCTTTATTTGGCGGGGAAGATGAGGTGGCTGCAGAGGCAAAACGAAGATGAGGATGCAGTGAAATCTTGTGGCCGATGCTGCCGGGATTTTGGGATAGACGGGCGCAGCGGAAGAACAGGAGACTGACGGCCCTGTTTGTTTTGCACATACAGGCAGGCAAGCTGCACCTCCTCCCACCCTATCTCGCATTCGTCTCCCTTGACCGCAAGTCGGTGCGTTTCACGATCCCGTTGTGCACAATTCGACGGGTAGAACGGTTGAACGCACGGGCTGGCATCTATGCGCTCAGCCTCGCGCTGTGGCATGGGATGAAGATCGTAAGTACCTCTCCCGATGTCGTAACATTGAAGACTGATGAACGCGCGGCGGCGAACTGTACGCAGGTTGTGCAGTTGACGTCTCTCCGGCCAACGGCAGATCTGTTCTGTTCATTACTCCGAGATGCGCTCAAAGTCGAGTTGCAAAAGGGCAACATGAAATCCGTTAAAGGTTTCGTGAGAACATGCTACTCGGAAATGCTCGTCTCAAATACAAGCGATATGGACGAGAAGGCTGGAGAGGCTGCGAAAGCAGAGGAGGGATCGGCATCCAACGAGTCGATGTATCTCGGCGGTTTGGGGCTGAAGTTCAGGTTCCCCGGTGATCCCAAGAAGTGAGTGCTGTTAGTCGACCCTCTTGTCGCGATACTAACATAGGTAGATTGCGAGAAGCGTCCAAGACCAAGTTGTGGACGAATTATCTCCGAAGTCAGTCCATATGCCATATAATAGGATCTCGTTCTCAGATGTCTCCACAGCCCATGGTCGAAACCTCACCCTCCTCCGCTATCCTCAGTGCACCCGTCTCATCCAGGTCGGTCTTCCGAACAGACTAAGAGGCGAGATGTGGGAGACACTTTCTGGGTCGCTCTACCTCCGCTTTGAGAACCCTGGGTACTATGACCGCCTCACAGCGGAAAACCAGGGGAGGATAAACACGAGCACGGAAGAGATTGAGAAGGACCTGCACCGTAGTCTGCCAGAATACTCTGCTTACCAAAGCGAGGAGGGCATCAGTGCGCTTCGGAGAGTGTTGCAGGCGTACTCGTTCAAAAACCCAGAGACGGGATACTGTCAGGTATGGCATTTGTCGTACCCTAGGTGTTTATCAAAACTTAACCCGTGGACATAGGCGATGAACATCCTCGCCGCTGCAATCCTCATGTAAGCTCCGTCGAACTTATCGCGAGGCATCATACTAAAGCCCCTCTCCAGCTACATGTCAGAAGAGCAAGCATTCTGGGTGCTCGAAGTCATCTGCGATCGTCTCCTTCCAGGATACTACAGGTCAAGATACCATGATTATGCATGCTGCCGAATTGATGCTGACGAAATGACACAGCCCGTCTATGCATGGGACTCTTCTTGATCAACGAGTGTTCGAGTCTCTCGTCCATCGATGTCTACCGGTCATTCATGACCACTTCACGGAAGTGGATGTGCAGCTATCTGTCGCGTCCCTCCCGTGGTTCTTGAGTTTGTGAGTGTGTGTCGACGATGACACAAACACACATACTGATGCTAGGCACACACAGGTTCATCAACAGTATGCCGATGGTCTTCGCCTTTCGGATCATGGACTGTTTCTTCTGCATGGGTCCCAAAGTGCTCTTCCAAGTGGGGTGAGTGTTTTGCCCCCTTGCTTTGCTAAGGTACTGATGGTATATTTTCATACAGACTTGGTATGGACCACTTCGAAAGAGAGCTTCCGTGAGATTAACAACCCTCACAGCCATCCTTAAGATCAATGGAGAGAAGCTGCTCAAAATCCAAGACGACGGGCAGTTCATTCAGTAAGCGATTGCAGATCTCAACCACAGATGTCCCGCTCATACTCGTCAGCCTCATGCGGGAGTACTTCTCGTCCCTCGGTGACTCCGCGCACCCGCAGTCGTCAGATCCCCGTGCCCGCGCGATCACACGCTTCCAAGAGCTCCTCCTCGTCTCCTTCCGCGAATTCTCTGTCATCTCCGACGAGACCATTCACTCCGAACGGCGAAAGTACCGATCAGAGATCGTGCACAGCATCGAGTCGTTCTCGAAGCGATCTGCTGTCCGGAACCTGCGCACGTTCGAGCGGTTCTCGAAGGATCAGGCAGGCCTCATCTATGACGCGCTTTTCAAGGCGATCTGCATCGAGCCACCGCCAGCTGTATCGCTCCCACCACCGTCGCTCCTGACGACAAAAGACCAGGCAGAAGAGCGGCCGGAGACGCGCATCACTCTCAAGACGTTCAAGGTATTCCTGGCAGAAATCTGCACATGGGCGAGGACGGAGAAGATTGTGTCGAACGGGTTCCAGGTACGAAAGTCTCGATTCATTGTGATTCTGGAAAGCTGATGGCTAGCACAGCAACGGATCGACCGCTCGATAGCCGAACACGAGCTCATTGACCGGCTATTCTTCTTCTGGGATATTGGGTACAGAGGAGCACTGTCCTTCCAGGTCGGTTGAATACCACACCCCTCCAAGACTCATCTGACCCCATGAGCAGGATATCGTTTGTGGTCTGGACGGGGTGATGTTCAATGACCTCATGGAGAACATTGAGTGGTTCTTCAACTTGCACGACAAGAACAAGGACGGCTACCTCACGAAAGACGAGGTCCTCACCCTGTCCGAGTCGCTTCTCGTAAGCAGATTTTACTTCCTTGTGTGCTGCGTCGACGCTCATGATCCTCGTAGTTCATCTTCCGCCACGAGATCGGTGACGCCTATCTTGGTGCAGTCAGTCGCTTCATGTCGAACGCCTTCGAGTACGGAGATGCTCTCCTTCCACGTCCAGAGGGCGCCGATGAGTCCGAATCCCCGCACGTAGAATCCAACCAGCCTTACATGAACCTCGCAACGTAAGCACCTTGCTCTACGTCAGCCCCCCTTGTTAACATCCCACGTAGGTTCCGCATGGTCGTGCTCGCGGACGAAATCCTCGAGTCCTTCTTCGAGACCGACTTCTCGAGCACCTTCCGGCTCGAGCCCGTCCCGCTCGAGGACATCCCCACGCACAGCACCCTGCTCGGCGGCCTCTGGCAGAACATCGCGACGGACGACAACCGCAAGATCTTCCACAAGTTCACGGACGAGATCGGCCGCGCCGTCGGCAAGCACCAGGTCTTCACCCGGCCCGCGATCGGCAAGTACACGACGCTCGAGGAGCCCAAGGCGCGCGAGTCCCTCCTCACCCCGACCATGCGCCACTCCGCGTCCAAGGGCAGCCTCGCGAGCCTCGCCGAGGTCGAGGCGCCCGCGCCAAACTCCTCTCCCGGGGACCCCGCGCCCGCCGCGGCGGACGGGGAGAAGCAGCCGGCGCCGATCTCGACGGGCGCAGCGACGCTCGCGGCGGGCGCGGCGAGCCCGGAGATGGCGTCCGCGCTGGGCGGGATGCCGGACATGTTCACCGCGGCGGCGACGGCGGCGGCGCTGATGGAGCGCACGCCGTTCGCGATCGACGACGCGAAGGACGAGGAGTCGGAGACGGACGACGAGACGGACGAGGGCGACGACGACGTGCTCGACGAGGTCGACGCCTTCCTCGAGGCGCACGACTCGGGGCTGACCGAGGCGGAGCGCGAGCTCGCGCAAGGTGCGTTTGGGCCGTCCTTTGTTCCGGTAGGCTCGAGCTGACGCGTGCGGCCGATGTACGCAGATCTGATCCACGCGGAGCCGGTGAAATAGAAAAGGGAGGGCGAGAGGTGGTGTGCTGGAGAAAGAGGTTTGCCCCGTTTTATGTACACCTTTCTATTCGTTCCCGTCGCACTGTTTTCGGAGGGGCAATGCATCGCACATTCTATGCCTGAAAGAGCAGCATGAGGTAGAACACTGTGATAATACATGTAGATGTACAGAGCAGAACAACAAAGACAGCATCGTAAAGCAACGGCGAAGCCGCGCGCGGCTACGAGCCCCCGCGATCCGTCCACAGGCGGATCGACAGATCCGAGTCCATCGACCCGGACGCGATCATGTTCTGCTGTGGGTGCGTCTGCCCGCCGGCTAAGATCAGCCCTGCGCGTTTTCACCCGAGCCGCAAAGCCACGCACCGCGACGGCGACGACGACGTCGGTGTGGCCCTCGAGCGTCTGGACGACCTCGCGGCTCTGGAGGTCCCAGATGTACACCTTGTTGTCCTCCGAGCCGGAGATGATCCACTTCCCGCCGGTGACGGAGAAGCAGGCGGCGATGCAGAACTTCTGGTTCGTGTGCCCGACGTACGTCTTCAGGCAGCGCGAGGTCTGGTAGTCCCAGAGGCGGATCGCGCTGTCGTGCGCGGTGGAGAGGATGTACTTGGAGTTGGGCGAGAACTGGACGTGCTGGCTGCGGACGCGCGAGGGGCGGTCAGCCCGGAGCACGCGGCGGCAGCGGAGAACGGAGGGGTACCATATCGCGTCGTGGCTCTCGGCGAGGGTCTTGAGACACTGCCCGGTGGTGGTGTTCCATATTCGACTGGGGCCGGGCGGGTGAGCGGAGGAAAACTTTCGGACGGGCACGGACTGACATGAGGCCGTCGAGGGAGCAGGAGACGATGAGGGACGCGTCGCGGTTGAAGTGCACGGCGGTCACGTAGTCGAGGTGCGCGAGGATCTTCTTGATGCACTTCCCTGGCGGGTCCTCCGCACGCGTACGAAGACGGGACGAAGGGGGGCGCACCTTTCTCCACGTTCCATATCCTGATCTCGCCGTCGCAGCCGCCGGAGACGAGGAGGTTCGACGCGGTGTTGTAGTTGACGCAGAAGACGTAGCTCGTGTGGCCCTTGAGCACCTTCTGCGTCAAGCCCTGCAAGGCCCCGTGCCCGTGTCGGTGCCCGCTCGCGCGGCCGAGACAGAAGAGGCGCGACGCACCGTGTCGACCTCCCATATGCGCAGTGTGTGGTCGTCGGAGGCAGAGGCGAGGTTGACGCTGTCCGCGGACCACGCGATGTCAGACAGCCCCTTGGTGTGTCCGTTGAGGTTCCGGATGAGCTCGCCGGTGAAGGGAGACCAGATCTTGACCGCCTTGTCGTTCGCTGCCGCGCGATGAGACCAAGCGCAGGAAGATCACAGAGGACGCGCGGGAGACGCACCGCATGAGGCGAGCAGCGTGCCGTCCGGGCTGAACTTGACGGCGGAGATCGAGGACGTGTGCCCGCGCATGGTGTGTCTGAGCTCGTAGTGCGGTCGCTCGCGGGCGGTCACGGTCGCTGGAGCGGGGGCGGCGGCAGGCGCAGGCGGAGGGGGCGCGGCGGGGGCTTGCCGCTGCGGGACGTCGTCCTCTGTGGTCTGAGAGCCGGCCTCATCGTCGGTTGTCGAGTCGCCGTACTTGTTTTCGGGGTGCTCCATATGCGGGGGTGTATAGACAAGGCGCCTCGGGTGGCCGATGACTCTGCGGGAGCGGAGGAGGGATCCTAGGGCGCCAAATTGTGGGCTGAGATAAGATAAGACGGTGCTCGTGGCCACTGGCCAGTCGTCGCCCTGCGCGAGTCCTTCCATGAGAGCCGTCGCGGCCAAGAAAGGGCTAGTACTACTACTAGGCACTGCTCTCGTAAACGTGGCCGAGCGCGCCGCTGCTCTACCGAACGCCCTCAACGTTCCGTTCAACGCTCACCTGTCGCTGACAAAATTAATGTCTCCCGGTAAGTACTGGATCCGATTCTGGCCTTCGTTCGGGCATGAATCTCTCGACAGGGTGCAGAGAGAACGCGGGCCTGGGAACTCCTCCTTCACTGTTACGCACAGTGTACATACGCTCGTCGCTCCGCTTGATCGAGGTGGGATGTTGGGAAGCCCCCAGCGTGAAGGATCAAGTACTAGTGGCTGGCTCGCATATTCTGCCTCGGATCAATATTACAGAAGTCCGGCGCGTACCAAATACTCGAGTCGAGCATCATCACCTAGGCCTCAAGCGAACTACTAGGAGCCGCCACCCACCCCACAGGCCGCTACTTATCGTCCAGACTTGCTCTCATCCGCCGATGTCTGACAACTATCTATATCAGTGTCTGATCTGTCTGACGCTGCTTGAGCGGTGGGCATATAAACCCCCCCACGCCCCGACGCCCGGCCACCTTCCTTCCGGCCACCCCCTCTCCCCGCCACCGGTCACGCATAGCGTCAGGTATGGCCTTCGGTCTATCTGTCGTCGACTTTGCCGTCGTCACCTGTGTGGCCTCTGCTTTCGCTCTATATCGCCTTTTCAGTGTTCCCTCCCACCTCCGACACATCCCCACAGTCCCTCTCCTTCCGCTCCTGTACAGTTATTTCTCCGGCGAAGTCGAGGAACAGCGGATAAAGCGCCTCGTCCTCCCCTTCGCCGAGAAAAAGGACACCAGCGTCGTGCTCGTCTTCTGTCTCGGCGACTGGATGGTGCAGGTCCTCGATCCCAAGGTGGGCCCATATTCTCCCTCGCTCTCACGCGCCCACATCGCGAACCTGACGGCTCCATTCCTTCCCGCGCGCCCTCTTGGTCGCTCCATGCTTCCCGGAACAGGTCGGAAAGCAGCTGCTCGAGAGCCCGCACGTGCGCAAGCAGCCGCAGCCCGCCGACATGCTCCTCTGGCGGCTCATCGGGCGCAACAACGTGTTCATGTCCGACGGCGCGATGTGGAAGCGTCAGTCCCGGATCATGCACGACGCGCTCAAGCAGACAACGCCCGTCCACGTCTTCGCCGACCTCGCCCGCACGACGATGGGCATCCTCGGCGACGGCGGCCGCGTGCGCTGGAACGACCTCACGAACCGGTACACGCTCGACGCGGTCGGGACGACCGTCATCGGCTACGACTTCCAGGCGCTCAAGCACCCACACGGATCCTTCGTCCGCCGGTACCACGACGTGATGGCCGCCATCGCGAGCCCGGCGTACGTCGTCTTCCCGAAGCTCGAGCGCTGGCTCCCGCGGCGGGGCGTGCGCAAGATGGTCGACGACTTCGTCGCCGATTTCGTCGGGCTCATCAACGAGAAGAAGCTCAGCCCGGGCAACGACGTGCTCACCTTCATGTTCGACGAGCCGGAGATGACCGAGGACGAGTACCGCGACAACTCGATCGTGACCTTCATCGGCGGCCACGTGCGTATCCCCGCCTGTAGCCTCCCGCGAGCCGCGGCGACGCGAGCCGAGGCGTGCTGACCGTGACGACCCTGCGCAGGACACGACCGCGGGCGCGCTCTCGACCTCGGTCTACTTCCTCGCCCGCGACCCGGCCCTGCAGGCGCGGGTGCGCGCGGAGGTCCTCGCCGCGCTCGGCCCCGAGGAGCCGCGCGCGGCGCACTACGCCGCCACGCCGCTCCTCAACGCCGTCATCCGCGAGTCGCTCCGGCACAACACCCCGACGAACATCACCGTGCCCCGCGTCGCGGACGTGCCGCTCGACGTCGGCGGTTGGGCGGTCCCGCCGGGCACACCGATGGCGCTGCACATGTGCGCGGCGCACCACAACGCGCGCGTGTTCCCGCGGCCGGACGCGTTCGCGCCCGAGCGGTTCCTCCGCGAGGAGGACGGCGCGGCGACGCTTGACGGCCTCGGCGGCGGGGGCGCGTGGGTGTCGTTCGGGCTCGGGGCGCGGCGGTGCCCGGCGAAGAACTTCTCGCTGTACGAGCAGCGGGTGCTGATCAGCATGCTCCTGCGCGAGTACCGCTGGACGCTCCCCGAGGACTCCGTCCACCGCGACTTCCTCAAGAACGGCTTCTCCGCGTTCGCGCTCAGCCTCCCGGAGAAGCTCGACATCGACTTCGTCAGGATCGGCGAGAAACCGGTCCCCAGCCCGGTGTAGGCTCTATCGTTACGATTACGAGGCTCCTGTTGTGCACTGTATGATCAGTGGATGTTGTACGCTGCCTGCTACTCACGAGTATTCTAAGACTTTACGCCCGCGACGATCACAATGTACAATAGAATACCCACCCCTGTCTGAACGGCGGAGCATTCACGATTATGCGAGGTCAGTACTGGTCGTCTGAAAGAGAGAGAGAGAGAGAGATAAGCGGCCATTTACGCTATGGAAGGTCGGCAAAGTATCGATCAGGACCGTGGGAATTACTCTGCTCTGTGCCGCGAACGAAAAATCGCCAGCGTCTGCTCGCTCTCTGCTTCCCTCCGCTGTGACCCATCCGAGCTCAATTCCATTCTATCTCGCTTCTTGCACAACAACAATTTGTGGCAATCGCTAGGGATTTGGCCATGCGAGTGTTGGTCTGAGTTGGTCGCCAGTGAGTCCGTCGTAATTTCCCTCATCCCACGTACCAAGTCAAGGCCCTTCACGCAAAACTCTACGTGTCGTGTCTGTTACGGTCGTGGAACATCGACGCTGCTCAGCTCTTCTGCCTCGCGGCTTCGTCATGAAGTCGCGGGGGTCACAGAAGACTGGGTCGGTATCGTCGCAGTAGAGTTGAGGCCAGCCCCGCTCATGAAGCGTCCATCTTTGGCTGTTCTCGTAGTTTGTGACACACATCTCTCAACCCCGCCCGTTCCATGTAACTTATCGTTGCGTACGCTTTCTATACATGATCAAGCCTTCCACCTCCATCCGCCCTTGTCCCGAGCATCCAGCCACCGCACGTACGCGACACAGAACCCCGCCGCCAAAGCAACGCGCCATCGTACACCGCGACGTCGTTGTAGCGCGTCCGCAGACTGTCCATCGTCAGCACCCCGCCCCGCCCCGCCACTGCGTCGCGACGGTCGCCCCCGGCTGTGCGTGCCCAAATGAGGCCCGCGATGGGCGCGCCGAAGAGCGCGCCGAGCCCGCGGATGAAGTAGATGAACCCGTTCACGCTCGAGTAGTTCTGGACGCCGTAGATCTCCGTGATCGTCGTCGGGAGGAGCGCGTTGTACCCGCCGGCCCAGACGCCGTAGAGGACGACGAAGGCGAGGAAGCGGGCGCGGTCCGAGTCGTACCAGAGCGCGAGGACGGAGACCGCGGAGAGGATGACCTGGGCGGGCGTGCGCGCGCGCGTCGCGAAGTCAGCGTTCAGCGTTCGACGATGCGGACGCCGCTGGGGAGAGAAGGGGGCGCGCTTACGCTGAAGACCATCGTGTTTTGCCGGCCGACGCGGTCGGCGAGGACGCCCATGCCGATGCGCGCGACGCTGTTCACGGCGGTGTTGACGGCCAGGAGCACGCTGCCTGTGGAGCTCGAGTAGGAGAGATCGAGATCGAGTAGGTGGTGAGGAAGTACGTGGGGACCACATTCCCTGCCGCCTGCAAGAAGGCTCCACAGGACTGGGACACACGGGGGCTCAGTGCGCAGCCCCGCGTTCAGCGAGAGTGCGCACGCACCTGAAGGACGAAGGTGCCGCGCCTGAGTAGGGCCATGCTGACGCGAGACCTTCCTGTCGCGCCTGCAGCCGAACGGTGCTTCTTGGTGAGGACGCTGCATATCGGGATGCTGAGCATCAGGTTCCATATGCCGAGGATGCGCAGCGCCCAGCGGATGCCGACTGTGGTGAGCAGCGTGTGGAAGACGGGGGAGAGCACGAGGCCGCCGACGCCCGATCCGGCGAGGACGATGCCCATCGCTGCTCCCCGGTTCCGGTCGAAGTAGGCGGGGGTGAGGGACATGAGTGGGAAGTAGTACATGCTCGAGCCGATCCCGTACAAGAGCCCCTGCGTGAGGAAGAGCTGCCAGAGCTGTGGGGGAGGGACGGGCGCTTCGTTAGCGGGTCTGCGGGTGGGTCCGGGAGAGCGGGGAGATGCGGACGTGGGTGCAAAAGCTGGCGAGGACGATGCCTGTGCTCATGATGAGTGCGCCAGAGAGGGAGATGAGCTTCATGTTGTCCATCCGGCCGATCATGGGATTGACGAAGATGCTGCCGCTCCAAGTGAGCCCACTGCCGAGAGTGCCGACAAGGGACACGAGCGCCTCTTGGCCTTGTGCATCTACGATAGTAGTCTCCGGAGAGGTGTAGAATTCCTGGAAGTAGCCGAGATGTGAGAAGAGTAGCTCTGACATGGGGGCAAAAGAATACCTGGAACAAGCCATAGATTGAATTGATCCCAATGACATGGAATGTCATCATGAACCCGGCGAAGATGAGCATGCATTTGTACGTCCGTGACGGCTCAGGTTCAGGCTCCGAGTCGGTTTCTTCACGGTTGAGCACCGAGGCCGCACGCGAAAGGTCTTCGAGGTCGTTTGCATGGCTGATGCTCGAGAGGGTGCTGAGACCGATGTCGCCGTGGCGAGGGACCATCCCGGTCGGAGTCGGAGAGCAAGGTCACGTCCACACAAAGCCGCTGAACGATATATGGGGATCGGATCCATTTGCCATTTGAGCACGCAATGGCGACGGGCGCCCGCGCTAATGCTGGCTTGGAACACTGGCTAGTTCCTGAACGATTCAGCGACCGTCTTTCTGTCTTTCTGTCGGTCCGTTGAAGCTGCGGCAAAATGAACACACCCGGACGTGGATGGCGAGAGGAGAAAGGGCGCGAAGGGCGGAGGCGCCGTCTCCAGCCGCGTGTCCAGTGACCAGCCAGTGCAGGCACGCATCATCGTTGCATTCAATATTCAGCGCTTTCAGCGGCCGTCGTTCAAAGCGAGGGAAGGAATGGTTGTATCGCGTCCACAGAGGTCGCTCTCATATAGGTCTGGTCATGGGCATTGAGGGTGATGATGGTTCTATCGTGACTCGTCGGCCTGGCGAGCTTTCCGGCCGATCGAAATTCGTTCCCCGCGCCAACCTCCGAGACTCCGGCGCTTCGACTGCTCATTCTGTCCCCATCAACACCCACCGTCTTTGACAACATGGACGACATTGTTTCCGATGCGGAAGTTGAGAAAGCTGTTGAACTGCTCAGGAAGACGGGGAAGGTAGGCATAACATCACTGTCGAGATCCGTATCTCTGATTGGATAGCAGTATATTGTCGTCCCTGTCAACGCACCTTCCACACCACCACTACCACCACGACCACCACCCACCAGTACCACACCAAACGACAAGGCGACTGAAGCCCCAACCGCACCCCCAGCTGTCTCTAGGTGGGCGGTGCCTAAGTGGGCGGTGATATTGCATGCGAAGAGAGAGAAGGCGAGTTCTCGCACCAGCGCTCTGTGCACACGGCTCCAATGACTGTTTGACACAGGCACTCCGCAAAATTTGCGACCGCTTCCCTCCCACTCCGTTCTTGCCAGAAAGTCTCTTTCCATATGGCACAGACATGATTCCCGTCGGCTCCACTCCCGACCCCAGTGTCTGGAAACAAGAATGGGACCAACAACAGCCAGGTCCAGTGCATCTCGTCAACTATGGCTTCGCCCTCGATGAGGCCTGGGCTATCAAGTTCGCGGCCCAATGCCAAACACGCTTCCACATGGAGCAGCGGATGACGCCGCAGTTGTTTAAGAGGAGCAGCTGTCCACGCATCATCGACTTTGCAACACTCACGCCGGACGTGCTTGCGTCGATGAAGAAAGACCGGGATTACTGGAAGTACGTGTGGGCCGGGCTGAAGAACTTGATCCTCGCGCACGCTTCGGAGAAGTTCGAGCCGATGTATATCACGTTGGGTCACCCAATTAGCCGCGATAATCTGATTGTGCTCGTTCTCTTTGACAACTACAACGCGACGAAACGGGTGTGGCTCACCGGCTGCCTCACCCACGAGCCCATCATGGACACCGTGAACAAGGTCAAGGAGTGGTTGACCTTGCCGGGCTTGGAGCCACCGGAGGCGATGTGGTGGTATGAAAGCACCTCGCCCCTAATCGTGAGTTGTCAGAACCTTCGTTGGTGAGTGTCTAGACTCACGTTCTTCCGTTCCATACAGCCGACGCTCGAGGAAGAATTGGACGACTGATCAACGTGGATACTCCGAGATTCTCCATTGCTATGCTGTTGTCCGCCGATGTGCACTCGTCCTGCTCTCCCTGTACCACGTTCGATACCCGTCGCATTGCTATGTATAAAATGTGGCATAGACACCGTCTGCACCAGTGTGACGCATGGTGTGTATGAAATTAATCCTCGACGATGGTCCATCTTTAAAGCTTCAAAGCTTCACCCCCATGCGTCACGAAAGTAGACTCGGGCTGCAGGCCCACAACCGTACATGATCGCGGGGACCCACAAGACGGCCAACAGAGCACATTGCGATGGAGCCTGATCCTGCGCTTTTCCAGTGGCTCTCATCTTATGTAGCTTCATCACACTACCTGCTTCGCTCGCCGCCACATATTACTTGATTACAGACTAGAGAAGGTCCGTTGTCAAGCTTTCAGGCCTGGCCTGGTCCGTCCACGTCGTCTCCAGGCCTTAGCCAACGTTTTGCAAGTACTCTCAGATACCCCCTCATCCCCGTTCTGGAATGCTCCAATGGCTACGACCCACCCTCCGGCGTCGACCACACACGAGCACGCCGCCCCTCCGCCTCCCCCAATGCATTCACGGTTCGTGGCGATCTCTGTGCTCTCCTCCGCGACACCGCACAGCCCGTCGTGGCCGCCGCGCTCATATGTAGAGTCTGGACCCTTCGTGCTGTGCAACTGAAGACGCGTCGGCATGCTTTCACGGCCCGGGCCCGTCGTTCAGCTCGATCGCGATCAACCCTCTCCCATCGTCGCGTTCTCGCTCCGGATACCGTCGCGCACGGCCATCACGCTCACCTCCGCGTACGCCCTCAGCCTCTCGTCCCTACACTCTTCTGAGTCTTTGTTCCTTGTTGCTTTACTACTATACCTGCACACTCCTGCCTGTTGCACACATGATGATCAGCATCCCCACCGCTTCGTTCGGTACCATCGCACCCTGTCTTGCTCCGCCATCATGGCCAAGCCCTCTCTAGGGTGCGTCTACAACACACCAACATGGCTCAATCCCGCCTTGGAACTATCTGACGAGGTGGACGTGGAGAAGAGAAAGGTCGAGCAAGGGCCAAGGACCATGGTGCCAACATGAGGACGTGCATAGTGGGGCCCATGCCACCTCTCTAGTTTGTCGCCACCTTTCTTCCCACCCAGAAGATTGCAGTGCATGGCTGGCGAGCAGAGGGCGCCTTCAGTAAATTGTCCATCAGAGTAGAGTCAAACAATGAGATTCATGAGCCACCGGTGAGTAGTCTTGCAGGCATTCACAGTCCACCAAGCAGACTCCGTTTCGATATAGGCCATAGCCCTCAACACCGCCGCGGGTACATGAAGCCCGACATCTGCTGTTACACCACAAGCAACCGCGATGTTGGAGCCGCATAGCCTTCGTCGAATCGTCTCGCATAGACTTCGGCTACGCCGAACTGTTCGTCGACATCTCCCCTGATCCCGCCCGCGACGCATTCACCGATCCTCCGAAGGGCTCAGTGAACGAAGCGGATCGCGAACTGCTATCATTCTCACCCAGTGAACGCAAGCACCATGCCATCCACGATCTTTTCGGTCAACACGCATCCTACGTCACAGAGATCTTCGACCGTCAGCCTCGTTGGTTCCTCTTCACTGTCAGCGTCCACGGCTCGCGTGCTCGCCTTCTCCGATGGGATCATGCTGGATGTGTCGTCGCGGAGGGTTTCGATATGCGTAGGCATCCGGACATCTTATGCGAGTTCATCTGGCGATTTTCGCAGACAACCGACTCCGGACGGGGACACGATATTTCCGTCAAGCTCGCTGTGGAGACTGAGCATGAGATTTTCGCTGGTGCTATCCGCAAGTATCTTCGACTTCAAATCGCCGATCACCAGGACCTGGAGAAGGCTCTCCGACAACACTATGTCCCGGGACGCGTTTACGCCACGGATGTCCTCCACTTCCGTTTCTCGGCTTCGGAGGAGAACACGCGCAGGTTTCTTTTCTCCCGCCCCGCGACTTCGGCGACCTCCCTGGTTGGCCGGGGTACGCGTGGGTATTGGGCGGTCGATGCAACGACGAACGAAGTGGTTTTCATCAAAGACACCTGGCGACATGGCGGGGCAGAAGAAGTGGAAGGAGAAACTTTGCGTTGTCTGACGGATCTCGGCGTACGATTCGTTCCTTATCTGGTCTGGCAGTGTCAAGCTTGGAAGAGTATCCGCCAGAGCGTCATCGTTTGAAAAGTCAGTTCTTGTTTCTTCCGCGCGTTAAAATTCCTTGCTGAGTGTTTCTTAGGGAGTGAAATGCAGTCCACACTCATTTATGGGCGGCTTCGGAAGCCTGGGTGTGCCGCGTTGGTGGACTATGGCCCCGGAAGGCGGAACGACGGCATTATCGTCTTATCTGGGAACTGTCGGTATGCCTCTGAAGACTGTAAGGGGCGTCAAAGAATTGCTATCTAGCACCACGATGTTTTCACTGGTAAGACCATCCAAGGTGCACGGATGTCTGCGCTGATGTTCATCTGAGCAGCAATGCGCGATGCTCTGGAGAAAGACAGACGAATCCACCGGGACATCAGCGCGAACAACATTATCCTCGTCAAGGAGGCAGATTCTGACACTCGTTATCTTGTTGACTGGGAAACGTCTTGTCCCATCGATACAGATGGCAACGCGGTTGAGCAAGGGCGAACGGTGAATTGCTCATCCTCTCATAGATTGACTCTGATAGTTAATATGTATATAGGGTACATGGCGATACATGTCTATTCGCGTCCTGAGATGGAAAAACGATCACGAAGGGTGGCATCGATTCGAGGACGACGTGGAATCCCTACTGTACGTCGTGATCTGCAGCGCAATACCCCGGCAGCCCCACACTTTCCCGCCCCTCAAGCTCGTCTACATCTTCAGTAACATGTTTGATCAACCTCGGAGTTCCGTGCTGTCAAAGAGGTCTGGGGAGGTGCAGGGAAGCGCGATAATGCCGAGACTCGAACCTACGTCAGCGGAATCGAGATCGTCAGCAAAGAGGATACTTATACAGAATGCTGGTCTTACACTCCCCCCTTCCGGAGCACGGTGAAGACGTCAAGGACAAATGGAAGGATCCCGAATTCGTTTACGACTTCTGGGCCAAGTTTCTACGTGACAGGGCTCTCACTCTAAAGACCGACAATCGCGTGGAGAACTCAGTGGAGACCGTCGACAGCGTTGAAGCGACTTCCATGACAAAAGAATGCACACGATACCCACAATTCCCCGACACGACATCATTGGAGCGCGAAGAAGCGATGGCCAGACTCGCCCCGTCAGAAGAGGAAGAGACGGAAAGTTCTGAGGAGATCCGTCCGCGCCAGCCCCGGAGGATCAACCTAGCAGCGCGCTGGATATTTACGACCTATTGCTCGCCCCAAAGCAGCCCCAGGCGCGTCGCCCAAGCGGCAACAAAACTACCAAGAATCTATTGCTAGGCAAACACGACCGGTCGCCGGTTGCAGAGCCGCCCCCCGAACGTCGCGCAAGCAAGCTACCCCGTAAATAAAGAAGTACATTAATGACCGCAAAGTATGTCGTACGAGGAAGTTATAAGATGAATAAGCGGAGATTCAAGACCGAGAAAGTGGTGGCGAGGTCAGAATCTGTCGTCCTTGTTCTGCCAGACAGCCCTTGTTCGAAATGCCCAACGTAGCGATCTATAGCGATGCGGTGTGTCGCATCACTTCGGTCGCGGAGTTTGTCGCAATCCGCTCTCGTGAGTACGGTTTTGAACGAGAGGACAAGCTTCAGAGTCCGGGTTTTGTGCTCGATGCCACGCATATCCCGCTAATCAAGAGAGCAAAGGAGATATTAGTGTCGTGTATGACGCCGGCCGCTGAGGCCTGGCCTCAACGCTGCTGAGTAGCACGTCACCACACACATGGGGGACATGCCTTTGGCCTGTCAGGGGCGTCATGTGCATACTCTCCTTTGCGATGTATCAGTTGTAGAACGTGTCTTCGTGCGCACACTCAAAGAGTGTAACTGAAACATCCAATATAATTACTTGTACGGAGAGCGTAAATAGCGATACACTAGCAGTGATGAGTAGTGATACAGTGCATAGAAAACAGGGGCTGACATGGCGACTACACCTTCATGAACGAGAACAACGTGCTCATCGACACCCACCGACGGCCGCTCTGGTCCAGATACTTCTGGGCAACCTCCTTGAGATACACGCACACCGCACGCTGACTGCTGCCGAGTGCAACCAGAGCGTTGTGGACTGCAAGATACTGTCGGCACATAGACAGTCGAGTATGAATTAGAACAGACGCACCATCTGTGTCCCGAGGCCGATTTTTCGTCGCCTCTATCGCGTGATCGACGTCGAAGAGCGACACGTAGTACCTCAGCTGCATGTACAGCTTTGCGTCCGAGTACTGCCCAGCCGCATCAGCCTCCGAGGGCAAGTGTCGCCACGACAAAATAACGCACCTCGAATGCGACGTTCCCCTGGCACCCCTCGCGCAGACACCGCCGCCCGTACGCACCCATGTCTCGCGTCCGGTGCCCGCACGTCGGGTCGTCGCACACCGTCCATCCCTCGTAGAAGCGCGCAATCTTCTGCCGTGCTTGCACCTCGAGCTGTGTCTGCATGCTTGCTACCCCGAGCTGCACCCGGCACCCGGTACATGTTAGCCCCGCGGGCTGTACGATCGAACCCGCGCGGTCTGCGAGCGGCGCGACGGCGAGCTCTGCCTGACACGCGCGACAACGGATCGTCAGAGGCTCCGCGTCTTTGTACCGTTCAGAGTCTGGGAGTAAAGAGTCGAGGGTTGCGAACTGGAGCTCGTCGGAGGTTGGACCGGAGACCGAGGAGCGGAAGCGGGCGGGGTCGAGCCCTAGACACTCGGCGAGACGGGCGCGGTCGGTGCCTTCGATAGGCTCGCAGAGACGTTCGATGGGAGGGAGGATTTGTTGGGAGAGGTAGTGCTCGTAGTCTGGAACGCGCCACAGAATCAGTATGACGCCACCGAAGAAGGATGATGGGCTCACCGAGCTTGAGGTTTTCACTGTCTCTGCGAACCTCGTCGGGGTGTTTGGCGCGGTCTGCTTGCGCGGTCTTTGCGGACTCGCCGCCTTCTCCCAGACAGAAGACGTAAGGGATGACGTCTCCGCCGCGGGCCGTGCCTCCTCTCTCCTTCATGCGTAGTGCCACTTGGACATGCGGCTGGCTCTTCGCGTCGGGGTAATCTTCTGGGTTCTTGCCCAGACGCTGTGAAGACATCAGCAACAGTCAACGCCAATAAAAATCAAGGAAACCGACCTTGTGGATGATGAACTCTTCCAGTTTGATCTTGCCTGCCCGCACGTCCTTGCCAAAGGTCGCGAGATACTCGTGAATGTTCTCCACGACATTCTCTGTCGCTTCCCCGGACAGGATCTGGTCGAGAACAAATTGTGACACTGCCTTTGAAAGCGCACAATATTCTCGCCGCTTCATGTCGAGACCCTTGACCTCGGTGGAAGTCCGGGTGAGGTCCTCCACCTTGATCGCAGCGTACTTCTTCTTTTGCAAGAGCAGGAGGCGCTTGAAGACGCCGTCAAGGTCAATCTCGAGAAGCCGGTAGCGTTCGTTGACCGCCTTTTTGAACTCGTTGGAGATCTTGAGGGCAGCATCGAGCTCCGTCACCCCGGAGTTGACGAAGACGGAGTCCGTGTCACCATAAACGACCTACGAGACTTTTGAGCCCGACCCTACGAGGTGCAAGAGGGTACGGAAACTCACCTCGAGCATCATACTCTCAGCGAGCTCCCTCGTATGCGTAAGAATCTCACGACCCTTGAACGTCGTGAGCGCAGCGAGTGGACGGGCGTAGAACCTTGAGAATTCGAAACCGAGACAACCATACATGGCGTTGGCCGTCAGCTTCAATGCCATTTGTTTGATGTCCCACTACGATGGCTCGCGCGTTAGCCACGGATGACCGAAAACGACAGTGGTTGCTTTACCTGGAGGAGTTGCGCCTTCGTCGCCTTCTTCTCGCTCTTGATCAGCTGCTTGACCTGCCTACGACGGCTGACGAGGGTGGCAATAATCTTCGGCAGCACGCCTTGAGCAACATGATCCTCTGGCGGCTCCGCCATCTGCTCTTGATCGTCAACGTCTTCGACGGGCTCGACGGTCGTGAAGTCGATGTTGTACTCCTGGATGATACTCGGGTACAGCGAATTGAAGTCCATGACGAGGATAAACTTGTCGAACAGCCCACGCTTCGGCTCGAACACCAGCCCACCCTTGTACTTATCGCGCCGGCCCTTGGTCGCGGGTTTCGCGTCCCCGTCTTCGTCTTCCTCCGCCTTGGCCGCCGTCGCTGCTTTCTTGCCGTACAATTTATCCGGGCACACGTACTTGAGCCGGTGGAACTCGTGCAGGAGAATGTACTCGTTGCGCTCCGCGCGCCCGCCGTTCATCGTCTTGTTCCACGCGTTCCCCGCGAGGTTCGTCAGCTGTCGAGTGAGGGGGAGGAGCTGCACCTTGTGGGTGAGCGCCATCTGGTAGTGTGCGTCGAGCTCGCAGTGCCGGACGAACATGATCAGCCGCTCCGGCGAACGCACAGCGCTGTCGAAGTAGCTCGCGGTGTCGTCCGGGTCGATCTCGGGCCGATCGCGCTCAAGATGGGTGTGGCACATCTCAGTGAGTGACCACGTGGTCGACGTGATCATTTTCTACGAATGACAATCAGTCTTGAGCACAGGGAGCAACTGAACAGGGAACATACCTTGGCGCTGTCGCTCGCGAGATCACAGAGCAATCGTCCACCTAGGAAGCGTAAGTTTGACCCTTGGCGACCAATGTTTGGCCATCGTGACTGCCTGAAACGCCCTATACGCGACCAGTGTTCCGTTTGGTGGTGCCGCATGCGCTGGAGCAGCACGTCTAGCGACACGCCAAGGAATTCATGGCCAACGATCACATCAGGGTCAGTTCGGTATATCGTGTCTAAAGCATTATCAGCCATTAGTTCGGCAAGAATATTAGACAACGTACTGATGAGACTGGTGAGCAGGTGCTTCTCCGATGCGAGCGCGGTGATCCCGCCTTTCCCTGACGTTTGCTCCTCAAAGTTGGGTGGGAAACGGTCCAATGGCCGCACGAATGTCTTCACGACGCAGGGTAGCTCCTCCGGGGGTGTCGGGTCATCAATGTTCGCTGGAGAACGCGTCAAATGGAGACAGAACGTGACCGATGAAGTGCGCTCACTGTTAGACCAAATACGTGCGGTTAAGCAGACGATTTCCCGGATGTTCTCTCGGTGGTTGACAATGGTGCGCAGGCTCAGCGAAACAATCGTCAAAGGAGGGTTCTCTTTAGGCAAATCAGGGTCCAAGTCCGCGATGGGATTGATGTCTTTCGGGTCGGAGACCGTCGCTTCGACTTTGCACCAGGAAATCTATCCAGTTGGCGATAGCTGTGAGATGGGAGGAACTTGTACGCCAAGAAGACACTTACTCCCTTATTGTCGATCTCTGGGTTCTTTATTCTCAGCCAGCATGGGCCCATGATTTTGCGCTTCAACACAAGGAGTTCGAAGGCGTTCGTGTTCGTACCAAATATCCGAGAGAAATTCGGACTAGACGCGTTGTTCGGAATTTGCGGCTCTATGGCATTTGGCCATCAGCATCCATGTGACGGGCTAGACAGCTCTCACCTGTGAAAGGATAAACGACCTTCATCCACTGGTGCTCTCCTCGGGGAACGTCTTTCTCGCCAAATGCGTACTTGCGTTCGACGAACTTCGCCTTAAAGCCACTAATCTTGACCTTCTTGCGTAGTCGGTCGAAGTCCGAGTAGACGTCAGGGAGAGCCGGAACCTCGTCCGTCTCGTAGGTGTTCCCTTCATCGTCCTCTTCCACGCGCAAGTCGCGTGGTAATACGAAGAGATTGCGCTGGAGGTTCTCGACGGTTACACAGATAGAAACCCATGCTTGTGACTTCTTGTCCTGCACTTTGCCGATGAAGTGTAACTTGCCTCCAGCCTCCAGGTAGTCCACCCAGTAGAACCGCAGCGACCCGTCCTCCTCGAGGACCGAGAGGTTAGAGGAAGCGGCTCGAGAGGGATTGGAAGTAGCTAGGTCGATGGTGTCCTCTGTCTTCACGTTCAATGTCGCATGGATAGATAACCATGACGGGTCATCGTCGAGCTTCTTGACCTTCTTCTCCGTGGTGTTACCATTGATGGGCTTCAAATGTTTCTGCTCTTCGTCGACTTCCATTTTGACATTCGTCTTGGGCTTTGACCCTTCGTCCCACTCCAAGTCGTCGTCGTCCACATCCATGAATGCACCCATGTCGACACCACCGAAGTCGCTGTCTGTGCCGCTTTCGACGTCGAGCTTGCCCATACGCTCGATCGCGGGGAGGATACCTGGGGTTTCGGTCTTCTGCTTCTTCTTCGGGCTCATAAAGGTGTCGTCCCCGCTCAGAGCACCAGTGCCGTCATCCATGGGTCCATCGGAAGATAAGTCCGGGTCCCCGCTGCTGTACCCGCCGTTCCGCCGGTACGTGATGCTGCTGTAGTGTGCGAGGGAGGAGTCGAATACGGAGTCGGGTTCGGGCTTGCGCTTGCGCGACTTCGTAGGGGCTGGCTTCGTAGGGATGGCGTCCATATCACCCAGAATGCTTGCCATAAGGTCAGACTCTTGGTCCTCAGACACTACTGGGCGATACGCGCTGATGGACGGCTGAACGGAGGGGGGCGGAGGGGCAGGCTTCGCTTTCGCTTTGCTCTTGACGGCCTTGCCCTTCTTCGCTGTGCCCTGTATGAAAACCAAAACATCCAACAAAGCTGATTGAACATACACTTCGTCCGTGACCTCTCATCCTCGCTCTCCTCTTGGTTCTCTGCCTCGTCGAAGTCATCCATACCGTTGTCCATGTATCCTCCGACACCATCATCCTCCACGAAGTCGTCCCGGGCAAGGCGACCCTTCACGATCGTCTTGTACTGGGCATCTGTGACCGTGTCATATATTCTGCTGTCCTCTTCGACCTATAAAGAAATCAGCGCGACGTCCTCGCGTGCATCGAATCAACGCGTCGCGGACCTTGTACTCCCTCTTCCCGCCCTCTCTGGTACGTTTGAGCTCAGCGAGCTTGGCTAACTTGTCTTGTTTGCTCTGACGCGCCCTGCTCGACATTTCGGCGCGTAAAGGAAAGTGAGGAAGGCACGCAGAGAGATGAATACGAGGTGGTCTCGGACGCGTCCATGCGCGCGACATGAGACGCGCTTTCGCGCGGAGATCTAAAGCGCGTGTCGACCCTAACCTAGGCGCAGAAGCCTTAACCTCCGGGAGCCGGCCGACCCAGCGCTCCGAGTCTGAGCGACTCTCACTCAGCACGAGGGTCGCGAGCGTGTTACCTCCACGTTAGCAGACGTTAGCCTGCTCTCACCACTATCTCTCCTCCTACCACGACCATGTTCAGGACTGCTCTTCGTTCCTCTGTAGGTCTACTGCGGATAAAATCTTTCTGTGAGTCAGACTAATGCATTTGCAGGTCACTGCCCTTCGCGCGCCGGCTCGCGTGCCAGCGGTCGCGCTCGCCAATTCTTCGGCGCGCATTGCGCGGAGGTTCATTACCGACGATGCGCGGGCGAAGATCCAGAAAGCGGTTGACTCGACGCCAGTCGTGCTGTTCATGAAGGGCACGCCCGACGCACCGCAGTGCGGCTTCTCGCGGGCAGCAATCCAGGTCCTGGACATCCACGGAGTACCTCCGGAAAAGATGAAGACGTTCAATGTTTTGGAGGATAGCGAACTGAGGTCGAGCATCAAGGAGTTCTCGTGCGTCCGTCTCTTGTTCTTAAGCTGGTGCATTGACATAGGCGCGCACAGTGATTGGCCGACAGTACCCCAGCTCTATGTCAAGGGTGAGTTCGTCGGTGGCTGCGACATCCTCATCAACAGTACGTCCCTTGTGTCTCCTCTCGTATGCTTGCGCCAACCAGCACTTGCGGAATAGTGCACCAATCTGGAGAGCTCGACGAACTGCTTGTGACGAATGGCATCATCCCTCAGGAGGAGGTGGCGGCGGAACCCCAGTCCGCACCCCAGTAAAACACAGCAGTAACCCCCTCGACGTCGCACCCTCCACTCCCTCTTCGCGCGGCCCTCCGTCGCTGGATGTATTCATATACACATATTAATAAATGAGTCACGGAACGTACCCGTGGGGTACGAGTGGGGAAAACGGCTGGTAGAGCCTGGATCTATTCCGGCGCATACTCGACCACACCTGCGGCATCTATTGCACCTCTCTTCACTTTCTCGCCCTTTGCACGCATCAGATCCTCGACTGTTTTGAGCTTCCCGTCCTGGGTGCTCTCCTTGAACCAGCCCAAGTTGTCGGCGATGAGATGCCTATGAACAGTTAGAGGGTGAGCTAGATGTGTAGCGAAAGACCATACCGATTTTTGCACCCTGGACATTCCACCATCACGATGCCCTTCGTGTAGCTCCTCTTCGTAAATTCATGGGTCGAACGGTGAGAGCACCCCTCCACCGTGCATGTGAAGCTTATAGAAAGCCTGGGCTCCGGTGCCTGGAACGTGAGGTGTTTCTGAGGCGCGCCGTCGGCCTCAGTGCTTGTGGGAGCAGGATGCGAGTGTTGTGACGAGGCAAAAGGCTTCTCCTTGCGCCATGTTGGAGTTCTCGAGAACGATCGCGCACCCAATTGCGAACGAGTGTAGAGCCGAAGTGAACGAAGCGAAGCGGATGCTGGTGGCACAGCGATGCTGGGCTGCCGGAGTACAAGGGCGTGGCGTAGCAAGGACATGCGAAGCGCAATGTTGTGCGAGCGTCGGGGTAGATGGTGGGGAGTCTTCCCAAGGTGCGGAGGACACTTAAGGATGAGGCAGCGGTGCCACTGGGGACTCGACGCACGCGACAGGATCACGTGTCGTACATGACAATGATCGGCCGACGGGGTGCGAATTCTACACCAACGACGACCACTACGAACCTTCGTACCTACCCCGGATAACTACCACAAAGCGTCGCTATGTGGGCCCATTCCTCGAGCATAACGGAGTTATTTTCTTACGCTAACAACGGACGTACAGACTCGTGCATGGCTCCTCGAACGAAGAAAGCCTCGCGCAGCCAGCGAGTGCACTCTATGAAACCCGGGTATCGCAATCCGATCCAGGATCTCCCGCAAGAACAGTTCGATTTCATTTTGGTTCTGCTCGACCCTCCAGACCTGCTCGCCTGTTCTCTCGTCTGTCGCTCGTGGCATGAAGTTGCGTCCGCACGAGTGTTCTCCCACGTCTCTTTCGAGACCGCGAAGAGGTTCTGCGCCTTCTCTACATATCTCGAGTCATATTCAAGTCTTCGTCCTCACATCCGAACCCTTACCCTTGGAACGAAACCACAAATCGGCGAAAAGAAGACGGCGGTCATTTCCGTCGACGCCGTTGCCCGCATTGTCAAACTCCTCCCTCGTCTCAGCGAGATCAACGCATGGGTCATTGAGTTCCAAATGGGTTCGCTGGAGTCCAGCGAAGAGGCCCCGCCGGATTCACAGCCCGTACCAGAGCCCAAGCCCCTCAAACTGCTGAGGCTAGAGAAGTGCAGCGGACCAAATCAAGACGGCATCGATGGGCTGTACCCGCTCCTCAAGCTACTTTCGCTCTTTCGCGTCGACACCCTCCTGCTGGATTACGCATGGAGGACATCTGGATCATTTTACTCTCCAACAAGCGTTCCTGAAAAATCCCTTTCCATCCGCGAGCTTCATTGCGACTTCGGCAGTATCCGTGTTCTTCCTCTACTCTCCCCGCTCCTCATTCCAGAAACTGTGCGGACTTTTAGTGTGGACCTATATGATGGAAGTCTCAACTCACACTTACATTTCTTTACCCGGGAACACGGCCCTCATTTTCGTCATTTGTCTCTCCGATGCGGGCGAAGGACGAACTGCAAGCAGTACTGGAACTATCATCGTCGTAAGTGTTCGAGTCGGTGGTACGAGACTCGAGACGCTCATTATGCATCTCCTCAGCCTCGATCAACTGGGAAGATTTCAAATTGTGGTCGTGCACAGCGACTACGTTATTGATGTGCATACCCTGCTGGGAGCGCGTCGATATCTTCAACAGAGAGCAAAACCGAATCCACGAATACCATTATCTTTTCTCACAGCTCAGGGAGGCAGAGATCATCGTTATCGACCTGCCTGACTACAAAGCGAACGCGCGGGAAGTCTTCGAATTCAACAAGGTCGATAAAGTGCTCTCGAACAACCTTTACAATCCCAGGGCGGTCATATTCATTTTACCCCCCGCCCAAACCGAACTCGGACCCCTTCGTGCAACCTTTTCAAGGCTCCACGAAGCCGGCAAGCTGTTCACCGCTTACGCGCCATACCCGATGGAAGGTGTTGCTCACTGGAGTGAGTCGCCAGATTCGTGTTTAACCAAATCACCACTCATTTCATGGCACAGACCCCGCCCAGTATTCTGCCGGCATCGACAAGATTATTGAACGGACGCGTCCTAAGATTCCTCCGAGGCCTGCGCTACCGGCTTGACCGGATCGTGGTGCACGCATGGCCGTCCCGGCAGCAGTGACGAGCACCTAAAAACAACGGCGCACTCGACCTTTAGACGGAGGCTCACAGGCTGAGAACACTCGCTCAATAAGTGTCAACCACGTAGAAATGTCCTCCGTAAATGTGGTCAAGCAGTGCATTTCAGAAGATTATTATCCGAGCATTACAAATCCACAGTCCGAGCACGTCTGAGCACGTCTACGTGTTGATTAGTTTCAGCACATATCAACAACTAGTCATTCTTGTCGACAGCGCTTGCGTTCATCTCGTCCATGAGCTTCCCCGGAGTCCCCTCCTGGAACGCCTTCTCCTGGCCCTCAAACGTCTTCTGCGCCCACTTCTGCGCCTTCTTGAACGTGCTGGCCTCACACGCCGCAATCGCCGCCTCCCGCTCCTCCCTCGTCGCCCCCGCGTTGATCGCATCCGCGACCGCAATCCCCATCTCCAGCGCGCCGAGCATCGCGACATTCCCGCCCATGCCCGAGAAGGGCGTCATGAGGTGCGCCGCGTCGCCTACGATCGTGACTCCGTCGACGTGCGTCCAGGTGTGGTCCACCGGGAGCATGTACAGCGCGCGCTGGTACACCGCCGCGTCGTCCGCGTGGTCGATAAGCTTGAGCAGCACGGGCGACCAGGTGGCGAACCGCTCGCGGAGCGCGGCGCGCGCCGCAGAGGGGTCCTCGGGGAGCTTCCAGTCCTCAGGGGCGAGGAACCAGGGGTAGGTGCGGACGCGGCCGGTGCCGGTGCGCTGGACGAAGAGGACGTGGCGGCCTCGACGGCGAAGAGCGTGCCTTTGCCGATGGCTGCCCCGAGGTCGGCCATGTCCTCGCGGTCGATGACCCCGGGCGCGAGAGAGATCTCGGCACCGTTGATGCCGGTGTAGATGCGCTCCGCGGGGGAGACGAGCGGGCGGACGCGCGACTGGCCGCCGTCGGCGCCGATGAGGAGGTCGCAGACGGTGGTGGTGCCGTTGGTGAACGTGAGCTCGTGCTCGCCGCCGCCGAGCGCGCGCACGGACGCGAGCGCGTGGCCCCACTTGATGGACTCGGGGGGGACGGCGTCGATCATGATCTTGCGGAGGACGGGGCGGTCGATCTCGGGGTTGAACTCCTCGGGCTTCGTCTTGCGGCTGGCGGGGATCGCGACGAGGGTCACGCCGTCTTTGCCGGCAATGTGGTATTCGTCGGCTTCGGGGCGAGAGACAGAGTCGAAGACCTCGCGGAGGCCGTTCTCGCGGAACGCGCGCTGGCCGTAGTTCCAGTGGAGGTCGATGGTGCCGCCGAGGTGGGAGCGGGACGTCGCGCTGACCTCGCGCTCGTAGAGGGTGGCAGGAATGCCGCGCTTGTGGAGAGTGAGGAGGGCGGTGAAGCCGGCGGGGCCACCACCGACGATGGCAATGCGAGGCTGAGTGGGGGACATGGTAGAGAAAGGTGTGCGAAGAAGTGCGCGAAGACGAGTGGACTGACGAGCGAACTGGCGAAGCATCATGGTTTGGTGGGCCTTTTCTACTCCGGCGCGCGCGAAGTATGTATACACCCACCAGCCGGTGTAGCGTAGTGCTTACGTGAGAGTTTCGTTGTGGAAGTGCAGTTGCCCGGGCGCCGGCTTCCACTGGGCAGGTCCTTGAAGCTGTGCCGGACACACGCAGGCTTGCGGCAGCACAGGGATATTTGAATTTCGGCCGTTCCCGCCCGATCAGCGTGAGTGTGGTTCGGGCCCTGGGCCTTCAATACTCCTGAGCGTAGCTGCCGCCGCCGTTGCATGACGCGACCTGAAGCGGCGCGAGACCGAGCGGACTGGCGGGCGTGCTGGCGGGCCTTTTCTACTCAACGCGCGCGAAGTATGTATACACCCACCGGCCTATGTGACGTCCTGCGCGGCCTCGAAGCTGTGGCATAGGCGGACTTGCGGCAGCCCGAAGAAGTTGAGATCGGCTGATCATGGTGGGGTCCAGGGTAGCCGCTGCCGTTGCCGTTGCCGTTGCGTGACGCGGCCTGAGAGTTTCGGTGAGAGCAGCTCGGGCTGGCCAAGACTGGCCATGGCTTATTGGTGATCCATCATAGGCGCCAGCGGGGACAAGCCGCGGACGGGTGCCAGCCGTGATGCATGCCACGCATCCCAGTATTTTCAAATAACACTCACAGACTCCGTACAGCAAGCCACCATACAGTGTTATTCAACAGTGTGCACGAGATTTGATTCTACGAACTCTACTGTTGCAGCTCCGTCTTAACCACGCCCGGCGCGACTGGCTTCTCCGCAAGCACAAACTTGGTATGGCCCGCCATCTGGACGAATATCCCGCCAGTGCCATCTGTGAGCGCGGGGTCGCCGCCGAAGAACCCGTACGGGAAGCCGTACTCGAACGGCACCACCTTTTCAAGCTCCTCAATCTGCGCCGGGGTGAGCGTGATGCTCAGTGCCTGCAGACCCCGCGTCAGCGTCCACCTCCCACGCACAATAGGGGCCGAAAGAACACAACACGCACGTCGATACACTCTTGGAGCTGCTCGGGCTTGCGCCCGCCGATGATCGGGTACACGTACGGCACCTTCGAGATCGACCAGGCGAGCGCGATGCTCACGAGGCTCGCCCCGCCGCCGACCTCCTTCGCGACCTTGGCCAGCACGGCAGAGATCTTCTTCTCCGTCTCCGTCTGGGGCCCGCCAAAGCGGAGCGAACCAGTGCGGGACTGGATCTCTTCCTCCGTCTTGAATCGGCCACCGCCGACAACGCTGTAGGGCGCGAGGCCCATGCCCTCGGCGCGGCACATAGGGAGGATCTCACGCTCGAGGTCACGCTTTGCGACGTTCCACATGCCCTGGTCTGTGCGCGAAAAAGAGGATAAATTCCTCGAAGAACAAGAGACGAGGTGTAGAAGGACGCACAGACGACGAACTGGGCGAGGCCGTGCTGACGGGCGTACTCGTTGCATTTGACAACGAGCCAGGCTGTCAGTGCGAAGTAAGCAAGAGTCGCGACTGTCCGACAGACTGGCATACCTGGCGTGTCAGAGATACCAAGGTAGAGGACCTTGCCCTGCTTGATGAGATCATTCAGGGCTTGCATGATCTCAGGGATGGAAGTTGTGTAGTCCCACCTGGTTCCATTGAGTAATTTGATACGTGAGAACATAGAGAAATGAATGCGCACATATGCAAGTAGAGAAGATCGATGTAGGAGGTCTGCAGCTTTTTTAGACTATCTTCGACAGAGAGCACCATGCTCTTCCTGTGGTTTCCCTGATAGTTCACCTGCAACAAAGACCTATCAGCCTCGGAGCTCCATCCTCGCACAGAAAAGCGATGGATTACCTTGAGGTTCGTCTTCGGGTCACTGTTCTTGTAAGCAACGGTGTACTTGGTGGCGATGACGAGCTCGTTGCGATTACCTCGCGCCTTCATCCACTCGCCAAGTATCTTCTCGCTCTGTGGGATCGCTGTTCAGTACCCGGCGGCGGACAAGTTGTAAGAGGAGCAACGTACCTCCTCGAACTGGTAGCTGTTCGCAGTGTCCAGGAAGTTCCCTCCTTGGTCGTAGAATGTATCAAGGAACTGCCAAACGTGTCAGCGTATTGCGTAAAGGTGGGGATGAAGTTAGGCAACCTTGAAAGCCTCCTCCTGGGTGGTGCCTACAAAAGACTGATCAAAAGCAGTTCTATCAACCTGTGGTTCAACTCGCTCACCACCACCGAAGCTCTCGGACCAAGCCTGACCGAGAGACATTGCCCCCAGGCAGATGGGGGATACACGCACTGACACAGGTGCCGGACTCCGAGTCAGTGGGAGCGCACTGCGACCATTCGAATTTCGGACGGCGTACCTCCAGCTGACGGAGACAGCAGCTACACAGGGAGGTGAGCTCTGGCCCAAAAGACGTAGCGAGCAGAGGTAGTTACGCGATAACGCCCGAGCTCGTTCTTAGAGGGTGGCTGGAGAGAGAAGAAAGACATAGCGGTATACGGCCAGGGGCGACTGGAGTGGGCTAAGTGAAGGCACCCGGCTCACCACCCTGTGGAGCATTATATGTGTGGGACGCAGCACACGCCCACGCACGTATTCCCAATGTTAGCCAGCCGATCGGGAATCCGTGTGGGTTATGGACATCCAACCAGCTGAGCAGGATGGACGATATCGGTAAGCAGCGTTTTTGTCCGGGGTCGTGACCTCGCGCATTCGAAAAAGTACTCATCCGTCGGTATGTGGGGCAGGATCAGCTTGCCGGGAAGCGCAGCTTGAAGAGTGTCGTAAATTGCGCGAGAGTTAGACCCTTTCTGTCGATTCAAACGCTGAAGCATACGCAAAATTAGCTGCAGCTCACTAGGAATCCCTTGTGCAGATCTCCGACCGGTTTGCCGTTCGGGCTATGGATTGTATTGTACAGGTCGTGCATGCTTACAGAGCCGGCCAGGAAGTCAGGGATGGGAGCAGAGGAAGCTTTTGAAATTGAGCGAGTGTGAAATTCAAACTCCTCTTCTTTGTCTAGAACTTTGCTGTAACAAAGCGCATTGGCACCGAGCAGTTAGTCAACGCAGGCGGTGTACTAGACCTGAAGTCTCTCAGTGAGAAAACACTTCCGCTTGATCACAAGGACATGCCTTGTAATGGGGCACCGACTCATCAGCTTTACTGCATCTGCACAGCACCAGGTGATATGTGCTATCGCAGGGCGCCATGGAAGTAGAATATATGAAAGCCTTCATTTCTCCCATGAAGCAATCTGCAAAAAAGGATGTAAGCGACTTTTGAAGCTGTTCGCAGACGATACGTAGACCCCTTGGATTGCAATTTCGCCTTTGAGCAGTGGAGTCCCAAACCGAGCACCATTCTACCAAACCTGCGCTGGCCGCGCCGTGCTAGCGCGCATTCGGCAAGACTACCCGCCCTTCGGAGTGGAATTTGTTTCGCTTTCTTTTGCTCTATTCGAGTAGTACTACCTGCAGCATAGGACACTGCCCTCGAGGGCGTTAAACGAGGACGGCCAAAAAAAGACGGCCTGTGAAAGTGTACTTTTGCGCGTGTCGGATGCCCGTGCTGGCGCAGTATGCCTTCGAGCACAAGCAGGCGGAAGTCTGCAAGTGTATGACCGTCGGTCGTCAGGCATGGACCGAGGGAGGTTCGGTACGCACTGAGGTCACGGATCCTCTTCACGCTCGTCGTCCCGAAGAATCTCATTTGTGAGTCAGTTCGCTTCGCGCGTGCACCCGTTTGTGCGGGTCGCCTACAATACCTGCACGATTAGCTGTTGATTCTTTGCAATCTTAGCAGAAATGGCTGCAGGAAGGGGTCAAGCGGATGTAGGCGCTTTGTGCAAGGGGATCAGCTTCGTATATTGTGCGCGTGCGAGATTACAATATATGCACATACTGATACATAAGAAGGAACGGCCCAAGACATCTACTCCATGTCAAACAGCAGCACCTCCGCGACCCTATCGCCCACATTCTCTACTGCCAGCTCTTCACCAGATGCCGCCATGATATACGCTCCGTCACCCTCCTTGAGCTCGACCGGGCCACCCTCGGCGCCGTGCACATGCACATGCGCCCCGCTGGCCGAGCCCGCGTTGTAGCCCGAGGTTTGGATAACGTGAACGTAGCCTTTGCGAGACCCACCGCGCGCTTGAAATGCGTACGAGAGCTTTCCCTGGGGGGAGAGCATGGTCGCGAAGAGGCTGAGGGGGGCGTGAACAGGGGCTGGTCCGGATGCCTCGCGCTGCTCCAAGACGCCATCGCCGCCCATGGGTGCCACGATGTGTGCCCACTGATCCTTCTTCTCCTCATCGGTGAAGTGACGCGTGAAGTACTTGGGGGTGAGGCCCTTGGTGTCGGGCGTAGCCCAGATTTGGAGGAAGTGGACCTGCTTGCCTCCGTGCTGATGTTCGGAGTGACGAATGCCAGTGCCAGCAGAGGTCATCTGGAGGTCGCCGCGTTTCATGACTTCGACGTTGCCCATAGAGTCGCGACTGCACACATTGAGGTCAGATACCTCGTCGACACATCCTCAGACGAAACTTACTGCTCAAGTTCTCCGGCGACAATGTACGAGAAGATCTCGAATTCGCGGTGCGCGTGCGTTCCGAACCCAGTCCCGGGCTCGACTCGATCTTCGTTGATGACTCGCAGGGACCCAAAGTGGTCATGGGTGGCATCGTAGTAGCTAAAATATCATATATCGGCATGAAAGCGCAGAAAAGAACGGACGGATTGCTCACTTGGCAAAGCTGAAGGTATGGAAAGTCTTCAACCATCCGTGGTCAGCATGACCGCGCTCATTACTCCGACGAGGGACGAGCTTCATGGTGGATGACGTGGTGGAAGTGGACGAGAAGGCTTTCAACGATGTGTTCCTCAGGGCACTGATGGCGCGAGACGTGAGGGGGGTCTTGAGAGCGAACAGGGTGAGAGTGAAGAGGAGAAGGGCTAGGAAGATGCGACCCTTGGGGTAGGCCACTTTGGCTAGAGTGGATGAGAGATGATGAGGATGTCGCGGTCGCGGTCTGGCTTATATATGCGCAGGACGAAGGTCGTCTTAAGGGGCAAAATGCGGGCAGAGATGGGTGAATCATCGTAGCAGTCATCGCGGCCAGGGCGAAACAGCGTGAATTTGCCTTTCTGAGGAGTTGAAGACCCACGCGGATCTAGGCGCCTCCTGTGCTTATCTAAATGCATTTTGAGCTCGATCCTTTTCTGGTTTTGCGTCTTGCACGGTCCTCGCCACCATCCTCGCTTGCCCCACCTGCTGACTATGGCCACCCTCCTACCCCCACCGAAAAGACAAAAAGTCTACCACGGCGTCCCAGAGCCGGAGAAGGAGCCCGCTAAGCCTTCGCCTCATATCCTCGTCCAATTTGTGAGCGAGGATGACGGAGAACCACTCGCACCTCCCGTCAACCTTCCGGCCAACGTTTCGAGAGAAGGGCTTGAGGCTATCGTTAATAAGCTCAACACGAAGGTATGTAATCATCATGCTCGTCCGAGACCCATGCCAAGTTTCGGGTCGTTCTTGTTCGCGCAAAGATCCTGTGCACTCGATTGCCCGACGCATATGCCAAACAAATCGCCAGTTTCCTCATTATGTGAACGGCCCCGATGATCATTCTCTCCCCTCTCTTCGTTCGTCTGACGCGATGTTGACATAGTCATAGGATGAAGATCCTGTCCCGTTTTCCTTTCACATCGCACTTCCGGCCGATGCTCAAGTTGCTGGTGCACCGACTCGCATTGCTATCACAAAATCCGTCGAGGAGGACATCTTGTCCCATCCCTCCCAAGCGTTCACACCCGAAGATGTTTTCGTGATCCACTGCTCACCTCAAGCTGTCTTCAAAGTGCGCCCTGCTACGAGGTGCTCATCCACACTCTCAGGTGCGTCTCGTATTGCTTCACTATTACCCCAAGCGTTGACAGAGATTTGACTCGGGCAGGACATACTTCGCCTATCCTTTGCGCGGCGTTCTCCCCCACCGGAAATCTTCTTGCGACAGGATCTGGAGACTGCAATGCACGACTATGGGATCTATTCACAGAGACTCCCTCACATACGCTGTCTGGACACAAGGGTTGGGTGCTATGTGTGGAATGGGAGGCCATGGAGAGGAAGCTAGCGACCGGTGGGCATGACGGGCACGTACGTTGGTTCTCCAGGGGATCTTCGAGAGTACATCTCTGACGTTTGGACCGGCGCTTCCCAGGTCCGCCTATGGGATCCGAAAACCGGGAAACCGATTGGTGATTCCCTCAAAGGTCACACGAAATGGGTGACCTCCCTTGCTTGGGAACCTATCCACCTGTGAGCGCAAGCGCCGGCTTCCTCGGTCGTGTGGTTGTTAACGCACCGTAGGAACCCCTCTGCCCCCCGACTCGCTTCATCATCGAAGGACGGAACTGTCCGAGTCTGGTCAACGCTCGTCAGACGCGTGGAATATACTCTCGGGGGACACTCTGCAAGCGTCAATGCTGTCCGCTGGGGAGGCGGTGGGTTGGATGGGAAGGGTGTGCTGTACACCGCCTCAAGTGATCGCACGGTGCGGATATGGGATGCCAACGGGGTTAGTCAGAAAGCATCAATCTACCATACCCGCGTCAACCCTTACATATCCGTCGTAGGGGAAATGCTTGCACGTTCTCAAGGACCATGCGCACTGGGTGACGACGCTCACTCTTAATACCGACTTCGTGCTGCGCACGGGCCCGTTCGACCATCTAGGCAAGAAAATAAGCTCTGAGACAGAAGGTGCGTCCTCGGTCTCCGCTGTACCCTGGGTCCCATGAGGCCTCACGCCCCATGGTTTCCCCGCCAATATCGATCGACATTGACACGCATCCCGCAGCGCAAGCCCTCGCCGCAGCGCGCTACAATGCTCTCGCGTCGTCCGCCGGTGAACTACTCATTTCCGGCTCAGATGACCACACGCTGTTCCTGTGGTCGCTCTTCCCTCCCCGCTCCGCCACCCCGGAGAAAGAAAACAGTGGGAAGCTTAAGCCTCTCGCGCGTCTCACAGGGCATCAACGCCAGGTCGCGCACGTCGCCTTCAGTCCCGACGGCCGTTGGGCGGCAAGCGCCGCGTGGGACAACTCGGTCCGTGTATGGGACGGTCGCACCGGGAAGTTCGTCGCAACTCTAAGGGGACACGTCGCTGCCGTATACCGCCTCGCTTGGAGCGCGGATTCACGGCTGCTCGTGAGTGCGAGCAAGGATAGTACGCTGAAGGTAAGCCACGGTGTCTGTTCGCCTCGGGGGGCTCGGGATCTGGGACGAGGCCGAGGGCTCGGGGCATGGAACTCGGGGCTCTCGGGGCTGCGCAGCGCTGAAGGGGCTGTAGCTTTTGGTCTCTCGTCGCCCCATTCTGCTACTTGCAGAAATGTTGACGCACGGAAACGGGTTCCGTTCGCTGACATGACGACCGATCTTTTGTCGTTTGGGACCTTTGTGGACACAATCCATCGGCTGACGCCTATCTTCCGTTGCAGATATGGGACTTGAAGACGCACAAGCTCAAAACAGACCTCCCGGGGCACACCGATGAGGTCTACTGCGTTGACTTCGTCGCCGACAAGCTTGTCAGCGGCGGACGCGACCGCACCGTCAAAATGTGCGTGACGTTCTTTTGAGGCTGTGTATCTACCTGCTGTTCGGGCATGTTGCAACGGGGACATCTCCCTCGCCTCGGTCATCGGGGCTCCGTCGTGGAACGTGAGACCTGGGGCACATAGCATGGTACGGGTTTGTCGCCGGGTCACTGTGCACCATGGTGACCGCAACTGAGGCCGCAGAGGGTTTGCCTGGTAGAGACCGAGAGGTAGACGCTAAGTCATCTCTGTCTCTGTATCCTCGTTCTCAGACGCTCCTTCTTGCATCCCATCACTTTCGTCTCGGCTGTGATGGGATGAGGCATAGAGCCACTTTTGTCATTGATACCCCTCACTGTCTGTCTTTTGTGGCGTCTTTATTGCGTTCCGGTGCTGACGATCCGTGGCTGCCCTATTGCCCTTTTGACAGATGGAAAAATTGAGCCGGGGGAAGAGACTCTAGTCCCGAGTCTTCGATGCGCCCGCAGACCGGCGGAGACAGCTTCGTGAGCGCCCGTTGCCGCCCGTTACGGCGGCCGGCGTCTCGCTCAGGCTTCTCCTGTTCCCCGCTCCGTCTATGGCACGCCCGCTGGAGGCGGAGGTCCGCCGTCACCGGGTGGGCTGGGTATGTCACATCGCCGTATAGGCGGGCCAAGATGACGGCGATACAGAGGTGGACGCCACAAGTCATTGTAGCAATACATCGATCTGCATCATCATCCCAACCCACCCCCACAGACAACAAGGTTGGCGATGCCAAAGCAGAACCACAACCGCGGCTCTCGGGTCTTGTCCGCGGACGGGAACATTCGCAGGCGCAAGAAGACAGAAGCGGTAACGCAGCGAAAGGCGACGATGATGCGATGATGCGCAAGGTTTATTGCTCGCGCCGCCTCCCACGTACCTCTACGCCGTGACCTCAAGTTCTCAACATATCAACACCCACCCCCCAACGGCAGGTACCGGGCCGCCTGGCGCGCTCGAGTTGATGATGGCTACAGACGCGTGCTTCCGAGGACACTTTCCTTGGAAAAGGTTGTCGCCTTGCCGACGCGGAAAGCGCCATAATGAACTCGTCAAACTCCGAGCTCCGGAGCGAGGAGGACATCAGTCGCGACCCTGGGCAGGTACCGCCGTGCCTCGAAAGTCTTGCCCAGGACCACTTTTTCCCCCCAGCCTCTTCGTTGTCGGCACCGCCCGCGCAGTGGACGCGAGGACGGTGAGGGACACGGACAAGCACAGAGCCGAAAGGAGAAGTCTGTTAGAGCAAGAAGCAGTGGAGAAGAAGCGAGCTCGCGCGAGATGAAGCGCGCTGACTGTTCTAAGGATGAACGAACTCCCGGGGGGCGTCTACGGTCGCATACTTCCCAACGACGCCCCACGCAGCCTCACCTGACATCGGCACGTCTCTTTCTGCCTCAGTGATGTCCCCGGTTATCTGCAGGGATTCTTTGTGATGCGTATGAGTTCCTCCAACCGGGCGCCCTCACTTCTATGGCCCGAGGCAGTTCGGCATGGGGGTGAGAGCGCCAAGTGTGGCAAGAACGAGCCCAGTTGGCCGTCTGGTCGTCTTGGCGTCAGGTCCTGCGGTCTCGGGGAGGTCTTCGGTACTGTTTCCGGCTGTGTGTTGCACTCCCGCACTCCCCCACCGTGGCGAACCGCGGGGGTGTGCACTGGACGGGAACGGCGCACCACTGGTGACTGTACGTGGCGACATGGACTGCTTGTCTCACATCCCACAAATTGAAATTGATATCGTATGTCAGCGCGGAGTCTCCAGAACTTTACTAGTAGTCCGAAGTGGATGCCTGCGAAGCTTGCAGCCACCATCGCGCAGGTGGCGGTGAGGACACTCCGCTCTAGTCCGTTCTGATGTTCGCTGGCGGTGGGCGATGGCGACGGCGAGGGCTCGAGCAGGATCCACGGCCGAATTCGCGATGAGGGCGCCGTGCCCAGCGGGCGAGGGCGGCCGCCATAGCGCGGATATTTGTGGGTGATGGAAGAATGCGAACGATCCTGGGGAAAATTCAGGGCGGTTCGAGGCTCACCTAACCATTCCAGAGTCTGCAAAAGTGCTCTTGCCGTGGCCACCGCGCCATGTGGCGAGGCCGAGGTCTGCAGACTGAGAGAGCTTATACTTACACAGGTGCGTGCACTGCGGGTGGGCGTGACGACGTGGGGGCAATTGGCGGGCGAAGAGTGTGGGAACGGGCGTAAGCGAACTGATTGGCTCCAGCCTCGGGGCGGGCAGCCAACCGCTCGTCCAGACCAATTTCTGGGTATCAGGCCCCGTTCGAATAGAAGACGGCTTGACGCGCCCTAGCCTCCTTCCGCTCCCCCACCCCCTTCGCCTTCAAGTATCTTGGCCGCCTCGGCCCCGGTTTCCCCTTCCTCCTCGCCAGCCCTCCCCCTCGATCCTGGCTTGCAGCGGAACGATGGCCTCAGTCTCAGCCCTCATCGACCTCAATGCGACCTTCGGCGCCCTCTTCATCGGCTTCGGCGTCTCCAGCGTGTACGTGACCCCTTGCCCCCCGCCCGTCCGCGTCGGGGGCAACCCCTGATGTGCGCTCTGTTCCGCAGCGCCTTCGGGATCCTCAGCATGCAGATGTACTCCTACTTTCGACGCTATCCCTCGGACGTGTGGTGGTACAAACAGATCGTGCGTTTCCCTCTCCCTCCGTTCCCCCGCGTATCTAATCGCCCCTGCTGTCCCGCCCACTAGGTCGGGTTGATCTGGTGCGCGCAGACTCACACCCTCGGAGGCAGCCGATGCTAATTGGATGGAGTGCAGGGTTTTGGAGCTTGTTGATCAAGCACTCATTGGGCACGCTGCTTATTTCTATGTTGTTTCGTGAGTCCCTCGCCTCTCTTCCGCCCATCCCATTGAGCGTCTATCTAGTAATTGGGGCACACTGCGCGTCCTCCTCGAACCCCCAATCTGGTGAGTGTTCTGCGTTCCGGCTGTGTAAGGCATGTCTGAATTTTCTCGCAGGTCGTTAATTGTGGGCTTGTCTGATTTTTGCTCGTATGACACGACGCTCAATGCTTCGCTTATTTTGCACCAGTCTCAAGTCGCTATTGGGGTAAGCCGCACCGCATATACCCACCCATCCCTTATTCACTCTGGGTTCCTGTCTCTCAGGCAACCGTCGGATGCATTGTAAAAATGTGAGCCTGGCCGAACATATCTCTCTTCGGCCGTCTCTAACGCGAGCTATAGATGCTACGGAATGCGTGTGTACAGGTGTAAGAAGTCCGGATTTACCACGCTCCTCATCTCCGCTCACACGCTCTCGGGCAACCCGCAGTCAGCAGACATAACGTCCCGGTGACGACGCTCATTGTCAGTCGAATTTCGAGCTCTGTCACATTTCAATCATCACTCACGCTATCATGGTCGACAGATGTTGGGGGCGCTAGCACAACTCGGTGAGCATACCAACTCAGGAACGTTTCTTATCTCGGTCTCCATGCTGATGAGCATGTACCGCCGTGACAGCCGCAGCGTTCTGTATGTCCTTTCTGCTTCCTTCATACCGACCGAGAAGCTCATTCGAACTCTTTCCGCTCAGACTTTACCATTCAAGGGTGAGATACACTCAATGCCCCTTCCCAGACGATACGTCATCTCATTTCTTTGTAATCGTCAGTTTCTCTGTCCCATCTTTGGCGCAAGTGGGTGACCTGAAGGTGAGTCTTTTCGCTCGTACCGTCCCGGTGCGGCGCTGATTACGCCCTTGCAGACCGTCGGTACCATCTCGCTCAGTATCGGCATGGGCACCGATGTGATCACGTCTGTGGCCCTTGCTTGGTTCTTGCGCAACCTGAAGACTGGGCACAAGAAGTCGGTGGATTTTTGACATGTCGAACTCTCCTCGGAATTAATGACAACATTTTGTAGAGACGACGGGATGATAACAGACTCATCATCTATGGTATCAATACTGGTTCAATTTCAAGGTTTGTTGCTATCGCCGTTTGTTCGCACCTCCCGTCTCATCATGCAACCCCCAGCGTCTTGAGTCTGTGTACCCTGGTGCTGGTGAGTAACATTCATTGCTGTCATTTCTACAATGACAGCTCGCTCACCATTCTCTAGTATAACGTGATGCCGACGAACTTCATCTTCGCGTTGTTTTACTTCATTCTGAGCAAAGGTAACGCTCTATATGTCCCCTTCTGCATCTTATCTGAGCCTCCCCTCAGTGTACGCCAACTCGTTCTACGCCGCGTTAAATACCCGCCGGTCCGTTCGTGGTCGCGGGACGGAGAACGAGAAGACAACGGTACCCACCTTCCTTATGGTCGGAAACACGGCGACACTCAAGAGCCAACATAACGTCCCGGCTATGAGCTACGCTGCGGTACGCTTGCTCTATTCTAATGCTGCAGCCGCGCTCTGAGAGCTTAGCAGACCACGCCATCTGCCTCGCATGGCGGTCTATCGCCTGGTGGACTTTCTCCCAAAGTCGAGCATCAAGACCTCAGGAACATGGTGAGCTCCCTGCTTAGCTTGAAGCCCCTTCCACTGAGTCATGCTGAACGAATGTGTTCTTCATCTAGCCACTACCGCAGATGCCGCACGTTCACTACCAGAACAACTCAGTGTTCGACAGTAACGCCTACGCTGCGAGGCAAGACCGTTTCCGTGAGGACTTTGTTGCCCAAGATCTGCATAGCAAGCAGTGGGTGTAGTCGGACGCTCCGCAACCCCTCACGCTGCTTTTCATCAACTCGGCTCAACGTCGCATCACTCGCCTATCAACCTCGTCCTCACTCTGAATCGTTCCTCGCCTCTCTTCTGTACTAACAAAGCGCCTGAATCTGGATTCCTGTCAATACTCGGCCTCGGCCTACTCCCTCTAGCACTACTCTCGCACCACGGCCCCCTGCTCTCCGACTCTTCTTCGTTTTGTCATCTGCATATTACACTCGTTTGCTCACACCGCACACACCGCATCTCCCGCTCTCCGCAGCCCTATCCACTGTATCCTACTCCCCATCGCGGACCGGCTACCCCTCGCGCTGCCGCCCCAGTCCTTTAGCGTCATACTATATAGTCTCTGTTCTCCTCGCCGCCGTTGACGCGGACATTTTACTGTCGAGCGCCAGTGTTGTCACTTCGTTACTGTATCTGTTGTTTCCCGGTTCTGTCCAGACCGGTCGCCCCCCCCCCCCCCCCCCATCTTCTGGACGTATAGCAGTCGCCGTGCATAGAGTCGGGCGTCTCGGCCGCCCCTTTCCTGTTCGCACACGAGGCCATCTTCTCACTCTTCCTTTCTCTACATCGCTAGCTTCGTTCTTTGCTTTCACTTTCCGTCTCCCGCTTTCTCGCTTCGATGTATCCTTTAATCTTCTCTGCCTCGTGTACTTCTACACCCCCTACCTTTCATGCACTTACAGCGCTAGTCGGAGCACCCCCTGGCCCGCCCCTCCCGTTCCTGCGGTCTAGCCACGTGTGAGCAAACGAGCCTTGTGAGTCTATCCTGTACGTAGTTCCGTCCATGGACATACATCGTACTTTCGTGCTCGTGCCCCGTCGATCCAGACGTGCAGTGCGCTTGTTTGCGCTCAAGGCCACAGCGGTCGGACCTCCGTCGTTCCTTTGAAACACCGGCAGGCATGTCGCGCGGAGACGGCCTCGTGCATGTACAGCCGTTTGCGTCCGGGCCCAGCTCATCGGATTATGCCATGCGGACGCCCACACTTGCTCCAGATCTGGGTCGCAATGCTGTGTCTCGCGCTCGCGTACTGCTCTCGCTCCTTCCACGAAGTAGACTCACATCGTCACGCCTGCGGGCGCCGATCCACAGGTCCACGGACGTGTTGGCGACGGTGTCCGCACCGCAAACCAAACATCACCGCAGGGGACACCAACGAGTATGAGCATAACCCCAGGACTCTACCTACAAATTGTGTACTCTAGGTCATTGTCTACGTTGTAACTACATAAGCTTGATCAGATCAGGACCCAGCTGGTCTTCCAGGGTGTCCCGCAGCACGTCCGATTCATCTACTCGTACACCACAAAGGCCATAGAACAAGCGCTCAAGCGCTCAAGATTGCGCGTGGTCCTCCTCCTTGCGTATATGAACGTCGTCCTTCCCGTGCGCATGGGCAGGCTTGCGCCGGCGCGACTTTCCTCCCTGGGCCTGGCCTTGCGCGCCGTCCTGCACCAGCGCCGCCTTCCGCGGCGGTCTGTTGTCCTCTCCCTTCCCGCCCGGCGCCGCAGGGGCAGCTCCGGCGACCGCCTTGCCCTTCCTCGACTTCTTCGGCCTCTGTGGCTGCTCCCCCGTCCCTCCCTCCCCGGTGAGCAGCGCCGCGGTCGCGCGCTCCTCCTCGCGCAGCCGCTCCTCCTCCTCCGTCCACCAGCGCAGGAAGTCCTCCTCGACCCGCCGCGCCTGCTCCTCCTCCTGGATCTGGACGAGCGAGCGCTTGTCCTTCGCCTGCGCCGGCGCGTTCTGCGCCTCCTGCGCGCGCTGGATGGCCGCGAAGGACATCGTCGACGCGCTGGGCGACGGCGCCGACGGCTGCACGACCGGCTGCACGGGCGGTGGGGTCCACACGCTGCCGCTCGAGACGCGACGGATGGAAGAGGCGCCAGCGCCGGCCTGCTTCGTGGGCGTGAAGACAGGGCCGAGGCCGGGGGCAGGGGGTTTCCGCGGCGAGGGCTGCTGCGGGGCTGGGGGCCGAACGGCGGAGCCCTGCGCGATGCCTGAAGGACCGGGCACGGCGCTGGGGCCGCTGGACGGCGTTCGTCCGTCCCGACCGGGGAACGCGATCGATGACGACGCGGCGGGAGAGCCGCTTGGGGGCGTGTGGACTCCGGCTTGTTGTGGGATCCTCCACGAACCGGAGGGAGTGCGTGGAGTGGCCCCCGCGGTTTTGCTTGGCGAGTCCATGGATGGTCTGGGAGGGGTGCCAGGCGGGAACGGCTCGGAAGAGCGAGCAGACATGCCGGCGGGGGCGCGACCTGGTGATCCCCCGATCTTGCTCGTCGAAGCCTCCGCAATGATCGTCTTCATGTCCGTCTTGGGAGCAGAGATGGTGCGCCAGCCGACGAGAGGCCGTGCGGGAGACTCGCTGCCGCTGGGTTGCCGAGACTGTAGGCCTGGTGCGTGCACAGGCTCGGGATCGTCCATCATGAACATCTCGTCGTCTGGAATGCCCGTCACTTGGGGGCGCGTGCTGAACGTGGGGCGCAGAATGGGACTGTTGGGCGCAGACGCATCCGAACGCCGCGTCTGACGCTTGCCGGTGCCGGGGGGAGAGAGCTTCGGAGAGTCTTTGAAGGCCCCAGGACGGTGGGTCGGTACGATGGGCTGAGGGATGTCCTGAAGGGCAAGCCAATTTCCCCATGTCTCCATTGCCTTGTCGACGATGTGTGTTGAACGAGTTATTGGGTACTTCTCCAGTTGTTTGGACCGCACGAACGCGGAAAGCTGCTTGACAAGGTCTGAGGTAAGGTCGTCGAGCATATGATTCGCCAAAAAGACTTCCATGTTGATCGACATGTACTCTTGCACGAGTTCGACCAGTGCATCAGCGTGGTAGTGTGTCGCGTCAGTCAAAACAGAAGAGACATTGTTGATCGAAACGCGCTTCATGATCACCCAGGAGCATATTAACATAAGGCGGTCGATGTGCAACTCAGCCTATATGGGGTCATCAGCGCGAGGTATCAAAACAGACAGGACGGTCGACTAACCGCAACAGCCATGACCTCAAACATGAAGTCGATCAGCTCGTCTGCCGAGCGTACATCCTCCACCACGCTGAAGATCTCCTTGTCATTCCCACATAGGATGTACTTGAGAGCCGGTTCTACCGCGCGCCACTTCATATGCTTCAAGTTGACCAGCAGAGAGCCTTCTGGAGTCCATCGGTTACGCGTCCAGTCGTGGTCGTTGAAGAAAGCAGTGAAGAAGGGTGACCGCGCTCGAAGGATGACAGAGTGGCATGACACATCCCGGTCCGCGAGTTGCAAAACGACGTCGGGCGCAAGTGGCCGCTGGGCTCGCGCTCCGATGCCTGATGTCTGGTCTTGGCTGCTGGAGAAGAGTTGCTGCATATCACGAACGAGGGTCGGCTTCACGGCTCTCTTGACTGGAGCCCCGAGGACGTCCGAGAGCGAAGTGAGGCCGAGCACCGAAGCGAGGGACTGCAGCTCAGCCTTGATCTGCGTGGGGTTCACTGTCGCTTTTGAAGTTGAGCCCGAGCTGCGTGACTGATACGAGGATCCCAGACCGCCAACGGCTCATCGGTGTACAGGAAGACGAGGAGGATGAGAACCGTCAGCGGGTGGCAGCCCCCAAAGGTGAGCTTCGGCGTCTTTGTCGTCTTGGGTTTGGGCACATGTCCCTGCACGGAGATACCATGATCACCAAACGTTTTGCCTTCGGATAGAGCCTGATGTAATTGGGAAGACCGAGCGGCTAAGATGACACGGTGTGCAGGGAGGTTGATTCCGGTGGACTGAACGTGAACGATGAGATCCGCATCGAGGGGCATTGCATCGAAGTCCGGAGTCTTCGCTCCCTCGGTAGCTTTGCGCGCGGCCTTGAGACCGACAATGACGGAACATAGCGACCGGATCTGACCGACGTCCGCTCCGACAGCTTTGCCGCCGTCGTCGTCGTCGTCGTCGATGGTGAATCCGGTGGAAGAGGGTACGGGAAGTTGCCCGGTGACGAGAATACTGCACAAGGTTCATGCGGAGGTATGGCTGAACGACCGCGAGATCTTGGGGGAAGAGGTTGCCATAGACGGATACTTCATCCATCCGCCAGTCATACCGCAAAGCAGCGAACGCCCCCGTGGCGTTGGCGGAGACTTGTGTGATCCGCTGGACATGCGGAACACGCTGGAACTTGAACGTCTTCACTGAAGCGCCTTGACCTGCCTTGAGATTGCGAGAGCGTACGAAAACGTGGCCGGACTCTGTGCAAATGATGATAGAGCCGTCCATGCCAATGGCAACGTCCTGAAATGCGTGCGTAAGTTCACATTGAATTTCGCCATATAGCAGCGGAACCGACCCTGACGGCACTGAATCGCTTCCGTAGAGCCCACACCCGCTGAGGCTGCACGTTGAATCGAGCCTTCGTGGATGTTGAAGACCCTTCCGGGGGCGAATGCAAGTGGAATGTGAACAATTCGCCGCTTGAAGAGAGAGCCGCGAAAGCATCCTCGCAGCTGGTGATCTTGTCAATGCTTGCGCTGCTTCTTGCAGCAGCTTGTGGGGTCGATACGCCGTGAACTCAGAGGGAAACGAGTACGCCGGGAAGCTACAGTGAAGGGTTGAGCCAACAATCTTATTTGAACCGGAAATCACGTACTTGACTTTGAAGCATCCGTTATTCCACATACAAAGACTTCCTGGGTGTCAAGAAGACATGCCATTGCGTTGTCCTTCATTGAGTCAGCAAGGAACTGCTGTTGTGAAGCAGTACTCGTACCGTGATAGATACGGAGAGCACGGGTCGGGCGACTTTGGTTACGACACGAGGAGCGGATTGTACAGGTTGCACATTTTTGTCAAAGCCTGTATGGCATGTTCCGGTTGATCGTCACTGGAGAACGCCCGCCGTGAAGACTCACCCAATTGCCCGTTGTTAGTGCCCCAAGCGTAAACATGGTATCTCGACCAACAAGCCGATGCCGTCTTGCATGCAGCGACACCTCACCTCTTGGTTCTTGATGGCACCGGCTATCTTGCGTGGAGTAGTTTGGATGGGTTCTTCGGGGCGCGCTCCTGTGGCCGTTTCGATGACATATCCGAGCTGAGAGAATCGATTCAGCCCCCAGCTATAGACCTCTCCAGTGGTGGTAAGAACGAGAGTGTGGTCTTGACCCACCGCGACCGATTCAACGGTCTGATTAAAGCCGGGGATGGGGATGGGAGTGAACTGCGTGTGTTGTCCCGGTCCGAGGCTACCGATGAGAAATCAACGGGCCGCACCAGTTAGCCAAGGGAGAAACGCACCGTCCCCCGCTCCCAAACCCGCATACACGAAGATTTCCTCGTGGTTCGTCGGTCACGATGACTGTGGAACCGGCTCGACCTCGATCGGAGCTAAATACGTGGGGATAAACGCACCTGTATGCAGCCTGGACATTGCCACCTGTCGGACGCGGATGGGCGTGAACCTGGTGTCGACGTGCTCCTTCGCGTCAACGGCCACCACGCGCAGAGAAACTAATTCTGGGAAGGCCCTATCGTCTCCATCGCCGACACCGAGGGCGGCGTTCCTGTTCGAGCCCCATGTGAAGAGGTCCTTCGGCGGCTTGAAGTCGAGGAAGTCGTGGTCCGGGATCGTTTCCTCGATGGTGGAGTTGTAGAGGTCGAACGGGGTGTAGCCTTCGATATCGCGCGCGGACACGTCGATGTCGGACCGCTGAAGGAGGAGCTGCGCGGCGGCCAAATTCCCGTTATACAATGCGCGATGGAGTGGTGTCCAATGGCTCTCAGTATCGGCGATGTTGACGTTGATCCCGGGGTGGCCAAGAAGCAGCCGCACGAACTCCGGTGCGGACGGGTCGGAGGACGAGGCGGCGAGGTGGAGGACTGTGCGGCTGAGGCCGTCGCGCGCGTTGACATCGCATGTTGAAGCTGAAGCCGCGGCACTTAGCGGACTGGGGCGCGACCAGGACTTGCCGCCGCTCGTGCTTGGACCGCCTCCGCTGGCTTGAGAGCCGTTGCGGGCGGGGTCTAGCAGGCGCTGGAAGGCCTGCTGGTTGCGTTGGTGGAAGTAGGCATGGAGGGCTGTCATACAGTGGGGGTGGCGCTCGAACGGCGGCCACTGGGAGTCCTGGAGACTCCCTGAAAGCCGGACTGCTCGTCGGGTGTTGCGCGCGAGTGAGAGCGCAAGATAAGCAGAAGCAGCGAGCGGGTTGCACGCTGCTAGTACTGCAAGTCGTCTGAGAAGTGCAGATGGGGGGGTGGCGACCGAAAAGGAGTAGTGGTCGAGGAGAGAGATGAGCGAAGAGGAATAAGTTAGGGCGAAGGTAGGCGGAGTACGGAGAACGTCTTGAAGCAAGTTCAAGGCGCTGAACTGCCCGGGCCCGATGACTTCAGGACGCACGTGCCAATGTATAATGAGTCTAAACAGGCGCACATCGGCTAGATAACGAACGTTTCCCCGCGGCGTTGCCTTTCTCATCCTCCTCCGGACACGTTGCAAGTTTGAGGTTCCAGGCGATACGCACATTGAGACTGATAGGTAACCCGAAGTTCCTCCCATGAGTCTACCGGGAAATGTCTAAGTTACGCGCCAGCGTTGACGGTGACCAGTGTCAGTATATACGGGTACGTTTGCACCGTAGTCACAGATTCTGTGGCTCCATACATTATTGGGGACGAGAACCTGTCTTTCCAACGCCTTCGAGACCACATGCCTCCACCATGGATCGCCTGACTCTGTCGACGCCGTAGTGCGGTTTTGAGTAAGCTGAAGTGAGCAGCGGATACAGGCAAGTGGGGGCGGCCTTGAAAATATCGGCATACATCGTCTTGACCACCCCTACCAATTGCTTTACAGGCACAGTGTCGGTCTTGGTTATAATCGCCTGCAGAGTCCACTTCAGCCCGGAAGAAGCCTGACATTGCTCGTCTAAAGATTGCAGCATCATCTTGTCGACTTCATTGAGCCCGTGATTTGCGTTGAAGAGGATGTATACCCTTCGCAAACTGTCGGGCTTCAATGTGATTTCATTAGCGAGAGAATATGAGAGGACGAACACTTCTCGATTCTGGACGTAATGGTCGAAGAGCTCGCCCCATTCTGGGCGTCCGCGGTCACCATAACCTGGCGCATCGACCAAGATGAGATGTCCCGGGTCAGGGCCGACGCGGAACCAGTTCAATGTCTTCGTTCGGCCCTGGGACACAATATATCAATGAGCGTACGTGGATGTCACGTGCGCCATACCGGTTTTTTGCTTGTATGCAAGAGATCACGACGTCCGAGGACAGCGTTCAGCAAGGTGGATTTTCCAGCATTTGCACGTCCTGTCACAAGCAAATCAGTGTCGAACCCACTCCAGAACGCTGACGTGGCGTACCTGTGACAATGACCTGAACGACGAGCGGGCTTCAGCGAGTGTCTATACGATGAATAGCAACGAACCTCAGGGCGACCGTGCATCGCTGGTATGGACGCTACGGTTTGAGCGGCCGCCAAAAACTGCGCCGACCGCGGATCTCCAAATACGCCGTTGGTTGATGTCACTGGCATCAACCGGTTTTGTGACAGCCTCGAGGGGCTCAAATGTCGCGAAGCTGATAGTATACTACGGCTCTTCATATGACAGCTGTGGAGTGAGATGCTTGTGTGCGAAAGGCGACGCCCAGCGGTGGTGGCTGAAAGCAAGCTTGGTGACTGGGCGCTTGCACGTATGCCAGGCCATGTCAAGCCGGATTCGAACTTGTGGACGCCCAGAAACGCCACGCAGCTGCCATATCCTCTCACGACGGTTTACGTCCCCCGAGCCTGAGGCCCTATGGTCATTCTAAAGGTACCGGTTAATGCGTCTGCAGGGGCCCGGAGCCAAACTGAGCCGCAGCACAGCGGAAGAGTGTTAGGATCCGCGTTTTAGTCCGGTGCGGGGGTGTCTGCTGCCGCATACATTTGCGGCCTGACGTTTTCTCCCGACGCTATCCGTCTTCCGCAAATCCGCGCACGGCTTCAGCGGCTCTTGTTCTCTCGCGGCATAGGACTTTGGTATATATAAACATACAGAATGCTCACCAGCCCTCTCATACTTTCTGCCTCTCACTCGGACACTTCAGCACTTCAGCCACACCCCCTGATTTTCTACGAGCCGCCACACCCCTATACGCTATCACTCCCTCCTCGACTCTCACAACCTTGGAGATTCGCGCACGCAGTCCATCGATATCTCACACCTCCACCTTCATCCTCCTAATGGTTCTAGCGCTTCCACGATCCATCCATCCATCATGAGTTCCTATCCTAAGAGCTGTCTCAAGCGCACTTCAATTCACTCGGACTCGGATGCCGATCATATTGGCCCATCCCCGCGCAACTCGTGCTCTGAAGATCCCACCTTGGAAGACACGCAGGGACACTCACACATGCACTCCAAGCGAGTCAGCTTTTGCGATGAGGACGAAGTCCGTCTCATCTACGTCCTCGACCCTGCACCAGCTCTACCTTTGTGCTCGCAGGCACGACGAGCTGCAACCCGAGTCTTCAGTGAGTACACTTTCCCTCCTGTATGCCATGCATGCGTGGCAGCCCCCGGATAGGAGACTAGCCATTTCTTCACTTTCAAATCTGAGCACAATATTCTCATAGGGGCATGTGCCGACGCGCTGCGCATCGACCAGCCATCTTATACTTCGCAACCCACCCGCACACTGGCGCCATCACACGACAATCGGTCGATGCAAAGGAGATATTCTGCATCGACGCCCGTTACGCGTCCGCGACGTTCCGCTTCGATGTTGTAAAATCTGCACCACCCACAAGTCCCACCAGGCGGCTAACATGCTCTTGACCGTGCGGCGCAACGATAACACACACTCCCAACGCCAGCACACAGCACTACAGTACAAGACCTGCATCATCGCCGCTGATATTATCTGCTCACTCCACACATTACCCCTGTTTCGGCACTAATAACCCCTCTTTGTAACACCTCACTGTGAATTAAGTCCCTTGTACATCATCGTTCTCCCAAGATCACCATGGACATTTCGCCTCGCATCTGTACCATACCGCTGCAGCAGTGTATCGTATCCGTATCCTCTATTGAGCCAACATCACCTTTCATGTTCAGACTCCTGCGCCGCCGGACTACTAACGCCTGAGCCAACATTAGGGTCCAAGTGCTTGCAGATTTGGCACGTAGCAACTGATATAAGAGGTTTCTGCGCTCTTTGAGGCTATAAAAGCATGCCTGCTACATCATGTATGCTTCTTGCCCTTCCGGCCTGTCACTCAGTATCAGATCAAGCCCAACGTCGACATGTTGCTGTAAGTGACGCTCCGGAGCCGGGGAGCTTCGGCCGTTCGGCATGCAACTAAGCGCCCACATTGGGAGGACCGCACCAGTCGTGAGGCCGCTCTGCCCGCACAGATCCAACGCCCCTTATTTTGAACGTCGACATGACCCACAGAATCCGCCAGACACCTCCGTCCTCCCAAAATGCCCCCAGCTCTGCCTCCTGCTCCCCAGCATGCGAGCGCTAGCACATCGCGGTTCCTTGCGGGCTCATTCGGCCGAGCCGACGTGGTCCGTGCGTCCCGCCCAGCCTCCTCGCCTTGTCGGGACTGTTTTTCAGGAAACGCGCTTCACACCCCTCCGTTATCGTCCCTCCCTTCCCTCTCGCCTCAACGTCCACCATGGGAGGCTGCTGTGACAACCACACTTGCGGTGCTGATGGCCAAGAATCCATTCGAGTTGATCAAGTGGGCAACGAAGAACTCTTGAATCTCTCGGCAGATATCGGAGAGAGCAATGGCGGTCATAGAAGACTCTTGATAACTGCTGCTGTGGAAGAAACAGGTGAGTAACCCCTTTTATCCCCCATTTCTTGCATTGAGAGCGCATATAGTTATCGTCCATGATCACACCGGTCGTAAGACCTCAGAGGAAAGGCCCAACGAGGCCCCCGATACCAACTGCTGCGAGGGGTCTCAATGCGGATGCGATGGTCTGTATTCCAAAATATCACGTCGATTTATCTCGTCTCAACACCCCTTCCCAGACGCATGCTTCGACGAGCTTGCCCGGGTTATCTGTGCAGACGACGAGACCCACCTTCACGAACACGAAAGCAACTCCACCTATAGCGACAGTCAGTATCATGCTATGATTCATGTGTATCTGTGCTCACTCGTCAATAGCCTGCTGCGACTCCGAGGCTGGCGGAGACACGGCAGTGAAGACCTACGAGCACTTTGGCGTGCGCAAGAGGTCCAAGAAGACCGTCTCGGAATCCCACCACGGCTCTTCCAAGCCAGCCTGCGGCACACATCGTTCCATTGCCCGTAACCGCTACAACGACACTCTTGCGGCCTTCGGTTGCATCTGCAAAGCGCTCCTCGCACGCGGTCTTCAGTCCTGCTGCACCACCACGACCCTTGGCCGCAGCGGGAAAGCGGTTGCCCATTCCCAAACCAGCAAACGCAGCTCGCACCGCCTTGTTGCAGGCCGCACCAGCCACGACAGCACTCGACCTGCCTCTATCGACTCCTGCTGTGACAAAGGTTGTTGTGACTCTCCAGCGCGCAGCATCCGAAGCTTTCCCAACAACACCCATGCGGACGCACGTTCTCTTAACGGCGCGAAGTTGGGCTCGCGGGTCTCGGTGGACACTTGTTGCCGCGGCGGGGGCTGCGGAGGAGAAGACGCTCAGAGCGAACATACACACGAGAAGGGCGGGCACGCTATTGTTGACATCGAGAAGGCCGGGGCCCTTATCGACGGGCATGCGATCTTAGCTATCAAAGGGATGACGTGCACTGGGTGCGAGAACAAGCTGATCCGAACACTCGGGAAGATCCCCACTATCGCCAATTTCAAGACGAGTCTTGTTCTCTGCCGTGCCGAGTTTGACTTCGATAGCGGCGCCACCGACATCTCCACGCTCGTCCAGCTCATTGAGAAACGTTCAGGTTTCGAGGCAGAAGTCATCACCGCGGCGTCGGTTCACGATCTCCTTGTCAACGTCCCCATTTTGCAGCGTGCAGGCTTCGTTGCTGCGGCGAAGCCCTTGGGGGTGGAAGCGATCACTACCTCGGGGAAGGACACCTTCGTTGTCACCTACCAGCCGCAAGTTATCGGTGCTCGTGAGATCTTCAAGTACTACGACTCCTTCACCACGTCGCTTGCCCCAGAGCCGCTGGACCCCTCCATTGCCGCGGGCGCGAAGCACATCCGTTCCCTCTCTCTGCGCATGGTCATCTCCATCCTTCTTACGATCCCGGTGCTGGTCATGACCTGGGCTCCGCTTCCTTCTAACCCGCGGGGCTACGGCATAGCGTCGCTTGTCCTCGCTACCATCGTCCAGACCGCGATCACCGGACCGTTCTACATCAGCTCATTCAAGAGCCTCTTCTTCTCGCGTTTGGTCGAAACGGAGCTGCTTATCGTTCTCAGCACAACCACGGCCTACGTTTACTCCGTCGTCGCCTTCGCTTATGAGATGGCGGGTCAGCCTCTCTCCACTGGACAGTTCTTCGAGACGAGCACCCTTCTCGTCACTCTTATCATGGTCGGACAAGTCGTGAGCGCCATCGCTCGTCAGCGCGCCATTGAGGCCATCTCTATCCGGTCACTCCAAGCACGCACCGCCATCCTTCTCCTGTCCGAGGGGAAGGAAGAAGTTATCGACGTCCGCCTCATGCACTATGGCGATTCCTTCAAGGTTCTACCGGATTCGGCGATCATCACCGACGGCGAGGTGCTCAGCGGCGTGAGCAGTGTCGACGAGTCGATGATGACGGGCGAGTCGCGTCCTGTGGACAAGGGCCCCGGCGACACTGTGATCGCTGGAACTTCGAATGGGCCCAGTCCTCTCGTCGTGAAGGTCACGCGCCTTCCCGGAGAGAACACCATTAGCGACATCGCGCGCATGGTCGACGACGCACGGTTCTCGCGCGCCCGCGTGCAAGAGGCGGTCGACTGGATCTGTGGATGGTTCGTTCCCGTTGTCCTCGCCCTCGCGATCATCACCTTCGTCGTCTGGGTCGCCGTCGGGATTGCGGTGCGCAAGCAGTCGGGTGGCGAGGCGGCCGTGACCGCGCTCACGTACGCCGTCTCGGTGCTCGCGGTCTCCTGTCCATGCGCCATCGGGCTCGCGGTCCCCATGGTCATCCTCATCGCAGGTGGCGTTGGCGCAAAGTTGGGTCTCGTCTTCAAGGCAGCCACGACCATCGAGCAGGCTCGCAAGGTTACGCACGTTGTATTGGACAAGACGGGGACGCTCACCGAGGGCAAGCTCTCGGTCGTCGATCGTTTCGTCGACAATCAAATCGAACATGACGTCCTTTCTATAGCGGCGCAGCTCGTTGCATCCTCTCATCATCCAGTCGCGCGCGCGGTCGCGCTAGCCTCGGCACTACAAGCGATCAGCGCATCTGTCCAGGACATTGAGATGGTCACAGGCAAAGGCATCCGGGCCACCTTCAACGGCATGGAGCTCCGCGGAGGCAGCGCCCGATGGCTCGAGCTTGGCGACGACCCCGCCGTGCAACCGTTTTTGGCGCAAGGCTACACCATTTTTTGCGTCACCCTGACGGACGGCTTATCGCTGCCTTCGCTCTTTCAGACGCCATCCGCACTGAAACCCCCGCCGTCCTGGATGCGCTCTGGAAGAGAAGCATCAAGGTCTCGGTCCTCAGCGGCGACCACCCCGCGGCAGTGCTCGCCACGGCGTCGGCCCTGGGCATCCCGGCTGAACGCGTTCGGGCGAACTGCCTCCCCGCCGACAAGCAGGCGTACGTGAAGGCGCTGACGGACGCGGGCGAGACGGTGCTCTTCTGTGGTGACGGCACGAACGACGCCGTCGCGCTCGCGCAGGCCGCCATCGGTGTCCATCTCGCCTCGGGAGACGCTGGGTCGGGGGTCGCCGCGTCCGCGGCAGCCGACGTCGTCCTGACACATCCCTCGCTTGCCGGGGTCGTCACTCTGCTCGAGCTCTCGGATGCGGTGGCCGACGGATCGCGCTCAACTTCGCGTGGGCGGCGCTGTACAACACCGTCGCGGTGCTCTTCGCCGCGGGCGCGTTCGTCCACGCGCGGATCCCCCCGGCGTACGCTGGGCTCGGGGAGGTCGTCAGCGTCGTGCCCGTTGTCGCGGTCGCGCTTCAGCTGAAGTGGTTCAGGGCCACGGCCATGTAATTGACCTGGAACTCGAGGGATTGATGGGCGAAGGCGTGGCTGGGTGTTTCGTTGGACAAGGATGGTGCTCGCGACTTTAGGTAACTGAATCTGGTTGCAAAGCAGGGGTCACGTCATCGCCTGGCGTTCGCTTATTCGATAATGACTAGAAGCTCGTGTGCACATGGGCTCTCCCCTGCGGAATTGGAAGAATCAGCGTTTCATTATCCGTCTATGCGCGTTCATGAACTCTCTCTTCGAGGCCTTGTTCATCGAAGGTCCACTGGGCACTTCGATGACCCACGGCGGCGCGGCGCGAGAGGTGCCCGGAGGGGAAGCGTGCGAGTTGGCTTCGAGGCCACGCATTGTTACCGCCGGCGGCCGGTGCAGGCACCGGGCGAAGGCAAGCCTCAAGGCCTCAAGGTGCATCCGCGCCGGGTTCGGTTAGAGAACGTAAGACCCAGATCAGACGGGCACACCGAAGGCCGCATCAGGCCGACCGAGCGAATCCGCCCTTAATCTTCCTCGACGCCACCGTCCTCGAGCGTCGAGCAACCGCATTCAGATATATTGACGATGAGCAAGACGGCCTGCACACACAGTCTGCGCTCCGTCCGCCCTTGCTCTCCCTCTCTCCACCCTCTCCTGTCGCGCCGGCTCCCGCCGCCTACGCCGCCCCGCCCCCGGATGCGCTCGCGTCCCCCGCCCTCTCGCGCACAACGACGGGCGGGCACAAGCCGCAGCATTCAGGCCTATCATGGATCCGTCGCTGTTGACGCAATCACTCTGCCAACACAACCAGCAAGCCCGTGAGTGGTCCCCCTCCGTTCATGCGCTTGCATCTCGCCGCCCCCACCCCCGCCCTCAGACTCCTACACGGCGCCGTGTATTTGTCCCATCGCGCACTCTTTCACGGGCGCGAATCCGGCCACACGAGCGCCCGCATTCCCGTTCACCGATCGCGGCGCGCGCCATGGACCTCGGGCCGGGCGCGTAGCGGACGTCGCGCTAACGGAGTTTTGGTTCCGCTCTTCGCTGTTTCGCAGTTGCTTCCGCGGCCTGGCTCGTGTACGACTTTTTGATTACGCTAGATGACGAGGTACGTCCATCTGCCAAACGTTCAACCGCCTTGCCTGGCGGCAGTGTTCACCCCGTGCCCAGGTCGAGCTGGTGTGGAAGTACGTGCATTTTCTGGCGCACCTCACGGTCGCGCATTTACCAGCGGTGGACCCTATGCAGGTCCCCCAACACGCTCCCGAAATGTCTGTACTTTGTGTCAAGATATGTGGGGTTGTTCGGGCAGGTGTATGCGCTGCTTTTCACCTCTATGTGGGCAGAACCCCCTGACCTGATTTCTGCCAGCTTCCTGGGCTCCAACGCGCTCCCTCCCTTGTACGTTCACGCATACAACAGACCTCCGAACGCTTTTGGGGCTCATAGAAGTTTTTAGCTGTTTTGCGGGGCTCGTCTTGTCATTCGTGTGGGTCTGCCGTCGCTGCAGCCCTGTGCAGTCTCTAACTGTGCCATCCATCAACCAATGGTTCTAGGTTCCTCGGGATTCTCCTCGCCTCTGTTGAGATCGGCATGATGATACGAGTAGATGCGCTTTACAACAAGTCCCATTATAGTACGTCACCCAACTCTCGCTCGTCTGATGCTGAGTTGACCAAGCAACCACAGTACGAATAGTCATGGGGCTGGCTTTTGCTGGTGCGTGATTCCCGGTGGATGGATTCGTGCCCATTTCGACCTACCCTTGTGACATTCTTACAGCCAACCATATTGTATGTCTCGACACCTTCACATCGCGCCAGCTGCTGACGAAAACACAGCCGGCCCTTGTTCTGGGCGGGCTGTCACTTCGAACACTTCGCACAGGCACCATACCCATATCGACGTTTATCGACCGGCCTGGCTGCCTAGCAGTGGTAGATCCTATCTACTACAAATATGCAATGTAAGCCCTGCGTAAATTGGTTCTATGGCATCGTCATGATCTGATTATACAGGCTACCCACCCTCGTGTTTGAGAGTATGTTCTGCTACGCACCAAGTCCATGATTGACACTGACCGTGGACCGTTGTCGTAGCGATCATGTTTGGATTGAACACTTGGAAGTGCATACAGCATCGACCATTTTACCCCTCCGCGCTGATCTTCCTGCTATGGCGAGATGGAAGCGTGTATTATTTTGTGTGAGTAGCTTCTGACACTGCTGTACACGTGAACGCGTACTAATATAATAAACCCAGTATGCTAGGTCGGTCTGCTCCCGCTCTGAGTACATGGGGACGTCGTGCTGATTCTTGCCCATACTCTCCAGCTAATCTGTCTATTCTCACCCTCGCCAACTTCGTCCCCACCTTCCCGATCGCTCCGTTCGTGATTGTGTGAGCAGCTCGCCGATTGCACGCACACCTCTTTTTATCTAACATTAATCTCGCGCCAACGCATAGATGGGCTTTTGCGGTCATCTCCTTCTCGGTGAGCAGCCCATCATCTCGCACGGCGACCAGCATCGTTCATTCCGTCCTTCCCTCTTGTCCGCTATTCTCTTCTACTCCCCAGGGCTCCCACCTGCTCCTCAACGTGCGCAAGGCCGCGGTCACGCGCCGCCCCCGCTCGCTCCCCACGATCCACCTCTCCACGCCCGTCCCGTTCGCCGCGACCGCGACGAGGCACCGATCGGACGCCCTCGAGGGCTCGGTCTTGGACTCGACGACGGCAGCCGCGCCGCCCAGCTCCCCGTGCAGCGCCGCCCACGCGCTCTCCGCGGACGGCGACTGGGATCACGACCCGCACGATTGGTTCGCGGGCTGGCAGGAGGAGTACTGGGGGGACGGCGCGGCGATCGAGATGGCCCCCGTGCGCGGGCACACGGTTGCGCAGTCGGGGCGCAGACTGTCCCCCGCGCCCGACCGGCGGTGAGTCGGTGCCTAAAAGATCGGGTTTCCCGTGTTTCCCGTGTACATTTTGTATTTCTAGCGCCGCGCATATAGACCCACGCGACGCCCGCTTGGGAGCGCTGTACATACGGTGTATTGTGTTGTCCCGATGTTCTCGGATTGCTATACTATGTTATGTTTTGGATTTATACTGTGTACTTGTAGACTTCCTAGTAGATGCTCCCGCCGAGCCGCGCCGGTGGGCAATGTAATACTATTATATGCATGCTCTGTGCCCGGACGTTGCTCGACCCCGCATCATCATTCCGTCCGTCTGATCATCTAGCTAGACGAAACGCCCAGGATCAGAATGTCAGCGCAACGTCGAACCAGGGCCTGTGGCGACTCGGGCCTGAAGGTGATGCACAAGTACTGACCGGTTCACACGACGATCTTCGCCGTCGCAAGAGCTTAAACGTGATGTCCCTGGGACCCTGGACCGGCCTCGCAGGTCTGCGTCGCGAGCGTGGACGTCCCGAACGACGCATGCAAGGCTCGGCGCGGATCTCCCCCCTCCCCCGCCCCGCCTCAACGGGCGCAGTGCGCAACCAGGGCCGTTCTCGGTCACCGTCAGGGCTCTAGATCTGGCACGGCCGAGGACACCGGCAGCGGTCCGTTCGAGGCTGCGCCGACGAGGTGAGTAGAGAGACCTCGTGATCGAATAGAGAGGTACGACCCTGTCGGACGCGGTGTCGATGGAGACCGTCAAGCCGGTCAGGACCTGTCTTCTCACAGCTGGGGAGGCGCAGTCGTGGATCTGGAGAGGGTGCGCTTCCGATCAGAAAGCTGGATCTACAAACAAGATTTTTAACGTGAGACGTTCCAAATGCGCTCCAAACGCACCTGATGGATCTTTCTGAGACGAACCCCTGTGGAGATACGACGGAGGAGCACACGCTTTCCGGTCATCGAACACGGGGCTGCATACGGCCGGGCCTTTCGAGGTTGATTGTGCAGACGCGTCTGGGCGCATCTGCCCCGAAGCTTACCACGATGGGCACAACTACGTGTATCATTCGCAAATCCAATTCCTGTAGTTCGACTACACCACACAATCGATGCATGAAAAAGTCCAAGAAACCCCGCTGACAAAGTCCGTGGCGTGGACGCTGGACGACCGCTCACGCCATCTCTACGTCGTCATCCATGGGCTCGTCGTCGTCGACGACGACCTCGTGGCTGTCCTCGAGCCCCAACAGGCGGAGGAGCCCGATAAGGTCGCTGTCTCTCAGGTGAGCGAACTTCACGACGTCCTCGACGCTGTTCATCCCGTAGGGGAGGTTCAGGTCAGAGAAGTGGGAGAGATCACCGCCGACCATGTCCACCGCCTCCAGGATGTCCGCGCACGCTCGCTTGAAGTTCTTGCGCGACAGGTCGAGGGCGAGCGATACGGCGTTGAAGTGATGGACCGCGTCGGTGCGTTCGTCCGGGCTGACCGAGGTGACCGGCAACCAAGTCGGGGAGTCTCTATCGTAGAGCATGTCGTTGGCGTCGTTGGCGTCGTCGTTGGCGTCGTCGTTGGCGTCGTCGTCGTCGTCGTTGTCGCCGTCTTCGTTGAACATGCCGTCGTCGTCGTCGTCCCCGCCGCCGCCGTTGAGCATGTCGTCGTCGTCCGAGCTACAGGTGGTCCGGGTTCTGGCGGCCTCGCGCTCAGTGGACGCCCTGTTCCTCTTCGGTGGCGGAGAACCAGTGTCGTCGTCGTCGTCGGTCAAGCTACGGGCGGCCTGGGTTTTGGCGGCCTCGCGCTTGGACGCCCTCTTCCTTTTCGGCGGCGGAGAACCAGCGGGGGACACGAGAGGACGGGCAGCACGGGATAGTTCCAACGAGCTAGAAATGTGTAGGCGCCGTTTGCCCAGCAGCACTTTTCCCTCTTTCCATGAAGCACCGACGTGATGGTTGATTCTCTTTAAAAAAATCGAAGGCGAAGTCGCGCGCCTCAGCACGAGCGTAGGTGAATACCAGCGGTTCTGTGGCAATGTGGCCAGGACGTGGAAAACCATGCCCTTCCCGGGCCGTCCAGTCCCCAGTGGTCAGCCGTTCGAGGATGAAGTCGAGCAGCCCCTCAGTGATTGCACGGAGAGCCGGGCAGAGGTTCATAACGACGTCGAAAGACTTTCCGTTGAAAAAGGCGACGACACCGTGACCAGAGACTGCAGGGCCGTCAGTGATCCCAATTTATCTCGACCGCGTATCAAAGACGCACTACATACGGCGCAGTCCGTTCGGAGGCCATAGACCGCGCAGGCGACTTTCTTTCGGGTGCAATCCACGCATCGGTTCGCCCCGACAACGTGAATGCAAGACTTGTCGCCCCTTTTGCGGATGCATGGGTCGCACTGCGCGTGAACGGAGTACCTTCAGCCACCGAAGCAGAACGGCGAACATGAGCCAATGCTTACCAAGACGGCGAAGCTCAACACTGTGGCATGCACAGCGTAGCTGTTTGGGCTCGGCTTCGGGTCACCGAGGTTCTGGGTACTGAGACCCGATCCGTTGTAAGACGGGGCGGGCGCCATGAGCTCGGGAGTCGGTGTCTCGGGCACCTCGATGTTCGGGACGGGAGTATCCATCGCAGGCGAGAGCTCGTGTGCAGGCGATCGGGGCACAACCTCGGTGATGGGGTTTGAAGTGACCGGCCGGTAAGTGCCCATTGTGAGCGCGAGCGGAACCTCTTCCTCACTGTCGTCTCCGTCTCCGTCTCCTTCTTCTTCTTCTTCTTCGTCTTCTTCTTCATCTTCGTCCTCTTCAAATGGGTTGGGGGGGAGGACCCCTAGGAAATGGCGGACAGAAAAAAGGCAGCCGAGCTTCACGAGTTCGCCGACAGTATTTTCGCGCTTCTTGACAAAGTCATCGTCGGCCGGGTCGAGCCATTGGAAGGTTGTCCACTCGTTAAGCTCGCCTTCGGACATGAGCTGGCTGTTTGCCCGCAACGTGAGGGCTCGATCCGCCAACGCATAGATGGCATCTACCGCGTCGAACGGGAACGGCCCATCAGGGAAACGGCGGACCGTCTCATCCAAGCGGTCGCGAACGGGCCCCAGGATCGCTGCATCTGCTATCTATGGCATCACACGAAACAAACCTTCAGTGAGACACCCCGTTGGAAACTTCAGAATCCAGATTGGCGCACCTACCGTGGAACAGATATTGGCAACCATGCAGGAGAATCTCGTCAGGGACGCGCGGCGGAAGTCGTGAGGCTCTGATTCCTCAAGCAAACTCAAAGCCTTCTGTAATGTCTTCTTCTTGGGTTTCAAAGGCTGTTGCTTCCATGGCCAAAGAACCCAGGCGGTAGATGGAACAGCGACAGAACCGGCGGGGAGGAGAAGAGAGGGTGCTGACATTGCGAGAAACACTTAGAGTAGCACACTGCACAGAACAAGACTCTGGTCGGCTGCCAAGTAAGCCTCGTCGTGCTGGCTGGGCGCTCCCCGCGCTGCCCAGGTCATGTGATCGTAATGAGCCACTCTTGCCACGGCGAGTCGCCGAGCATCGCACGTCGACACCCACGAGGGTACCCAACGTCCACCAGCACACGATTTGATGATTGCAGAGCAAGCAATCCCGCATGCTTTGCTCATCATCCTCCATCTCCACCTGCTTAATTTTCCTCTGCGAGACACGGACGCGGCGGCGTACGATGATCGGTTGTTCTCTACCAGCCGCGGCATGCGCGAGCGCGCCAAAGCGATGGAAGACATTGTCTTCTTCCTCGTCGGCAAGATAGAAGGCGCCAGGGAGCATGCGAAGGCGGTGAGCCTTGCGTCTCCCCTCCCTGTGGTCTGCTGTCGCTCACGCAAGCCCACCCTTTTATGAGATCATTAGATCCTGCCTACCTACCCGTGCGCGCAGCCGTCCGATTCCGCCGCGTTTAGGATCGCGCTTGCGAAGTATCTAGATGCCTTGCGGAGTGTCGTAACTCACGCCGGCTCGACGCACGGCGGCGGCGACGTCAAGGGGAAGCGGCCGGCACACGGAGCTCAGGACGGAGCTTTGGCGTGGTGGTGGAAGGACGTCGTCGTCCGCAAATCCATTCTCGATGAGTGCAGCGGCGAACGGTGCGCATATATTCGCATTATCGTCTGTATGAACGACTCACAGGGAGATCCCAGATTTGAACGGCTCATACTTGCACTCTCCACCCATGCCGTGTTCAAGTGCACGACGAGGACGGCAAAGGCACGTGCTTTGAGTCAGACCACAACCAACCCGCCTTCCACACTGCAATCCGCCTCGACTCCTGCTGATGGACAGGTGAGAGAACCTTCATCACCACTTAATCTCCGTCTTGTGCTGACCCACGCCATCTCCTCGCGTCCCGTGCTCGGATGCGTCCTCCTTGTGCAGTTCGAGCTTTCTACACTCCCGCGGGGATACGCTCGCCAGCTCTCTGCCGCCCAGACGTCCAGAGCGAAATGGGAGAGATCCGCGGCGGCCCTCTTGCGGCAGCAACACGACCTCTCTGTGATCCGCGTGCGTTACCCTCGGGCCTTGTACGCCCCCCTACGCCCCCCTCCACGCATCCTGCGGGCGATACTCATGAGATCGTGGTTTAGGCGCGCATTGCGGACCCTCAACTTGCTTCGGCGAGCTCTAAATACGACAGCCTGACCACAGATAGACTCCTCGCCTTGCGCGACTCCCGGTGGCGGGACCTTCTTGGGGGTGCGTGGAAGGGCGAGGGAGGCCGTGCAGCCCTGCTGCTCGTCACAGAACTCGCCGGGCTCTCGGAAGCTTCTGGTATCGCAGAAGCCTCCATTTCCTCGAGCTCGAGCGGCGTGGAAGATGAGATAGGGGCCGAACAGAATGGGAGTGGATTAGCCGAATCGTCGCAGGTGGGTTCTTCTCGTCTGGCTGCCTTGCTGGGTCGAGACGTTTGCTGATGGGGGCGTCCGTAGACAGGCTCTCAGCCGCCTGTCCCGCTCCCAATCGCAGCTGCCCACCATCCGGCTTACGTCCACTCGCTCTCAATGCCGCTCTTGCAGACGGCAAAACCATCCAAGATTCCGGACGGAGATGAGCCTGGAGACGGCGCCTCAACGTCGAGGCCGCATGCGATCTCCGAGAGGCTCGCCGACATCGAGAGGGTGCAGCGCTCTCTGCAGAGCGCGTTGCTCAGCGCACAGAACCTCCGAACACAGCTCCAGCAGCGTCTGCAGAAGGCGCAGGGCAACGAAGCACCCCGCCCATCCGACGGCGTAGTAGCGAAACGCGAAGCCGTTCATCTCGACTCGCGCCTGTGGGACAGGAGAGCAGGGCCCGGCGTCGAGCCCAAGGTGAGCGCCGCCCACGCCCCACCGCGGACCCACGTCACGTTCCCGTCTTGCCCCCCACCGCAGAAGCCCCCCGATGCGTCCTCGCTCGCCCAGTTCGGCCTCGCAGGGGCACCGCCAGAGAACGCGGTCGAGGAGCGCATCGCGCACATCCGCACCGCCCTGCTCCCACCGTTCGCCGCAGAGCCGCTGCCCTTCACCGAGCACGACCCCGCACGACCTGCCCCGGCACCCTCTCGCCTCCCGAAGCCGGCCCCGGCGCCCTCGCAGTCGACGGCCGCCAAACCACACCACCCGGCAGGGACAAGACACCCGCCGCCCAACCGCGTCCCGTCCAAGCAGGTCCGCCTCACGGCCCCCGACGGAGGCACGGCCTCGAAGGCCTCCGCACGAAGGCTCTCGCGCCGCGCGTCCGCCGCGCACACCCGGCGGTCGACGACGTTCGGGCGCGGCGACGACGCCGAGATCTGGCGGGTGCGTTCGACTCCCCCGCCTCGTTCCCTCACACGTGCGCCCCACGCTCACCCCACGCAGATCGTCAACTCCGTGCAGGATCGATCGTCGGACTCGTCAGACGCGAACGACTCGGCCGACGGGGATGGGCACGAGGGCGAGGGCGAGGGGGACCCGGACCAGAGCAGCCTCGCGGTCCACTTCGGCGTGGCCCCGCAGCGGACGCCTGGCGACCGCGGGACGCGCGGCGCGCTGCTGTCGGGCATCAAGCGGAGCGGGCCTCGCGCGTCGTTTGACATCGAGCGCTATGAGCGGGTGCCGGTGCCGCGGCTGCCCAGTCTGCGTCTGGAGAGCGCAGCGGAGGTTGACGAGGATGAGGGACAGATGGACATCGGAAGCGGTCACCGCAGAACGGTGGAAGAGGAAAAGGAGGACGAGGAGATTTACGAGGGGAACAGTATGACGCTGGCGGATATCCTGCTCCAAGCCGGACACCAGGCAAACGTTTCTGGACAACTACTAGGCGAAGATGAGGTGGATGGAGACATGTCGGAATGGGAATGAGTTGATATCTCTTCCCGATGCAGCGAGCCGCCTCATTAACGCCCGAAACTCTCGCAACTTGATGACCTGACAGTCGCTTCCATAGTATAGAATTCAGGATATGCATGCATAATGGGGGCATGGCATGGCTCATGTATTTTGTGCAGTGGACGCCGGCGCGCGCCGGTCTTTGGGTGGCAGTATACAGGGGGTACGTCATATACGGACAAAGCGATGCGATGGAGGCGAGTGAGGTACAGTCGGTCGTGCAGTAAATGATGACATATTCAGGCCTCCGCCGTCGTCTTGGTCCGCTTGACGGCCTTCGTGTTCTCCCTAGCGTGATTTGATGTCAGCGTGCACCATGGAGGAAATGACGACGTTAAAGACAAACCTGAAGCCGTTCTTGAATCGCCTTGAAACGGTCTTGAGGTAACGCATGCGACCAGTGCCGGTGGTCTTTCTGCGCTTGGCCTTCTGGCCCCACTCGTACGACCGGAGCTTCGCCCTGGGGTAGCCGCACTGCGCGCAATCTACGTGCCGTGTGTGAGCATGCGGGGCAGGGGGGACGAAGGACGATAGGATATGGGGGATGTATGAGGCTGCAAGTGAAAAAAACTCACCCTTGTGCTGCTTGTGGAACGCGCGGTTGCCACACCGACGGCAGAGGGTGTGGGACTTGGTGTGCCGCTTACTGTGAGCGGAGGAGGGATGAGATAGGCGCGACGCAGCGCAAGTGACGGGGATACGCACCCGAAGGAGGTGGTACCTATGCACCATTACACACGAGTCCGACGATCAGTCCGAAGTCCCCTTCATCTCCAATCGCAGCAGCGACGAACCTTTGGTCTACAGAGGAGAAGGTGGGGTCAGCAACCGTTCGCAGAGATCGGGACAAGCACGCCAGAAGGGCCGCCCAAGCCAATGCCCATCCGCCGTCATCCAGATGGGGTCGAGTCCATCCATCCTCCAAAGTCCACCAAATTAGCCCGTTCAAACGCGACATCGTGTCTCAACTGCCTGAAAGACCTTCTGGCGTGCAGAAAACAGGCATAGACTCACCATGGTGTCTTGAGGTTGAGGTGCCGGGATGTGTGGTGCAAACTGCCCTCTGGCGACGAGAAGCCACCCGCGTCTGATCGCACGTGGTATAGACGCCCGGTACAAGCACCGACACGGGCGCCTTAAGCTTGATGTCGCTCTTCTTTCTCAGTGGACGCAGTACTATAACTGAAGGTCCATCGGTTTCTAATGGACATAGTCCCATTGCGTACGTGCAGATTATCTGCACGAAGGTGTATCCAGTAAGTAAGTATCCCAGTGTCAGGCGAGTATTTGGTTGATCAATATGGTACAGAATATCTCTGTAAATGCTGCTCAGCAGTAGCGACAGCACGCTCTTGTACAGTCCCGTAGAGCGTGGGGCTGCTTCACACGGACAGAGAGAGAGTCCCTCGTGCTGGCTGAAATCTACCAGTAGTAAGTACTTACCCGAAACTCTTTCATTGCAGTCCGTCTTGACTCGCCTCGCACGATACTCAGCTATCGAGTCGCCTGTAGATGATGATGGCCTCGAACCACATGCTTGCGACCACTTGAGGTCACGAGAGTACTCGACAAGACAAACCACTGGTCCACATCAGTCCGAATCATCACATGTTTCATTCGGCTCATAAGGATGACATTTGTTGACCGTGCCGTCGTCGCTGACATCCATGTCCCGTGGACAGTGAAATATCTCGAGACTATAGCATACGCAATAGGATCTTAAGTTCGACAGATGGGAACAAAACAAGGAACAAATGGCATTCGGAATGCAAGCCGTGTGAAACCCCCATTCAGTACAAGCCCGCTCACTCACGGGCACCATCCCGTTTGCGTTTTGTGGCGGCCGGACCTGTAGCTTCGCCACCGGGGTACGAGTCGTCGGTTAGGTCCCAAGCGGCGCGGCGCCATCGAGTGCGACAGATGCCATGGCTGCGTGATCAACGAGTGCCTGGATGTGCGGTGAGCTGGGCTGGGCGTAGTGGACCAACTTGGACAGTCCGTTCTCAGTCACCTCTTTCATTCCTGCG